AGGCTTTGAGCAGTTTAGGAACGAGCTCATGAGGATCCAGAGAGTCCTGGATTCTCCGGCGTTGGTCGACCTTGGTAAGGTCGATCTGGACGCTCTGGGCGAGCCGCCCAAGGAGTACGTCTCGGATGAAGATCACGAGAGTTATGTAGACGATGAGGGAATGGGTCCATATGTGGACAAATTCTCATCAATGGGTGACCGCGACCTAGTGCCCTCAAAGCAGGAGCCGCCTTACTATGAGGCAAAGGCGTGGCGCACCACTGAAGAAGAAATTGAAAGGATGAAGAACCTTTTTCCATTCTTTCGTGCCGAAAATTATCGGCTTATGTCTGCGAGTACTGGTCCCATAGGTACCAAGTCGCACGTACAGGGCGTCCTCCCAACAGGTGCGTCGTTGGAAGAGGCACTGATGGCTAAGCCCGGTGTGTGCCCGATTACGAGCACCTACAACCTCACATACGAGGGTGAAGAGGTTGTGATTGATGCACAGGGCGGGATAGCAGGCAGAATCGCCTGTCCTGCCGGAAATGACATCTTCCATTTTTTCCCCGAAATTAGGGATGTGTCGGCGTTTGTTGGACGAAGCTCCAGGGAATCGCAAATGCTGCTAGAAGTTTTGTCGGGCAACACTGACCCTACGCGGTTAAACGTGAAGCCCGGTGAGCAGCCTCCCTTCTTGTTTGGGACGGTTCCAGACATTCTGGGAGGTTGGATGTCAATGACTCTGATCTCAACGCTACTTGAGGCCCTATACGGGATCCACAAGTGCACGAGTGTCGAGGTAGCGACCTGGGCGGGTGCTCTCGCAAAGGAAAGCCCATCGTACCCTCCAGTCGAGCTCCTAATACGGAAAGTCTGGAGGACAGATGGCACGAGTGTGCGCCCGAATGAGGTGCTTTTTGCGCGGTCCACCCTAATCGGGAGGGACGTGCCGTTCAAAGTTTTCAAGCGTTGGGCACTGCGTGACCGAACGCCTATGGGGCCTTTGCTTAGGCCGATGGGAGCAGCAGAAGTCCCTTATACGGGATACGTGCTGCTGACGATGGCCGAGTATCGGTCCGCCCTCAAAACGAGGTGCATCCGGAGGCCTGGCAAATTCGCCATCACAGTTTTCCCCATGCGACCTGAGCAGGTCTGCAGGGGGGAGATCATGATTGGGATGGAGGGCGCAAAGGTGCCTTTCCTCAAGTTGCCCAGCCCCAATAAATGAGGGCGAATTTTATGTTGACGACCGCGTCAAGTACATGGACAAGCGCCATGTCGTTGTGGCCGTTGACCTAAAGTGGATGGCCATCGAGGAAGCCGCCGGCATCTACAAAACCCGACGCGGTTTGATCGCCGTGCGGGAAGAGATACATGCGCCATTCTGGCGCGCATGCTATCTGCATCAGGAAGGGGATGTAATATACATCCGCCCCTGGGCGGTCCGTGAGTTGAATGTTCAGGGACCGCGGAGAGGGGTGTCATTTTCATGGGACAATGCTCCCATGCATGACTACTGGTGCCCTCGGTGCGCGCATTTGAACATGTATGGCACCATTCTATGCAATGGTTGCCATCTGCCGATTTTCTATCGTGAATGGGTGCCAGGCACCGTCCGCGCTCTGGTTAAGCATGGACAGCCAATCTGGCTGAGCGAACTCAAAGCAGTCCGCCCCAGCAGCTGGCATGAAGGGGAGACCGACGCGTGGGCCCCTCTCATGGCATCGGTAAACCCGATTCGCGAGGTGGTCAGCTGCATGATCACCGGTTTGCGCTGCGCGCCGCATCTTGTGCACATTCCCAATGCGGATATTGTGCAAGTTGCGTTTCAGGAGGTTGCAAAGGTCACCTCAAAGGACACTCACGCTTGTGTGCGGGCGAGTGATGAGGCTCTCGAGCGGTGGGTAGCGAAGCAGCTGCTCATCGAGGAGAGCAACACTGGCGTCTCGATTCCCGACAATATGTCTGTCATGGCATATTTAATCGACCACCCGCAACAGGCGGCGCAATGGGGTCGTCATATGACGAGAAAGGGCAGTCTAAATTCAGCATTTGCCCTTTACCTCTCTGTGCATATCTTTGATGCCTACCGCATCGGGATTGAGGACGGGTATTTGGTTCCGCTGTATGGCCTAGGCGCCTCACGCGCGGATATCATAATGTCGTTGGTACAGGCTGAGCGACGCCTCACGGACTTCAATACTGAGGATCCGAGTTTCGACGCTTCCACTGTTCTTGATTGGAATATCGACTCTTTGCGGGCAAGTGGTGGATCCATCACGGCCCCAATTGAGTATGCTGAGGCATACATTTATGTCGAGGACAATAAGGTTGACATGGTCCCCGCTTCGCGGCGCGACGGCCAATGCGCCATTGTCTTTGCCGACCCGCCGGTTGGGAAACACCACAGGCGGGCAGCCACTCCTAGGGGAGACCAACGGTCTGCTACTGAATCCAGATCAAAGGGTGATCAGCAAAAGGGCAAAGCCCCTGCGCAATCCTGGCCCAAGGGCGGAGGTCACAAGGGTGACCAGTTCCCAGGAAAGGGTCACAAAGGTGATCAGTACAAAGGCAAGGGTGGCCAATACGGCTACCAACAAGGGCAGTTCGGTCGTGGCGGATCCGCCAGATCGAGAACTCCCACTGGCGGGTATCAGCCTGATGCTCGCGGGTCGGGATACAAGGGTGCTCAGGCAGCCCCTTTCCCGTTCCCAAGTCCGATGTACCCCGCTTTCCCAATGGGAGGGTACATGCAACAGCCAATGGCTGGCATGATGCCGCAAATGTGGCCTGGCGCAATGCAGCAGGGTTGGCAGCCGCACATGCAGGGTGATCCACGAGAGTTCGAGAATCCGAACTCGCCGCATACCCCTACCTGGGGTGCGGACGATGAGTTGGCCGAGACCGTGCCTCCTCCTCCTGGGGACTGGAACGTCAACAAGGGGAGGGGACGGCACGGCGGCGGACGACATCGGTAATACCTGGTGACCGTCTGCACCTTTTGCGTAGCGGCGCCAACGCGCGCGTGCTTTCATTCCGGAATTCACATAATGGACAATGCTCCCTGTAATATTTCTATGTTTGGGCTATTCGCCATTCCAGAATTCGACTGCATGCGCAGCTGTGCGCTATTCGCGCAAGCTGCGATTGCCTGCCAGGTGTGAATCGCCGCAGCAAGGCAGTCACTCTCGGCGGTGTCTATGGCCGCTGGTGATCTGCATCCACCTGCACCGCTGCTGCTGCTGGTGATGATGCTCATCAAGGTGCTGAGGTGAAGAACACGGGTGCCCTGCACCGCTGCCGGTGATGTCCTACTCGGACCTGAACCGCGGATCGCTGCTGGCGGTATCCATGGCGGTTGTCCTCGAGTGATCGCGCGCCCAGACGGTGCTAATTTATAACCAAGGCTCATTGGTCTATGCACCATGTTTCAACCAACCGGCCAATGCGCCTAATCCAATAATTAAAGATTAAATCCACTCGAATCGAATGGTTCAATGTGGTTGCAACGCAAATGACAATTCTTTGGCTTCATGCCGGCCATTCCGAAGTTGTTCCTTTGTTCTTTTCTTTTGTTGCTTTCTCTTGTTTGATTTGGCTACCGGCGAGAATCCGCCCCATACCCGTAATTCGGGGTGGTGGCGGGATCCGGGCACCAATGAGTGCCCGGGTATGGGGTCGCGAACCCTGGTAGCCTAATCGGCTTTGTTTGTCTTGTTTGTTGCTGTTCAACTTCAATGGCCAATGCGCCCTTCCAAATTCACTTCCTCTCTTTGTACAGGCGAGGGGGGTGTTTTTGGGGGCATGTACTTTTATCATAGCATGTTTCATGCCAAAGCCCAACGCGGCTTTTGGCTCAAGCTTTTTCGTTCCGGCAACTCTGCTTGCAATCACGTCGGCGCCTCATCACGGCGACCTGGAAATCCGCAGCAAAAGGAGCTGCGGCCTTTCGTGGTCGGTGGTGGCGTTGCTGGTGGTTGGTCAGGACTTGGGATTGGGAACGGTGCGCACTTGGTTTGCTTTGCTCGCTTGCTTCGCTGCATTGTTTGCCTGCTTGGTTTGCTGCTTTGTGCTTGCTTTCGGTTGTCTCTGCCCTTGCTGGGTTTCTTTATCTTGTTACAACTGGCACCCTGTTTTGGTTCGTGTTTGGCCAGCCGAGGGCACCGCTTTGCCCTTGGGACTGGGGGACTTAAACAATCTCTTCTTGTTGGTGGGATTGGGCCTGTTTATTCTCTCCCGAAACTCTGTTTCAAACCCTTTCGCAGAAAGCAACCGAGTGATTCAGTTTTAGATGATCATGACCCGAGGCCACACAAAGAGTTTTGAACATGGCTCAACTGGGCTGTCTGTTTTGGAGGGTATCCTTTTCCCCGTGGTTTTGTCCGGAGAGCATACACGGAAAAACAAAAAACCAAAAGCATTTTCGGGGCCCCCTTCCCCCCCCCTCTTTGAGGGGTACCTGTATGGGTGTGGCTCAAAATTAAACAGGAGGGGCAAACCGCAGGTTTTGGTCCATGTTTCCACTTACCAGGGTTTCTTTTTGGAATTCCAGTTTGTTGAGCCACAGCCATATGTTCCTTGGATGCTTTCTTTGGGGCCAAAGGCCATTGACTCCATGGCCTTTCCGTGAACTGGTTGGCCTAGGAATCAGCGTCAAGCTCAAGCCGTTGGGGTGACACTGTTTGGACGGATTTTCCGTGCGCACCACTTTGAAACCATGGTTGAAACCATGGCGTTTCGTGGTATTTTAGGGGAATCCAATCATTCCGTTGACTTTCTTGCACCACCTGCATCCACCCTGGTGTCTGATCTGATCCACCTGCAAATACCGCAACAAACGCTGTTCTAGGTCCCCCAGTAGTGCCACTTTTCCCCCCTTTTTGGGGGAGGGTTCCCCTACTAAAATCGACTACAGAAAAAGAAATGGGTACCCTTATTCTAACCTCTCTACTGGAGGAGCTAGTGTTTCATCCCCCTTGCAACTCATTTCGTCATCCACCGGGCCTCGATGCCTCGAGGCGTCTATGAGGCCTTGGAGCTGCGGGACGGCGACAAGCAGCGGCTCTTGGGCAAGGGCGTGCTGAAGGCGCCGGAGCTTTGGAGCCGTTGTGTTTTTGTTTGTCATTTTTTTACCAGTTTTTTTCTTTTTCGTGCCGGCAATTTATCTTGCCTTTTTTTTTGTTTCCCCCGGGAATTGTCTCTTGTCGCTTTTTGTTTTGTTTTTGTTTTCTCCGGGATTTCCCGCGCGGCGCGCGGCTTGTCTCAAATTGATTGGGTTGATCTGTCGGGTTGCTTTGTTTGTCGCGGGGATGGATTTCCCGCGCGGCTTGGGTGTCTCATTGTTGGTTTGATTTATCTGGGATTTGGTTGTTTGTTGTGGGGCTTTGGCCTGCGTTGGGTGTCCCAAGATGATTGGTTTATGCGTCGTTAACTTGTTGTTTGTGTTTGTTGTGGTTCGTCGTGTGTGGGTGTGTGTTTTTACAGGGTGTGTCGTGTTGTTTTTCTTTTTTACGGTATTAGAAATGTATTGACCCCGATTTACACCATCCAACTGAAACTGGCGGCCCCGGGTTCAAAATGTGTCTCCAGAGACCACTAAACGTAGTCTTCGGGGAGCCGGTGTCGCAAAACAGGGGTCCCAGGCTTGATTCCCCCTGCTGGCTCTTTGCTGGTTTGGGGTTCCTGCCTCCTTTTGCCGAACATCTAAAAAAACTATGTGTTTTTGGACGTCCTAATTGCGAAACCGCTCTCTCTAGCAACCCGTTTAAAGAATCGAACGAATTGCTGAACTAATTGCTGAAGTATCTCCTTTTATTTGTTGGGGTCTCTATCTTCCAAAAATGCAGGGGGGGGGGGGGGGTTGGGCTGTTTGGTTTTCCTTGAAACAACCCCAAAAAAACATGACCGCCCCTGGTGTTCGACTTCGCACGGGTCTTACTCACCCCACAAAGTTTGGCTTCCTTGAATTTCCCTTTCAGACTTTAAGCCACTCTCAAATCAGGGGCACCACTCGCCTCTAAACACCAAAACCACTTTCTGCCTCTAAACACCTCGCCTCTAAACACCAACCTTCTCCTCCCCCCCCAAAAAAAACACAAACACAAACACCTCACGCCACAAACATGTCAAGAAGGTCCTGGATACATGCAGCGAAGGGTAAGGGAACACCAATTGCAGTTATGCAAATAAGAGCCCAAAACCTCCTTGGCAACTTTGGAACGAGGGTCTACTACCAGGTTTGATGAGATTATAGTTGTTGGGCAAATGATTGCCCTATTTTCGGTGAGTTTAAAGGGATATCACAAAAAAACACTACCATTTTGCGGGTCGCCTATTTGGACGTATACTTTTGTCTCCGTATGTTACATGTGGGTCCCGTCAAGTTCGGCCCAGAGATTCGCTGGCGCCAGGCGGTGGCGAATGTCAACGACATCATTGCGCCCAAGCTCATTGGCATGGAGGCGGGCGGGTGGGCGATTTCTTTTTTGCCGGGTGACGTGTTTTTCTTCACGACCTCACACGGCCGAATTCACCCCAAATGGTGGGTTTGTGCGGGGAATAGCCCCCCAACCGCATTATGTCAGGTATGTGATGTTTTCTTTCTTTTTGTTTCACGACCTCACACAACCTCACCCCAAATGGTGGGTTTCGTGGGTTTGTGCGGGGAATAATTACCCCCCTCCCTGGGTTCCGAAACGACAAGAAGTGTCGACGGTTTTTGGCCCAGCCACGCAGGAAGTGAGTTTGGAGATTTCTGATTGGTCGTGGGTTAGTTGAGCAGGGGGGAAACGGGGGGGGGGGTACGACGAGCGATGAGGCCCATGAAAGTCCTAAGGGGAGTCCTGATTGCCAGTGTGTGAATGGCAATTTGCCAATGGAGGCATGGGTTTGAACGACTTGTTAGTTGACTGACTATCAGAGTTTCCCAGTTCACGACGCGAAAGTCTACCGCTTTCGGTGGGGTGCATTCCACAGCCAGGGTTTGGGCAGTGGGCACCCATGTTTCCTTTTTTGGTGGTTAACGTCAGTCTTCCATCCCGGGAAAAATTGGCCCGAGCTCTCCTTTTCCGCACTGCGCCCATTTCTTTGGGGCCATGCAAGGGGCTTTTCTCTTGCTCTCCTTTTCTGCCAGGTCTACTCGAGCAGCGGAAAGAGAGAGAGAGAGAGAGAGTGTCGTCATTCCAAGTCACTCCTGGTAGGTTAAAGGGAGAGAGACAGAGTCCTCATTCCAGTCACTACTGGTAGGTTAAAGAGAAACCCGCAGTGTTGACTTGGGCCTCTTCGGCCTCTTCGACCCCTTCGACCCCTTCGACAAGCGCCAGGTGACCAAACAGACCGAGATTGACAAGCTCATGGTCGAGACTCTGGAGCCCGCCGAGGGGGGGCATTTCCCCGGCTTCCGATGTGGGAATGTGTCATAGAAAAAGGGCCATCTTGAGCCAACCCCCAAAAGGGTTGCCCGAAAAGACAAAAAAAAAAAACCTCAGGGTGTCAAAGTGGTTATTTGGACCCCCCCAAGATAGAGATACTTCCCAGGAAAATGTCCCTGTTTGCTGGTTAAGACACTCTTTGGGCCCCAAGGCGAGTTGTTTCCATATGTGGGTGTTTTTTTTTAGGCGACCCTCCCAAAAACAAAATGTGGTGTTCCTTTCGGTTTCCCTTCAAGAACCACACAAGCACCCTGCCCACCTACGTTTCTGTTTGGAGGGTTCTCCTTCACGTGGAAGGCAAAGGGCAAGTCTGCAAGTTTGCAAACTGTATTTCCCTGTTTGATGCAAACATGACCACTTTTGGGATGCCCATTTACAGTTAGCTTCTTTTGGAGTGATGTTCACAGAGAGATTTCTCACCCGTTCGCGGATACGCGCTCACAATCACATTTTATGATCAGGACTTAGTTTGTTTTCTTGCCGTGCCCAACGGAATTCTAATGAGTTGGGCTCGAGGAACATCCTGAGGATCAGAATTCACCAATGGCCGGGGAGAAGTATGAAGTTTAGTAAAGGAGTGTCCTAACCATAAATCAGTGAGGATATCTTCCCCTTAAAATTGTTTAAGTTGGTTTGGGTGGCCATTTCAATGCCAGTTGTTGATTATGACTCAATTTACCAGTCAACTCCCCTTCAAACCTGGAAACAATCTTCAACCCCTCAGCCGCAATCAGGGTTGGTGAAGCCAACTGTTGAAACAGCGGCCTTTTTGGGCGGTTTGGCTTGGCTTTTTGGTTTTGGATTGGCTTTTTGAGCCTAGATTTGGCTTGTGGGAATGGGCTCCAATTTGTGAGGGAAGCTGAGGTTAGAAAGGGGCGGCCAGGGTATGGCTGGGTGATATGTTCCTTTTTTCCCCCTTCGCTGAAAGCTGGGGATGTGGCTTCTGAAACCAAAAATCGGCTCGTTTTCCTAGCTGGTCCAGGTCCCGAGGCTCTTAGGCATACCACCTGGGCTTGTCTTTTGAGGAAAATGATCACGTGGTTTCCCCAAACTCATCATGTCCAGGGCCCGAGGAAGATTGCAAGAAGGCAGCAAGGGGGTCCCCTTCCATGAAATCGCGAAGTCGAAAGTAGTTTCACTTGCAATATGTGTGGCAGGGGCATGCGCGAGTGGGAAAAACCCGTTCCCGTGTCGGGGTTTCCATTCCCAAATTTTGGAACAGCTGCCATAAGTCAGTGAGGATATCTTCCCTTTAAGATTGTTTAAGTTGGTTTGGGCGGTCATTTCAATGCCAGTGGTTGATTTTGGAAAAGCCGCAATTCGCTTTGCCGCAGGACGGGTCCCAGAACGAGTGGGGCTGGTCCAAGGCGAAACTGGGTGCCAACGCTATTCTGGCGGGGAGCTTGGGAGGTGGTGCCTAGGTTTCCTGTGGTGAGGACGGGTGCTTCCATTGGCTGAAAACTCAGTTGTTCAGTGGCACCCATTCTTTTTCCAACTTCTTTTTTGGTGGCTCCCCCACTAAAAATAGTCTTCCACAAAAAGGGGGTTGTTTTCCCTTGTTGGTTTTAGAAGGAATTTGTCACTACTGGAGATATTTTTTTTTTGTCCCAGGGGTCTTAACCAAATGGAAGGGTGTGTTCCCACCTTTGCACGAGGGGTGGGCACATCTGACTGAGTTGGGACTGTACAATTCACCGACTGGAAAGGGATCCCCCGAGCAAGGGTGAAGAAGCCTTTGGGAGGGGAGTTTGCATTTCAAGTTGGAAGACATTCTGGGTGTCTCGGGAAACGCAGTTTTACGGGTGAATCTTGGGATTTCAATCTGTGTCTGAGATTTTTTCAGTTTGTTCTTTGTTGGGACGGTGTTAAAGGGAAGCCAAAGGAAAGCCGAAGCCAATTTGGAGGGTGCCTCAAGAACAGACGAGCCTTGCAACGGACATGTGATTTTTTGTCACAAGCTTAAGTGGTCCACCAACTGTTTGGTCGTTTTTTGGCTTTGCAAAGCCAAGCCCTAGGGTCCAACCCCCGTTAAAATAAAGGTTGACCCAACTTGGATGATGACAATCCTTAGGTAAACAATGGTGGTTATATGAGCCCCCATTGTTTTAATGGTGGTTTGGGCAAACCTGTACCAACCAAAGAACGGTACTCTCATTTTAAAAAGATGGCACACCCAAATGTTGGGATCTGAAAAGAATTTCCAGGCAAGCAGGTCAGGCGGAGTTGCCACTCGGGCGGTTCGGGTGTCTTTCCGAAAACTTTGCAGACGGGGCCAAGGAAGCCACTCCGATTCTTGGACCGGGAGGTCCGGTCCTCTTTCCGGAGACAAGCTTCCACGAAGTTCTTGCAATGTGTTAGCTGGGTTGGCGAATTTGTCAGCCAGTCAGTCAGCTATTTTTTTTTTAAATTGTTTGTTGGTTTGTTTGTTCCTTTGTTTGTTCTTGCTTGTTGGTTTGTTTTGGCCCCGTTCGGTTTTCCAGCCTGCAAAGAGCAGGCCATGCTTGTTGTAGGTCTGCCTCACGCCAAGTTGGGGTTTGGTTCGGAGGTTCCCCCCCCCCAGTTTAGGGGGGCGCATTGGAAGGGAGCCACCTGGGACATGCATCCGTCCACCATTTGTGGTGTCCACCATGTCGGGTCCGCTACAATTCACAGCCCAGGGCCTAAACAACTAGCTTACTCCCATGACGAGAAATTGGTTCAAAAGCACCCCAAGAACAACCCCTTCGAATCATTTAGGCTTTGGGCCCCCCAAAAAGAAAAACAGACAAATGCAACAAACAATGATGGTAGTGCGGTTTTTCTTGCCTGCCTTGAGCGATTCCGAGGTCAAACGAGTGTAGGCTGGCAAATGGGTTTTGAGGTTCTGGAATTACTCCCCTACAAATTATCGTAACACGGAAGGCGTGCTTCCTCAAAAAGGGGGTCCGTCTGGGGGTTGATCAATATTCCTGGCCCCCAAATGACCACGGGCAGCTTTTCTCATTTTGTGGAAAAGTCATCTTCTTTTCCGGTTTCCCCAATATCCCATGTAACGGACCTTTTGATCAACCCCCATTTCCCCAAAGGAGTCTGTTTTTATAATGACGGGATCTGGCAGCTAAAACTTGCAGATCTTGTCCACCTTGGAGCGACTTGCGCCCCCCCCCCCCCGCTACTGTGCTTCCCGCTGATTGAGGCTGTGTCCATGGCCGTTTGCCGCGCAGGCGATGACAGTTGACGTGTGTCGGTGTTTTAATACAAGAGTTTGCCACCAAAAAGTCAGGAGCAAGGGTTGCGCAGGTTTGAGTCTTTGGTCAGAGAGAGCTCAGGACCGACCCTCCAACCCTCCATCTGGCACACTTGGAGTTCTAGTTTCCGAGTTTCAAGCTAAACTGCTCCTGATTTCCGGTTTTGGAGTTTCCAGCTACTGGAACTGCTCCTGATTGCTGCTCAAAGGCTGAATGTGTATAACCACCCCTGAGCCTGAGGTCTTCACAATTCTCGGTTAATTAACGGAGAAGTTCGCGGTTTAGGACCCAGGAAATCATATGTGGCCATATACATTCAGCCTGTGCAGAGTTTATTTGTGAGCTGCAAGGGCCTAGAATGAAAAATCGAGTTGCAGGGTACTAAACCAAATTAACCCATGATGAAGAAACATGTTTTACAATTGTTTAGCCTTACTTTCTCAGTCGATTCTTCTAAATTCGATTCCACGGACTTCCATTCTGGACAATTTCAAAGTCATTACTCCAAATTACCCCATGATGACAATGAGCGAGGAATGTTTAAGTAATTCTTGAGCCCCTTGAAGTGATTGCCCTTGTATCTACGGAGAACAAGAACGGAGCAACGCAAAAAGGCCAGGCGGGACATCCTCAACATCGAGCCGAAGGGACGAGTTGGAGTTGAGAATCAGCCTGCAGGAATACTTTTCTCAGCGAATGAGTTGAACCTCTGGGGACTCTGGCAATCCGCAACGTCAGAGGGCGGAAGGAGGAGCTTGAGACCGAACAAAGTGAACAAAGTGAACCAAGTGAGCTTTAAGCAAACAAGATGAGTAACTGAGCACAATTGTGGCATGACTTATTTGCGGATGCTCGTTGGACGAGTTCATTGCCAACCGCATGTCATGCAGCACGTGCATTTCAACGTGTCGGAAGAGAGGCGGTCGTCGCCCGACAGCCCAGGGCGAGAAGCTGGTTGCCAAAAAGGCCTCGCGGAGCAGGAGGGGCAGGGAGTTGTTTGACTCCCCGAAGCTTCGGGCCCTGAGGCAGATCCAACTCGGCCCGGGAGATTGAGAAGATTGGAGGTGATCTCATCGAGCTATAGACAGCACTGCCTTTGGCAAAAGCAGGGTGGAGACAACATGTCTTGAGCCGAAGCCGGAAGCAGTTGCCCATTGCGATTCGGGAGAGGGGGTGGAAGTCGAAAGTCGACTTCGGCAGACTGCGGTCACTGTGAGGGTGGGTGACCCTTTTGTTTTTGGATGGGCGGAGGTCCTAGTGGGGTGTCGGTCCTACGGGGTCCAACATCGTTGAATGCTCCAGTACAGGGTTGTGGGATCAAGGGGTTTATCCCCACTTCTGTGATACAAGGGAATCCCCTCTTTATATGGTGAGTTGGTCTTTGGGAGGCCCTATTTGTTGTATCACAGAAGTGGATTCCTTTCCCACAGCCCTGCTCCAGTAGGTTTCTCTTTTCGGAGTCTTTTGGCCGCTGGAGAAGGCACAACTTTCCCCGAGCAATCTTCAGGGTTGAGGCTCTTTGGCTTGAACATCACTCTGGGAGCTTCCCCAGTCTTTCCAGGGATCCTTTTCAGAAGACTCTCACAAACTCAAGGGGCACAGCCGGTTTTTGAAAAAGAGCGATGGTTGAAAAGAATGGGGTCTGCTCAGTGGCTTCTCACATTTAGATTTGGATTGGACACTCCAATTTGTTTGAACAGCCCAAATGGGTGTTCTTCATCCCCTGCAGGGACCCCCAAAGCATGTTTCAAGGCTCCCTAACCCGAAATCCTCACCAAACCTATGAAGAAACTGGGGTTGATTAATACGGGGTCAACATTCCTGTGGCTGGGCTCTGGTTGCTACCCCCTACCCTTGAAGCAGCTCTCGGAGGTGCAGCTGCGAGCCGCATGCCGCTCTACAAGTACATCGCCAGGAGCGGATTTGTTGGGTCCACTTTGGACACCGGAAAAAGACTCGGCCGGTTTGCGAGGTGTCAGTTGCTCAATAAAGGTTGGTTTGCTGTTGATTTCCCTTGAAGTAAAATGTGTTCTTAAAATGCTGTTTGGTTCATATATGTTTGCGGTTGGTTTCCCTTACTCACACAAACAAGCTCTCTGCTTGGCCACCCAAAGGTTTGGTTACTTGGGTTAGCCCAGCAAAACCCAATGAACGGTAAACCTCAGTTACAAGAGCCGGCCTTTGAGAGACACCCCCTTTGAGGGCCCATGGCCGGGTAGGGGTGGAAGTCCCTGGGTGCGAAAGGCTCCGTGTTTGGGATGTGTTGGGTTTCATGGGTGGTCCATAGAAACAAAAATCCCACAGGTTGAGGGTTGCTTGAGGGAAGGTTGGGTTAAGGGAAACCACTTTGTAGGGGCCCGTCTACTTTGAGACTAGGGCTTTTGCTCAGGAAAGAGGAAGCAAAAGTCGGTGCCCCAACCCATGGAAGGGCAAGCCCGGGTTCCGGGGGCTGGAGTTGTTTGGCTTTCTATGCGGGAATTGACAAGTTTCAGGGCTCTACTCCTGCGGACAAGTCAGGTAAAACATCACCCAATGGCGATTTTGCCAAGAGAATGTTGCTTTCAACCACCAAATGGAGAAGTATAGGGAGCTCTGTCCGGGCCGTTTGATTGGATCTTTGGCCCATATGTTGATCCTCCCACTAAAGGAACCTGAAACTTCTTGCACTGGGGGCCGATAGCCGCAGAGACGGTGAAACCAAGCAATTGACCTCTTTTTTGTTGGCTTTCTGTTTGCATTGCAAACTGAGGAAGTGAGATTGAACCCCTTGAAGCTCCAAGAAGCCTTGGAATTGAGAGCATGGGGTGAGAGAGGTTTCCGATAGTAAAGTGGCAACTTGTGGTTGATAGACCATGAACCAGGGTTCTTCGCGTGTGGATTCAGACAGTTGGACCAGCCAAAACCACAAGAGCGGAGGGTACTTGGTTGCGAGATCGGGGGGTTGGGGTTTTGGGACCAAAGCCAACTACATGAAATGCTAACAGACCATCTAAGTGGAGATCAACGCCAAGCGTGGGATTGTTCGCGGACCCGGCCTAGATGAAAAACCAAGGGTTTCGGGTCTCCTTTGGGCTTTCGGGATGACTCAAAAGACGGATCTTTGCACCTCCGGTTGCCCATGTGCCGGTTCGACAAGGAAGGAGTTCAAGACCCAGCAAGGTTTGTCAACTAGGATTGGCACTGCAAATGGTTGGATTTCCCGTTTAAGAGCATTTAAAAAGGGCCCTCCCTGGAGTTGGCATGTTGTTGTTCCTTGTTTCCGCGGGGTGTTTGACTGCTTGATCACGCCAAGAAGGCTCTTCCTGCGCCATGAAGGTGGATGTTCACTTGCCCAGCGGAGATGGTTTTTCCGTAGCAGTCTCACCTACAACACTCATCAGCGAGCTGAAGGCTACAGCGCAGCAGCATTTCCAGCGCCGCTTGATTCTCACTGCAAGAGGCCAGCAGCTCGATCTGAGGGCCACTCTGAGCGAGGCCGGGTTGCGAGACGGGGACAAAGTGACTGCGGTTGTGCAGGTTGGCAAACTGGCCGCCACATTTCAAGCGTTTGCTTTGCACGGCCACGGCGAGGTTGTTACGTGGGGTAATCCAGAATATGGCGGGGACAGCGGCCAGGTGAAAGAGAAGCTGATGAAAGTGCAGCACATCCAAGCAAATGTCGGTGCTTTTGCCGCGATTCTGGAATCTGGGGCTGTTGTGACTTGGGGTGATGCAGACCGGGGCGTAGACAGCAGCCGGGTGCAAGAGCAGCTGAGGAACGTCCGGCACATCCAGGCAACTTGTAGTGCGTTTGCTGCCATTCTCGAATCTGGGGCTGTTGTGACTTGGGGTGATGCAGACCGGGGCGGAGACAGCAGCCGGGTGCAAGAGCAGCAGAGGAACGTCCGGCACATCCAGGCAACTTGTAGTGCGTTTGCTGCCATTCTCGAATCTGGGGCTGTTGTGACCTGGGGTGATGCAGATACGGGCGGAGACAGCAGCCGCGTGCAAGAGCAGCTGAGGGACGTCCAGCACATCCAAGCAACTATTGGTGCGTTTGCTGCGATTCTCGAATCTGGGGCTGTTGTGACCTGGGGACGGGCAACCCGGGGTGGAGACAGCAGCCGGGTGCAAGAGCAGCTGAGGAACGTCCGGCACATCCAGGCAACTTGTAGTGCGTTTGCTGCCATTCTCGAATCTGGGGCTGTTGTGACTTGGGGTGATGCAGACCGGGGCGGAGACAGCAGCCGGGTGCAAGAGCAGCAGAGGAACGTCCGGCACATCCAGGCAACTTGTAGTGCGTTTGCTGCCATTCTCGAATCTGGGGCTGTTGTGACCTGGGGTGATGCAGATACGGGCGGAGACAGCAGCCGCGTGCAAGAGCAGCTGAGGGACGTCCAGCACATCCAAGCAACTATTGGTGCGTTTGCTGCGATTCTCGAATCTGGGGCTGTTGTGAACTGGGGACGGGCAACCCGGGGTGGAGACAGCAGCCGGGTGCAAGAGCAGCTGAGGAACGTCCGGCAAATCCAGGCAACTTGTAGTGCGTTTGCTGCCATTCTCGAATCTGGGGCTGTTGTGACCTGGGGTGATGCAGATACGGGCGGAGACAGCAGCCGCGTGCAAGAGCAGCTGAGGGACGTCCAGCACATCCAAGTAACTATTGGTGCGTTTGCTGCGATTCTCGAATCTGGGGCTGTTGCGACCTGGGGACGGGCAACCCGGGGTGGAGACAGCAGCCGGGTGCAAGAGCAGCTGAGGAACGTCCAAATTCTAGTGCTTTTGCTGCCATTCTTGAATCTCGGGCTGTTGTGACCTGGGGTGGTCCAGAATACGGCGGTGACAGCAGCCAGGTGCAAGAGCTGCTGAGTAATGTCCAGCACATCCAATCAACTGCCGGTGCTTTTGCTGCCGTTCTTGAATCTGGGGCTGTTGTGGCCTGGGGTCATCCAGACTGGGGTGGAGACCCAAGCCCAGTGCAAGAGCAGTTGAGGAACGTCCAGCATCTCCACTCAGCGAGCGGTGCTCTTGGTGGTGCTTTTGCTTCCATTCTTGGATCTGGGGCTGTTGTTGCCTGGGGTCATCAAGCATATGGTGGAGACAGCAGCCAGGTTCAAGAGCAGTTGAGGAACGTCCATCACATTCAATCAACTAGTGCGGATTTTGGAAGTGCTTTTGCTGCCATTCTTGAATCTCGGGCTGTTGTGACCTGGGGTGGTCCAGAATACGGCGGTGACGGCAGCCAGGTGCAAGAGCTGCTGAGTAATGTCCAGCACATCCAATCAACTGCCGGTGCTTTTGCTGCCATTCTGGAATCTGGGGCAGTTGTGACCTGGGGTGATGCAGATAGGGGCGGAGACAGCAGCCGGGTGCAAGAGCAGCTGAGGAATGTCCAACACATCCAAGCAGCTGGTCATATTGCTTTTGCTGCCATTCTTGCATCTGGCGCTGTTGTGACCTGGGGATCAACCAAGTTGACGAGCAGCTGAGCTTGTAGTTTGGTGCTGTTGCATCAAGGACGGCGCAAAGCTGGAGCCGCTTGCTGAAAAGGGTGCCGAAACAAGGAGCAACAAGTGAACGCTATGGTTCTTCACTGTTGTTGGCAAGTTGTTTTTTGGTTGTTGGTTCTGTTCATGTTTAGTAGGGCTGCAAAAAGCAGATGTGTTTGTCCCATAATACTGGGCGATGTCCCTTTGGGTTCCCATTTCAACATCATCCAAAAAGAATACCCTCAAAAGCAAACGCACACACATCCAAACAGAGCCAAGATTTGACGAGAAGTCAATTGCAATGTGTCATCCTTGCAAGGAATCCCACATCTTCCAAGGGGCAGCACATCCCCCCACCTGATCTCCTTTTCATTGAGGTTACCTTTTCGTGTGGTTTCTTAGGGGCACAAACAAGACACCATTCTGGGGGTCCGCAAAGGACACCCCCACATGCGCCATGGTGAAGAATATACCTATTTCCCAATGGGGAGAACATGGGATCCGCGAGAGTCATTTCGGCAGGATCTCGGGGAAGCCCTACGACAGCTTCGTGATGCCGGTGCCCTCCTTCAATGTCGGGCGCCGAGTCGCCTGGTGGCTCCAAGCCATCCAACTTGGTAAGTTGCTTTTGGCTTTTTCGGGTTAGTTTCCATTTTCTCCACTGAAGGTCATTCACTTTTGGGGGATCTGAGGGCAGGAAAGTCAGACCAATTTGTGGTGCGGTTCCTTGGTTGAGTTGGAACCTTGCGCTTTTTCTTGTTTTTTCCGGGTGGGGGGGGAATCCAAAGAACAACTAGCGACTGTGACCCCCAAGATTTGGCCGAGCCATTTGCCTTTTGGCAGCATTTTTCTAAGAATTTGGCACCCATGGGAAGTGATTTCCATTCCGCTTTGTTTCGATTCTGCAGGTCTTTCACGGTTTCCATTTGCTGAAGACTATGGGAAGTGTTTCTTCCCCACTCTTGGTTTCAAAGGGAATCTATCACTACTGGGTTTGTTTCTTGTCTGGGAGGCCTAAGCAAATGGAAGGTTCTCTGTATGTCTTCAGCCTTTGGTTCTACTTTCTTTGGAGGGGGCTACCCGGATCATGGCTTTTTGCGAGCATAAACCGTTCCCCCTATTAATGAATGACCCCAATTAATAAACAATCGAAATCCGGGGCCCGGGACCAGATTTCCACTCCGCACATTGATTTTTAATTGAGCCAATACTAAACCCTTACTAAAGTCTTGGAATCCTTTAACAAGCTTCCAGCCCTACTTTAAAATAGGTGGGTCTAGCCCAGCTGTCTAGCTGCGACTGTCTCTCTCCCGTACATGCTGGCTAATTAATTCCCTAACCTGCCTGGCTGCAAACAAACAACCAGTAAACTAAAAAACACATAGAATGATAATAAATCAAAATCCTTATTAAACCGCTTACTCGCGGACCTTACAATTCAATCCATTTCCTCCAAATCCTATGTGAACCCTCACATTGTTGGAAAACCAACAAAAACCAACCCCAAAAAAACCCATTAAACATATATATATATATACATATATATATATATATATATATATATTTGGGAGGATTTTTTTATAATTGGGGGAGGGGGGGGGCGTATTTATTAATAGGGGGAACGGATTAGAAAGGGTTGGAAGGATCCACTCAGAGTTGAACAAAGGCGGAGGGTCGGGGGATGGGTGGCAAGGTGTTGGGAGCGACGACTTGCCGGCAGGAACTTTCATTCACTTTCAGCAGGGGATCTGAGGGCAGCCCGGAAAGTCAAATCGGGGTGCGATTCCTTTTTTGAGTTGGCACCCCCTTGCATGTTTTTGTTTTTTTTGCCTTGGGAGGGGAAAACAAAGGAAACAATTAGCGACTGTGACCGTCACGGCAGGAACTTGCACTCCTCTTGGTCCCCAGTTCTTTTGCTCATAGAGGAAACACCCGGTTTGCTTTGAGCCAAGGCAATCAAGAAACGGCCCAAGGTAGGGGGCTCATGATTTTGGATGGGTTTCCGGGGTTCAAAGGCAGAAAATGGAATCGGTGGTTTTCCTTTAACCCACTGAGAAGGTGACTTTGATCAAATGAGGCCAGAGGTAGCTGCATCGCTGGAACAAAGCCACAAGCAAAGCCAGGGGATTTGACCAGTTTCTACGAAGGGGCCGTGTTTGTTTGAAGGCTTTTCCCTGACCACAGTCTTGAGCGACCATGTTTTGGGTGATCAATCCAAGTTGAGTTGCACCCCCTTTTCTCGAGCTTGGAAAAGACATGTTCTTATGAGCAGTCAACAGCAGGGCAATCAAGCGAAGCTCAGTCGGGAACATGAAGGGGACCTCCTGGATCGCCAGTTACTGCTTTTTTCCATGCACTCTACCCCCGAAACCAGCAACAGTGACTGAAAAAACCAGCAACTTGGCTATCTAGGCTGTTGATCAACCCCCAAAGTGGAAACTTTGACCCTGAGACCCGGGACCCGGGCCCCGCCCTCGCCGATCGATCCGGATTGATCCGGATCGAGCGCCCGCCGCTTGAGGTCATCAACGGCGGCAGCCACGCAGGTAATCGCTTGGCGTGCCAGGCGCCGAATCTGAAAGCTTCCCCTTTTGGACCGCCCAAAGTTCAGGCAAGAACCTCCGTTCCAGTTTTGGAACGGGGGAAATCATGACTCCGGATGTTTCTTTTTGTGTGAGGCTCGATACCTTTTGTTGTGGTTTCAAAGGGAAACCGCCCTTGTTTGGGGTATTTTACAACAGGAGAGACCCCTTTGAACATTGAGGCAAAGCACATGGTTCCTTGACGTGTTTAGTTTTTGCAGGTTCAATAAATTGAGAAAAAGTACCATGGTAGCCTAGCTTGGTTTTGTCCTGTCCCAGGTTGTTGATGACCCACAAGCTTATCCCTTTTGTTTGTTGTCTGTTTCTTGGTTGTCCTTCTATGCTTTTGTGTTTCTTTGGTTCTTTCTTGTTCTGTCCTTGTATTGCCCTTTTCTGTCCTGCTTTGCGTCCTTTGCGTCCTCCTATGTCTTTTGTTGGCTTTATTGGTCGCAAGAAGCTGGCCCTCTTTCAATCGAGTGAACACGGATGCTCCCAAAAGGAAAGCAGTCTTCCAATCAGCAGCTTCCATTGGAAGGAGAGCAACTTTCATCCAAGCTGGACATTCTCCAGATGGGGAAACCACCAAAATGCATGGTGTTTTTTTCCTGTTTCTCTTTAAACTCACCCAAAACAGACCCAAAACAGGGCACAGGAGAAGCATTTGTTTTGACGTTTTGCGACCAGACCCCTCGGTGGCGATCCTTGACTTTTGTCCTTTGGTGTCCCTTGAAACCAACCGCCAAAAGGGTACCCACAAAAGCCGCAGCCAAATAAAAAAGAAGTGGTGTTCCAGGTGGTTTCCTTCGGACAAGCATGAGCCGAAAAAGAGAACCCGTTGTATGTGTCAATGTAAGGCATGGTCCCAGTTGTTTTGGAAGTATCAAATCAGCTGCACCGCCGCTTGTAATTTGAAGGGCAGGAGTGTGTTGGAGCGGCCGCGCAAGTCAAACATGGGGCTGAGCAAAGTAAAGCGCAAGTGAAGCGCAAGTGACGCAGTGATGATTCATCATCATCATCATCATCATCATCATCATCATCATCATCATCATCATCATCATCATCATCATCATCATCACCATGGCCCAAAGATTAACAAGTTTTCACGCAAGTCCCGGATCTGACGTTTGAGTGCCCCAAAAGGTTAAGCTTTTATTTCTATAGGGCAACTGAGTTTAGAGAGGGAGCCTGGAGTCGGGGGTTCTCCAAACATATTTCAGTCTTCCTCCGGTTTCCTTGGAAAAAGGCCCACCAAACCGCTCGAAGGGCGAAGTTGTCCGCACCAAGACAACTTGCTGGTTCTCAGCCAGTGAGCTCGAACAAACCACCGTCCAACCTTTAGCTTCCTTTGTATTCGGGAAGCCCCTTCCACCGGCTCCAGGCCCAAAAAGCGCCCTTTTCAAAGCCCCGTCAGGCCCCAGCGACCGGATCTATCTCACCAGTCGCCTCGAGTTTCCTCAAGCCAAAGGGCTAAAATGCATCATTCTGGATGAAAAGGTTGGACATTTTGGACGGTTAGCTCTGGAGCTTTTTCTCAGTTCCCCAAAGGGCATCAACCTTTTGGCCTTTTAGCTTCCCATGGGCCATTTTTCGTGGTGCCAAAAGGTGATCACCTTTTATGTCCAGGTCCTTTGGGCAAGTGAACTCGTGCATTTGCACCTTGCTGTTCTTGAATATGGAACTCGTGTTCCCCAAAAAGTTCCGGAGGCCAAAAGATCGATCGATTTTTAGAGGACTCTCCACACTTCGCTCCCCAACTTTCCGCCGTTTCCGAAGAATTCGAAGCCGCGGGGAGTTTTTTGGCAGGAGTTCATGATCCTCCCCACGGGCGCGGCCTCTTTCCGGGAGGCCATGAACATCGGGGCGGAGGCGCGGGTGGGGTGACGCTGGGCTTGGGCTGGGGCTGGGGCTGGGGTGGGGCGGGGGTGGGGTGGGCGAGGCGGTTTTTGTTGCTGGTCTTGGCGGTTTTGGTGGGTTGAGTTGGTGTTGGTGTTGGTTTCGATGGTTTTGGTCCCAAACTTTGGTTTGGTTGGGTTGGTTGGGATGGGTGTGGCAGGTTGGTTTGCCAGAGAGGCAGTGTCCCCAGCATCACTAGCATGATTTACACCAGATTGGCGACATGTCACATGTTTGTTGTTGACCCTGGAGGCAGTTGGGACTTGCTTTGGGCCGAAAAAGAGTGAACGCACGCGTTGATTTGCAAGCCATCGAGCCTTGGCCTAGGTTGCGAGCCTTCCGGACGCCAACGGCTTAAATGGATGGGCGATTGCTGAGGATTAGTGAATGCAGGGCCTAGCTAATTCCTAATTAGAATGGAGTGCTGTACCATGAAACCAACGTGTCTTGTCACATGAAAACAAAAAACGCTTGAACATGCAATTATGAAACCGCCGCTTATCTTACGAGGGTTTCAGCGAACCAGGGCTAGTTTAGTTCATTGGTTGCCTTATGGCAAATTTGCTTAGATGGCTAGAGCATTACTCACATTATCATCATATGAGTATGAGCCTTAATTTGCTACCTCAAAACCCTTTTTGCTGTGTTAGGCTTTTATATTACTTGGTCCTGAACCAAATGCGGACATGACCCAACTGAACCATCCAACTGGTTTTAGCAGATCTAGGCCAGTGGTGCCTGGCATGAATTTCGTCCACCCACGTCACTCGTCCACCCACAGTATCCATCCACGGAACTACAGCATGGGTACCGTCTTTTTTGTGGAGTTGGCACCCTTTTTCGGTGCTTGGAAAGGGAAGCCAACGGGAAACTCCATCTCAAGTCATGAGTTTCTGGACTTCAGCGGCTTGGGTTTGGAAGTTGGTGGCAAATGTCAAGATTGGGCACCTTTTTTTGGGGCCATGCTCGGGTAGTGAGCCATTTGAACCAAAAGTCACCGCCCATGTTTCGCGCTTTTTGGACGGAGGTGTACCACACCCTCAAGGGCGTCATCAAGAAGAAGTACGGCCAGGCGGGTGTGGTTGGTACTTAAGGAATGGAATGGTTCAAGAAATGGTTGGGGTCTTTGGGTGTTCGACTTTGGTTTCCTTTTTCTCTCGTGGGTGTTGTTTTCCCATTTTGGTAGGTGGTTCTCGGGGGACATGGGTCATGGGAATGACCCCTGGTGTTGTTGGGAATGGCTTGGGAGCCTACCATATTCCAGAAAACGTGTGGTTCGCCGAGCACCGACTTGTTTATGGGTGAATAATCGATTTGGATCGCCTGGCTTGACCCTAAGCCCTAAACCCTAAACCTGGCTTAGGGGTGTGAGCCACTTCCTTCTGGAACCAAACAGAAAAGGTGGCCCTTGGCAGACCTCCAAACCACCACTCCAAACCACTAGGGCAGAAGGTGGTCCCAGAGCTTTCGGGGTGACCTACCTCGGATGGGTTCTCAGTGCGGACTCTCCCAGAGGTGTGGGTTCCTTTGGGTTTCCCTCTAAAACATGGAGAAAGGAAGCAAAAACCCACTGGTAGCATGACATTGACCTGTGGCCGTGAGTGTCATGGACAGCCATTCCGGAGAAATGACCCCGAATGTATTCATATGGGGGTGTCCCGTGGTGTTAGCGGGGAGTTGTCACTTTTGGAGGGGAACACCCCATACTAATGACATTACCAATCGTAGCAAGCCAGACAAGCAACGCCGCTGAATTTCAGCACAAGTCAGCGGGCTGAAAGCTTCGGCTTCGGTCTTCCCCAGAAGACATCACCAAGTAAATCGGTGCTTCTCAGAATGGTGGACCTCCTTTTGGTTGGTATGAAAATAGAAACCCAAAGGACGCCAGCCCTTTTTAGGGGCCCCTGTTTTGAGACATGCCCAAATGAGTAGAGTTTGTTTTGGGGGCATGGCCTTTTTCCTTGGTACAAGGTTGAAAGCGGGAATGACCCCTACAAACCATCCCCTCTGGATTCCTGTGAGGGAATTTCTGGGTCATTCCCTGCTGGAGCACCAGCAAGTTGATCATCAAATAGGATAATTCGAAACATTGTGAATTTCAGAAAAAGTTTTCCTTTCCAAAGTGTCCCTTGGTACCGCTTACTCGGAGTGTTTAGGAATCTGCATTGGGCGAATCTCTTTTCATGAACCAAGCCCAAGACTGGAAATATATGAGGTACCGAGGTACGTGAGCAAGTGGTGATTCCAAACAAAAAAACACCCGGCTGCATCCGACTCCCTTTTTTGATGACCACCAAATCACCTGTCGAATTGACAATTCCTCTCGGGCCTGGTGTGTGTTTTGGTCGTTTTCCGCCCCCAGACGTTTTTTAGCCAAGGAACACACCAGAATGGAAGCCTTGTTTCCAGCAGGCGGGGAATTCCAAAAGCAAGAACACCAGGCCCTCGAGATTCGGTGGCGGGCGAGAATTCAAACAGTCACTGAGGCCCCGCGAATGCATGTGTTTTTCAAATGTAACAAAATCAAAAACCAACGCCGGAGCCGGTTGGATGTTCCTTTGGTTTCCAAACAAATCCTCGGAGACACGGAGACTCTTTGCGGTCCGCTGGTGGCACCGCCGGTGGTGCGGGGCCTTTGGGCAGTTTTTTTGGTGCCAGGATGCCTGCAACGTGGGCGACGAGGGCGGCCGGGTGCCAAGGTTTTCGGGGAAATTGGGCCTTTGGTGCGGATCCTCTGCTCAGCTGCTCAAACCCGAGCTTTTGACCTGTTGGTCTTCCGATTTGGTCCAACCTTTAGTTTCATAGCCTTCATCTGCCAGGTCTGGAGGGCAACTGAGTCCCAAGCCCGGTCCAAGGGTTTTTTGTTGAGCCTCTGATCCGATGTTTTCTCCCAGGTTTGAGACAGAAATCCTACGAGGCTTCCATTGCCATTCTGAACCCAGGGATCCGAGTCTTTTCAGGAAATCCAAAGAAGCCCGGAGAAACGGATCCGGTTTTTGAAAAGGACGATGGTTGAAAAGAATGGACTAGAAGAAAGGTTTCCGAGTTTTCGATTGGCTCCTTTCTGAGGGAGCAAAGCTGAGATCCGAGAAGAAGCTGGGGGGAGGAGTCCAAATTCTTATGTCTGGTCCTTTACCTAGTGGGTTGTCCAAGCGATAATTATCCCATGTAGCCTTTTGATCCTGACATTCGTGTTGGCTCGTAGGATCATTGAAAAATGCTGCTCCAACTAGAAAAAACGGGTCGACGCCTTTGGGCATTGGTGGGTTCCTTTGGGCACCAAATGGAATCCCGCAGGAGTTTTGTCAAATGCAAGCACCTGGGGATGCGTGTTTTTGTCCAGATCGGTTGAGCACCCAGAATACAGTAGTCCAAGTGGCAAAAAGCACGGAATCAATCTGCGCCCCACCGGCGGGGACGGTATCCAGACCAAGCATTAGTACCAGATGCACGCACCTTTCTTATCTTGGCATTGTCGGACTTGGGGTTGTCTCCAAATCGGGTGCCTTTTGTTGTCCCTGTTTTGAACAGGGGACCCTAAAAGAAGATACCCTCACTGAACTGATCTTTTTTGTCTTTCGCCCTTTTGGATTTTCTGCGCACATTTGATTTGCACGTGGGTCTAAATCTGATACAGTTTGCCTCGACACTGAGCAAGTCATGGCGGGGCATAGGTCCACGTTTTGTTCAACCAATTGGGGGGGGTGCGATGCCCAACTCCCATCAGTTTTACGCTTCTGGTCTTGCAAGAATCTGCGTCCAGGTTCGGCGGGGGTTGCGACATCACCCATGAAGCTGTCTGTATATTTTGGGGATTCCGAATTATACAGTTTGCGCTCCGCCGCTTAGACGCTCCTTTTGGGAGACCCCCAAAATCTTCCCCAGAATTAGCTCCCCTTTTTGCGATCCTTTTACTTTCTGGAGTCCCCTTGGTTTTCCCCTACCGTAGCCAGGCAAAACAAATCTCGTTGTTTTTTTTTCTTTTTTCTGCTGTCCATTTCTTCCAGCCGAGAAATGGGGGGATTTCCATGTGGAACTGCCGAGCCTCCTTTGAGGTTTTGCGCCCAGCGTCCAAGACAACAACGAGGCGGGCACGCCGAGAAGTGCTGGAGCCGAGCCGGAATTCTTCGCTGGGAGCGTTCTTTGGGGGACGGATTGCAAATGGGGTGTGCGTTTTGTTTCTTCTTTTTTCAGGATACCCCTGCTTGTGTTTCTTTCTTTTTTTGGAGGGGGAAACCAAAAGGATGCTCACCATTTCGGAGGGTCCCAACCTGAGAAAGTCACGGTCTTGTTTGCTTCCACGACCGTCGCGTGTTATTTTGGTTGTGGCTCAGTTTGGGCCCCAAAGAACCTCCACAAGCGGATGGTACCCTCGGGGTGGGCTTTAAAGGGACACTAAAAGGAAAACCACTATGTTTGGGGCGGTCCCGTAAAAGAAGACACACCCATTTGCCGGCTGGTTCTTCTTGATGGAAGATCAAGGCAATTAGCCAGCCAACATTTCCAAGTGCACGCCGGTCATAGACTTTAGGAATATTTTCGGCCGACTCTCAGACACGGTTGCTCTCCAGTGTTGGTCCGTAGTACCCAATTTTGGCACCCCGGGAGAAAGCCAACTCACACTTCCTGAAACAAGCAACACACTCCTTCATTAAATCTCGTTCGGAAATTCGTTAGCCTTGCATTCCCAGGTTTCTTTTCATCCATTAATCAGCTACTTTTGGTTCCCGAAGTTCTGTCGCTGCATTCCCTGCTTGTGCCCTTCGTATCCTACCGGAACGGAACCATGTCTTTTTTTGAATTCACACCCGCCGTTTTTTTGTGTTGTTGTTTTTTTTGTTTTTGAAATTTGGCATGTTGGATTCAGATGTTGGTGCTTTTTTGTCGCAGACGAAGCAAGCATGCAAATGAGTGAGTGACGGTGATTTCACCGAACAAAACGCCACGGTCCCGTTGTTTTTCCTGTTGAATTCACACCGCCTGGAGGTCCCGGTGTTTTGTTTATTCACGCCTGTGGACCCTCGTGCTTTCTCTTTTGAATTCACGCCTGGGGGCTCCGGTGCTTTTGTTTGAAAACATGCCTGGAAACCCCCAGGCATGATGTCACACAAGGCTTTGATTATGACTCATGTCTTTTGAATGAACTCCATTTCCATCAGGTAAGCCTTAGATGGTGATGTGGTTTGGTGGTTTGGATTTGGATTTGAAGCCCTGGTTCTTGTAGAGGACAAACGGGACACCGACCTGGAAATCGCATTCATTGTTTCATTGATATTTCCTCTCCAGTGAATGGAAGACTAGATAGCTTTCACATCATTAGATTCAACAAGTCTATTCCATCTTTTAAAAGCATTGACAACATAAGGACACCTTCATCTGCCAACAAACGGCAGGCGCTGGATGTGCTGATGGAGGCCATCGAGAAGTCCGGGCACAAGGCGAAGGCGCTCGCGGTTTCGGCAGTTTCGGCGGTTCAAGTTCGGCCGACAAAGGAGAACCAGGGGTCCCTTTACGCCTAGGTCCCCCAGCTAGGTGCCTTTTCTCACCCCTTTTTTGGTTGGGAGGTTCCCCTACTAAAATAGACTACAGAAAAAAGGGTACCCTTATTCTAACCTCTCTATTGGAGGACCTAGACCCCTAGTCTCCCTTTTCACCCCCAGGTCACCATGCTCACCTTGGCTGAAAGGGATTCAAAAGGAAAACCACTTCGGCGATTTTTTTCGGGGGTCCGAATACCTATGTTCACACCTACCTTGAGTCTCTTTCAGAGAACCCTTAAAAAATGGGTAGAGCCCGTTCCCATTTTTTCAGGGTCACAAGGAGACTCCACCTTGCCTGGATCGCTTCGCAGGGGGTTGGATCTGTCTGGCCCACTTTACAGCCCCAAAAGAGTAGCCTCCAAAAGTCGACACGCTGTGGAGTGTTGGGTATGCTTTGAGGTCCTTCTGCCAAATGGGCATATCTCAAACAGCGATGACACATGGGATAATTCAGGGGCACTAGGGCGGTTCCGGTTGAAGCAGCTCCCAAATTGGGCAGTCCGAAGACCTCTTGTGCACCAAGCCAGGGTGGCGAGTATGTCTTGTCTCTCCTTTTTGTTTGGTTTCCAAGGGAACACCGACGAGACCACTCTTGGCGACAAAAAGCTGCCCTTGACTTTTTGTTGAAGCACTCACTTTCGCACTTTTGGACTCTAGACTTTATGGGTTTGGACCAATTTAGTGCGAAACAGGCAGTTCAGACTTTCTTATGCCAATGCGCTTAGGAAATGAGTATCACCTGAAAGCAAACTGCGCTCCCTTTAAAACTGCCCCACATACCGGCTAGAAATCCTTTTTGACACATTCTGGGTGTGTGTTTTTTTGTTGTTGGGGGTACCCTTATTGGGCTGTTTTTTAAAGGGAAGCCACCCAGAAAAAAGAAAAACCAAAAAACACAAAAAAAATCTCAATTTGGTTCATTTCAAGATGCAACACGATGATGGATGTGTCTTTTTTGGAGATCTTTTTTGGTTCAAAGGAAAAAACGCAAAGGGACAAATTAATTGCCACCATTTCAGGGGGTGAAGATCTTCCTGGAGTCTCCGGATCTGAGCCTGAAAAAAAGGTTGGTCATTACCCAAAAAACAGTTGGTGGACCCATTTTTTTTTATCCGGGTTAGATCCGGAGACTCCAGGTTCTGCACATCTTCGAATCCAAAAGGAATTGGTCGCTTCAGGTCCAGATCGGCACGGACGTGGCGGCATCGGAGTTCTACAGACTGGGGGCCCGGTTTGCTGAAACCGCGAAACGGCCTTGTCGCAAAATAGGATTCGGAGCCCGGGACCCATAGTTGCGCAACGGTTCTCCTTTTGGTGTCTCTTCATAAGAAAAGAAAGAAATTAAAAGAAAAGAAGGGTACCAACTCAACAAAAAGTCATTCTCACTTAGGGTGCTTTCATCATGGATTCGTGGGGCCACTTTTCCGGGTGTTCGATTCCTGGGTGAAGGGTTCTCTTGATCCAGTGTCGAGGTTGACCTCGGATTTGTGAACACTACGCTTAATGTCCGGTATTTTTCCAGAAGGTTCCGCACGGGAGTGTGGTGTTGGCCTGTGCTGATCTTTTTTAATCTGCTTTTCGCCTCTTTGGTGTTCTTCATTTTGTAGTCTTTCAACCGGCAAGTTGTCTTTTTGTAGGGGTTGGGATCAGCTGGCCTGGTCATTTTGAATGGTGTCATAATTTTGCATGCGCTTGGCCGCATGCTTTGTGCCATCTGACCGCCATGAAGAATCTTTCGCGGGGCGATTTGCAACGTTCGTCATTGAGGTCACCAGGCGCATTGCGGCCTGTGGCTCTACAGGCACAGTACATGTTCAGCGCGCAGAAAAAGGGCACACGATTCCCTCACGCGAAGCGCGATGGAAGGCGTGTGCGGCGCTCGCGAAGCCAGCTGCGGTTGAGGGACCAGGCGTTGTGCTGCACATTGGGCACCCAGACCTTTTGTATGGTGCATCACTCCTCTCACAGCCGCGGGGGAATGTGGACCGACATCTTGGTGGACAATTGTGCGGAGGAATGTTGCGCTTCGGCCTCCGCTTTGTGTCTCAGCCCATCCACCTTTAAATCAGAGAAGGGGCAGAGCTTTCGACCCGCGAAGATTCATAATGTTTCCGATCGTCTGTGGTTGGAAGATTGCAGACGCATGGGACACTTAATTCATTGGCTGGGGGAGGGAACATTATTGCGGGCTTTGAACTTCCATTTTGGGGATTTTCTGCTACAGCAAGGAAACACACACGCACCCACACGCACGCACCCGTTACGTGCCAGGGCCAAAATACCTTTTTTGCTTGCCAGGTTGGGATTGTGACCCTATGGTAGTTTCTCAAATTGGCAAAATGTGTGTGTGTGTGGCTCAAAATGTTTAAGAGCCAAGCAAACCGCAGGTTGAGTTACTACTTGTCAATTTACCAGGGCAACCCATTTAGGGACATCCGATCCCTTTTTTCGAGCCACACCCGCATGACGCGTTTTAACTGGTATTTAAAGGGACACCCTTTGAGGACACCGTGGCCATTCAGTATGAATCCTTTGAGACAGACCCGTGACACGGCCTCAACTGGTTGTTTATAAAGAGCAGTGTATAAGACACGTGGTGCAGGCAAATGTATAGACAGATATAGAACACCAAACAGAGATACGCATATACATACAATTACATACAATTACATAGATACATACATACATAACATTACATTACATTACATTACATTACATTACATTACATTACATTACATTACATTACATACATTACATTACATTACATTACATTACATTACAGTACAGTACATTACATTACATTACATTACATTACATTACATACCATACATACATACATACATACATACATACATACATAAATACATACATACATACATACATACATATACATACATACATACATACATACATACATACATACATACATACATACATACATACATACATACATACATACATACATACATACATACATACATACATACATACATACATACATACATACATACATACATACATACATACATACTTACATATATACATACATGCATACATGCATGCGTACGTACATACGTACGTACATACATACGTTTCTACGTACCTACGTACATACGCACATACAGACATACATACATACATAAATACATACCTACCTTACCATACCATACCATAGCCTACCATACCATATCAGACCAGAACAAGCCATACCATACCATACATACCCACCATACGTACATGCATGCATGCATACAAACATACATACATATATATATATATACATACATACATACATACATATATACATATATGCATACATACGTACACACATGCATACATACATACATACATACATATACATACATACATGTTTACCTACATATACATATACATATACATACATATACGTATACATACATAAACATATACATATACATATACATGTACATACACATATACGTATATATATATATATATACATATATACACACACATTACATTACATTACAAATGCAATACAATACGATGCAATACAAGACAATACAATACACTACAAACACACATACATATATACACATATACATATATAAACAACCAGAAGAGGCCACGCATTGCCATGCACAGTTGGCCATTGAATCGGGCCCTGGCCGATCTCAGAAGCAGACACCAAGAAGTACGACCTGGACTTCAAGAACCCCGACAGCCCCGCGCTTACGAGGGGAGTTTCGAGCAAATCGCAAAGGGGTACAGACAAATCACAAAGGGTTGTTTTCAAGGGATAGACGTTCTCTTCATTTTGGGTGGGTAAAAGGGGTAGAGTTCAAGGGGTAGAGCAGAAGATCAGATGTTCATGTTCTTTGGGTAGATGTTGAACACGACAGATGTTTATCTGGTTTGGCACGGTGAATGCTTTCCTTCGCAGGGGTAGATGTTCAATCCAAGACGGGTTTTCCAAGGCAAAGGCGGAGTGAATCCGAGCTGGATGCTCTTAACTGTTAGGGTCTGAAACCAGCAGTCATAGTAGGGCCACAGGGGTTGGTTCATTGGTTCACTGGTCACCCGGAGTATCACTTCCCAATCCGGTACCTTTTCAAGTTTGTTGCTTGGAACCCTGCGGAAACAGGGGCACCCGCAGGGATGTGGATGAGAGAGTTGAGAGACCAGTGCCTCTACCCGAGTTCCACCCGTTCGCGACAACCTGGGACCTTCAACTTGGGACGGAGCATCATGGAACGGGTCCGAGACCCGAGGGAAGGCCTGGACTATGGACAAGTCTCACTGGATCGCTCATCGGCTTTCGTTTGGCGCGCAAAGGCCCCGACAGCATGAACAAGACGGCAGATGAGATGATCGCGCTGTACAAGGCAGGGGTGGGGGGAGTGGAGGCGAAGCCGGCGCTGGCCTTTTGCGAACTTCGGGGCGGTTTATCGTCATAGGTGTCCTTTGTAGGGATGACACTGGTTTAGATGGGGTTTCTTCCATTTACCAGGGCCATCTATTTTTCCTAAAGGCCACCTATGTTTCTCGTGTTCCGTCACTTTCCCTTTGCAGCAATCAGCGAATCAGCACTTGATTGTTTGGATTGGTTCGAGGGCCCCAGGTTCTTTGGAATCTGAAGCCCGCGGGTCCGCACGGATCGCCAATGGCGCGAGATCGCCAGGACTGGATCGCCAAGTACCCCTTCGTCTCCATCGAGGACCCCTTTGACCAGGCCGGCTCGCTAGCTCGGCGCGCTCGGATCGGATGGGTTTGGGTCAACTTGGGGATCCCGACAAGGAAGCAGGTTTTCCGGGTTTTCCCTGTAAACTCAGGTGAACAGGGTACCGTCCGAAACAATCGCACGGTCGCATCCCTGGGAACAGTATGGGAGCTATCCCAAAGTTGCAGGCCTCCACACCAGACTCGGCTGTGACGGAACCTTTAGCCCTTTCACTTGAGAGAATGCGTTTGGCATGTCTTGTTCCCAGACGTCCCGTTTACGGTTTAGGGCTAGTTCCATTTCACCCACAAAAGTTAAACTTGTATGGTGTTTGTAGCTTAGTTTAAACGGCAACTAAAAGGAAAGCCATTTTGGTGTCCAAACGTCACAATGTCCTTGTCAACACAAACACACATTTTCACACTTCAAACCCGATCTCCGGGAAAAGAACCAAATCGATCTGTGACAGGACGACTGGGACGCTTACTCCAAGTTCCAGGCAGAAGTGGGCGATTCCGTCCAGCGGCTCGGACGGATGGCAGGCTTTCACCCCAGATAGCTGCAGTTTTGTTTGTTGTATCATCTTAGACGAGTGCACCACTAGAAATGAGCCGAATTCCCTCAAGTGCCTCCTGATCTCCAGTGGCGGTGCCCTGTGTTAAACATGTTTCTGGGGTGGGGAAACACGTTGACAACCAACCGACCAACCAACCAACATTAACATCAACGTCAACATCAACATCAAGATCATCGACATTTAGCAAACAAGCAACCAATCCAGCACACACGGAGCGCGCCCCACACAAACCTGCCTCGGGGATTACCTTTGGACAGCGATCGAGTTGGAATGCCAGGCCGAAACCTCCAACTGGCACAGGTGTTGTTTTTAGGCTAGTTTGGTTAGAAATAGATGGGTTCCACTGCTTTAGCAGTTGATTTACCCATTTATTCGGGCAACCCATGTAGTTTCCGAAAGATCACCTATGGCCACTGGTGCGAGATCTGCCGGACTCGGAGTTGGGGCGTATCCAACTGGCGGGTTCATGGTTGTTTAAGGGAATCGAAACGGTGCATTTCCAGAACCAGAAATTTCGTGAGAACCAGCAAGTTGTTGGTGCAGACACCCAAAGGGAGGTCAGGTTGTCTTCAGTCGACATGCAGCTGTCTATTGTTGAATTGAGGTTTGGGATGGGGTGGAGCCCTTACACATCAACCAATCCAGGGGACGAAACCCAAGCCTAGCTTTCTAACTTCCTCTTGCCTGCACTAATATCTTTGACTGGGGTGTGGTTTTGCAGACATTCCACGTTTTGCATGGCTTTGAAGGAGCTCCAAGAGTAAACGACTCATTTCGGGTCCCGGTTCCATATAGTTTCAGACACGCCGGACGTTCTTTCGCCGTCTTCAGCCGAGGATTGTGGGCTTCTTGGCAGGACTTTTTGGGGCAGTGCGAGAGCAGGTGGACTTGGTCCACCCGGTCACAAATATGATCCATTTGCCCCCCAGACATTCAGTGGTGCCCTGTTTCCCAAAATAATTTGCAAGGTTTGGGATTTACGAGGGACATAGGACGGCACTCACTAAATTTCCGGTATCTGTACCGTGGCTGATATGTGGCACATCAACGTGGCAACCTCATCCACAGGTTTGTGCTTCACCCAGACATGAGACATGTGCCGTGTTTAATTGCCAGCCTTTTACTTTGGTTGTGTTTAGGCAACCTTAGGCATTTGTGGGAGGCGTTTAGTTGAAGGGATTGGCGCCGCCCCCTACAAGATCACAAATGTATGGATCCACTTCTGAATTCAGCTTTTGGAATGAAGCATTGCAGCTTCTGGAGGGGTCATCCTTGAGGCTTTAAGGCTGATCTCGGCCTATGGGCTTCGGCTGTTTGGTGTTCAGCCTGGTAGCTATGCAAAAGAGAGTTGGGCCTTCGGAAGTTGGTGACACCCCCCCCCCCCCGGCCCAATGGAGACCTGGAGAACGTTCGCAGCCCCGGCCTTGAAAGCAACCCTTGCCCACTTGATTGTTTGCCGGCCTATCGTAGGGGACTGTCGCAAGCAGAAGGTCCAGGCACAAAGGTTGGGCATCGGGTCCCTAACCATCGGCTTCAGTTTTTCCCGAAAGGCCTCGCGATAAGAACCAGCCGGTTTTTTTGTCGAAGCACCTCTGGTGCATTTTGTTGGGGAGAATTAGCGGGTCGCCTCTTGCCCCTGGCTGGAGGTATGGGGCAAGTTGAAGGCCCCACTTATCAACCCAATCGGCATACTTACCATCACGCATCGCAGGCTTAATGGGCCATGCAGACTATACATCTATGAACTCTATTGGCTTTCGCACCCTACATGGTTGGCACCTGGTCCAATCTGAGTTGTTCTTTATGGGAAACCTGCCTGAGGATAGCCTGCTGGTGGTTTGCCTTTCAGCTGAGGTGATGACCTGCTGGTCACCAACCCCAAGCGGGTGCCGATCTCGGGTGTGGTTGTCGACGCATTCTTGGCTGGAACAGACAACCATTTCGGGTAACACAACCAGACCAATTTCAGCCCCCTTCAGAAACCAAAAGGGAGTGTTCTGAACAAAAGAGATTTGAAAAGGGGTGGCCCAATCCTGACCCCAAGACAACCCAATCCTGACCCCAAGCCAGCAGATCTGGCTGACGGTTGAGGCATTGGCCGTGCTTCGCCTAAGTTGGCCTCTGCTCCAGGGGACTTTCACCGTCGGGGCATTGTTTGTTTCAGGAAGCTCGGAGGGCTCAGGGCCGTGTGCCGGGCCCATTACTTCTGGTTGTAGGCTGTTTGGCCCCCTTGAATGAAGCAATCTGGCTGGGTTGTTGCCTTCCGCGCCTATGATGATAGAGTGCCTTACAGGGGAAAGGGGGCGTTTCAATACTCGATCCGTACACGAATCCTGCCCAGACTTCCAGTTGCAGCCAGTGGATTCTGCTTCTATTGTTGGGGTCCCTTAGCTGATACATCCGGGCCCTCCTCTCTTGCAAAGCATGTTTGAATGCACCCTTTGAGGACTGGTCTGTTTGTTTGTTTCTTTTTTTGTGGGGTTCCCTTTGCAGGTCTGTGCCAATCCAACATGTCCCTGGTTCCTGGGGCCCACGATCAACTCAAAATTTGGCGGGGAGTTGTGGTTGAAGGCCACCGGGAGTTGCATTACCAGATCTTTTAACCGGACTTCCGTGTTCCTGGCTACTCATTGCCTGGACACCTTTGCTGTTTAGACTGCCAACTCGGCCCTTGTGCCTTCGTGTTTTCCTTTTGTTTTCCGCTGGAGGTCTAAGTTTGTTTGAAGCTGCCTCTTTGGCAGAGCGAGCTGTCTGAAGGGAACAACACAAGTCCTGCATGTTGCCACCTACCACCCCTTCTTGGTGTTTTGCCTGCTGGGAGAACAGTCCCACACGACCACGTCGGAGCAGAAGAATGTGCTACTGAGGTTCTTCAACCACTTGGTTTCGTAGCAGGAGAGTCACACTCACAGTAGGTTCGGGGTATTTCCCAGCCAGCCAAGTCTGGGCAGGCTCAAACCATCCTCAACTTTGGATGCCAAAAGACGCCTGCTTCGCGTGAGGTTCCACTTAGAAACCTCCAAACCCCTTTTTGCTTCTCTAAGCACCCACAAGCAGTGGTACCCTATTTGGTTGGTTGCTCCTTTTCGTTTTGGAGATTTAGTTTCAGGGGGTCTTTCCTATTCTTGTTCGTTTCCTGGCCGCCCCCCTGAGAATTGCTTGTTGTTTTTTCTTCCGCTGTTTCAAGTTTTTGTTGTTTCGTTGTTTCTCACATGTTGCGTGTTTGGCCCAGCCGTGTTTGCTTTTGTTTGGTTTGCTTTGTGAGTTTGTTTTGTATGCGTTTTTTTTTTTTTTTTAATAATCGTTTTTTTTTTTTGTTTTTTTTAAATCGGTTTTTTGTGTGTTGGGCCCAGCCGTGTTTGCTTTTGGGTTTCCTGAAGAGGCGGAAACGACGTCGGGTCCCGGCTTAGGTGCAGAAGGCTCTGGACTGCAAGGCATGCAACGCGCTGCTGCTGAAGGCCTTTGGGCAACCGAGGGGCGGCCGGCCGGCCTTCGGGCGGAGGTGTTGGCAGGTTCTCAGCAGCCCTGTTGCCGGGGAAGGACATTCTTCCATTGTCTGTTGCTGAAATGAAGATTTGTTTTGTTTCCCCCCTGTTGCTTTTAAAGGGAATCTACTGCGCTACTGGATATGATTATGTTTATTGTTTGCAGGGGGCGAACACGCACATTGAGGTGCTTGTGGATTTTTCCGTTAGCAGCGTACCATGCAAACGACACACCCATATATTCAGGGAACCCTCAATTGGTTTAAATTGGTGGTCTGGATTTAGATTTGAACCCCTCGCTCTTTTGAGGGTAGATTGGAAACGACGTCCAATCACCAAACCACCACTCCAAACCACAAACAAAGGGCAAGCTGACAGGAGGTTGTAGTTTAAGAGTTCCTGGCCGGCTTTTATTGGCTAGAAGGTAATTATCCCCACCTTCCAGGATGTATAGGGTTAAATGGATGATCTAAAAATCCAACTGGCATCAAGCACTTGCTCTGGTTTTGTTTCATTAATTGTTTGGCTTGGCTGAACATTGCCGCAGTTACCATTTGTGGGGGTAGCCCAACACTTGCAGGTCAGAAGGATTTTGTCTGGACTTGCATGGTCGCTGGGTTCTTGCCATTTGACCTCTTAACGCACTTTACCAACCCTGGCCGGCTAACTCTAAGCCGCCCCCAATCATCCCGAATCCAATCCTAAACCCACTCCACGCCTAAACTCAACTGAAACTTAGGTTGCTGTGGGCGAGGGTGAAGAGAAAGGGTCGGTAGAGGGTTAGAAAGAAAGGGGGAGGGTTGAACGCAAATGGGGAGGGTTAGATAAGAATGGTGAGGGGTTGAAACAAAGGAAGGGTTCAGCAACAAGGTTCCGAGAAGTTCCCCAAGAAGGGGTCATATGTTTGACCGCCACTAAAAGGAATAGGATATTTTCCCAAGGTGGGGGGGGGGCATAGGGAATACTCTTTTGGTGGCTTGTCTAGGCTTCCTTTCCAACACATTCCCGAAAGTCGGTATGTTGGACTCACTCAAAATGGTAAGACCAGACTAATCTTTGCAGACCCGAGGGAGTACGGGAAGTCGGGTAGTGCCCAACAAAAAGCCACCAGGAACCCTGTTAGCACCAAAAAACGGCCTTAGGGCAAATCGCACGGTTACAGCACTTTTCAGTTGAGCAGTGGCACCCGTTTCCCTTGTTGTTTGTTGGCCCGAATTGTCGATGAAGCACCATTCCAATTTTCCCGGCTTTCAAGCTGCACCATCCCCATTCTCTGCCAAAAACGCGCGCGTCGCCCCAAAACCCAAACGAGAATGGGTGAAGAAAGCCCCGGGGCGGCATGGGAAATCAGCCCCGAAGGTGAATCAGATCGGCTCAGTCACGGAGGCCGGAGACCTGACGTCGTGCCACGCGAAAATGGCGACCCATGCGCGGTGGTTCCGGAACCAGGGAAAGCTGTTGGCATGAGTTGTAGTGTGTTTGAAGTGTTTGTTCATGCTTAGAGAGCTTGTGGGTTTAGGTGTCTCGTTTTTTGTCTCTTCTTTCTTTCAGTTCAGGTTTTGTTTGTGGCTGCAAGAAGAGCAAAGTGTTTGGGGCCTACTTGCCAAAGCGAAGATCGATGCACTCGAGAGGGATGTTGAGAAGGCTACATTTGAACCTGTTCGTCATGGACCGTTTAGGGATTTTAAACCAATGGGCTCTGCCGATGGGTTTCGAGCTTGCCATGTCAGGAGGTAGTATGAGCTCATGATGGCAGCATCCTTTGCTTGGATATCCCAACATGGCTTCGGCTTTCCTCTTTTAAAGCCAACCTAAAAGGGGTGGCCCCCCAAAAAAACAACACACCCATATCCGAATTTGATTGTTGCTTGGAAGCGGAGCATTTGTGGAAAGCTGGAAAGCCTCGTTCAGAGATCCCTGGATGTGGGACAACCAATATTGCTTCAGTGTTCATGGTATGTCTTGTAGTGTTTTGCTGGTGTGGTTCTCTTGATTTCTCAATGGGCTGCAAAGCAGGTCTGTTGCTGACATACCGATCATGGGCGTTATGCTACATTGTGTGTCTTTTCAAGCAGAAGGAAACCAACAGAGGTTTCCGGTTACACGGAAGTATATGTGTTCAATTTCCCACAAAAACAAGCCCCAAAAGGGCAACATCAATAAAAAGACACACCCATGCTATACCTATTTCTGGACTTGAGTCACTTTGAGAGCATCGTTTAGTGGCAAACGGAAAGACCAGGGCCCTTGTTCTGACCAATCCCGGAAGTGAGTCCTAAGAACTCGGACATTTTGAGATGGCCCAGTGCCTTGAACAAGACCGCGCCACTCGGCATGAAAATGAACGCCCATGCGGTGCGAAGTTGATTTTGGCCATCAGGTCGCTGACATGTGCCTTGCGCAATTCTCTTTGTTTTACGCGTGAGGTTGGTGGGGATGGGGGGGGGGTGTCCGCATCGGGAAAAAGCAACCAGCCCTAGGTGTTGACCCGTTTCCCTCCAGCCCAACTCAGGTAAGGATTCATGTCCACCAACCACTTCCACTTGTGAATTGGTTCTCCATGAACCCTCATAGCCATATTGGGTTTGTCTCTTGTCCAACCCCCAGAAACACTCATAGCGGCCCTAAAAGGCCGGTGGCTCCAACTCTGAGAAACTTTTCAAGCCGCCCTTTTGCCTTTGCCTTTGCGATAGCGCACAGTGTCTGTTCGACGCAGCGATCGATGGGAGGCGGAAAGAAGGAGAAGGCCCCAAAAACAAACAAGTCAGGTTTCCCCATGAATTGAAGCAACCCCAAAAGCCGGTGGCTCCAACTGACCCAAAAAAAACAGAAGAAATCAGGGCGCCCCTTCACTGGGAACTCGCCATCGACAGGCCATTGAGGCGTCCTCCATGTCTCAGTTCGCCGGGTGGGGCGTGATGGTGTCCCATCGCTCCGGCGAGACCGAGGAATCCGTTTCCGCCCAGTCCGAGAAACACAAATCCATTTCTTTCATATAAAGGAAGCAGCCGGAGGCAGCAAATTGTGTTTTTGTTGTTTTTGTTGTTTCTTTTTCCCGTTTCTGTTTTCTTTTGCCGCTGCTAAGCGTCTTAGGCTAATAGGGGTTGATTCCCCACTCTTGTCAACCATCATTCTTACAAAGGCCAGGGTGATCTTCCAGGTTTTCTGAAACGAACAGAATCCTGTTTCCACAAGGGCCGTTGCCGCGATATGGTTATCTACAGCCGTGTTGGCTTGCGGCGGCAAGTGCAGGAAGCCCTCGGGGCTTTTGACCTCCGATGCAACCAGCCGGGAAAGCGCCGATCATCTACCCCACGGAAGCTAGCATGAAACCCTTGTAGTGCTATAGACCCCTGACCGAACATGGAACCCAAGCCCACTCCCCAATGGCCCCCTGCAAGCCCTTTTTTAAGCGGGCTTACAAGGTTGAACACATGGGGACCCGGTTTTTCCAACAACCAACCGGTTCTTGGACCTGAATGATACCTTTTGGCTGAAAGGGCCCCAGACAAAAACCGGTTGAAGCAGGGCCGCCTGCACCTTGCATTGGGCAAGTGTCTATGAAGGGCGACCCTAGGAATTGTGGTTCTCCTTTCACAGACACAGACACAGGCACACACGCGCATGCACAAGTGAAGGATTACGAGGGTCCCTTACAGGAGAAGCGTCTTCCAGGGGATACCGGATCAGATTTCATGCGTGTTTTTGGGACGTCTATGGGCGTCTACAAGTTCCCAGTTACACTCCAACCAATATGGAATCCTGAATTGAGCCCCCAGAAAGACCATCTTCAGGAAAGCCTCTAGAGGATCTGGTGGCTTTTTGGTGGGTACGACTTCCACTACCCTTCGCTCGTTTGGGATTGGTTTGGATTTGGTGTTCTCTACAAAAGCCGACCCCTTCAACTCCAGATCCAGTTCCCGCGCCAACTCACCAGGAGGGCACCTGACAGAAAATCCCCACCCGGAGCCATGGGACCTCAAGCGGTCAGAATTTGCGGAAAAGGAAAGTGGTCTACGCTTGGACATTCCACATAGCTCCAGGTGCTTGAAACCATGGAAAACGATGGGGGGACTCAGGACTCTCAAAAAAAAATGACACCCTTGTGTTGCAGACCAAACGCTGGAAAACGATAGGGGACTCAAAAAAACGACACCTTCCACCCGGACCGAGACTGAGACTGAGACCTCTCCAGGACTCCTTCATTGCGGACCTCGTGGTGGGCCTCCGCACCGGGCAGATCAAGACCGGCGCCCCCTGCCGCTCGGAGAGGCGCGCGGGCCCCGATTTTTTGGAGCCGCGGAGTTGAAGTTGATGCTCGGAGGCTCGGATCGTGGCCAAACGCACCCCGGAAGCGAGCCCTTCTTGTTCCAACTGGGTTTTTGTGGGAGGGGAGGAGGGGGGGAGGGTGAAACCCGTCAAAAGTCAACGAAGAAACAAGGATTGATGGGGATGGGTCTCAACCTCAAAATGGCGGCACCCTTAGAACCTCAATGGTCTCAACCCTTCCGTTTCCTTTATACTGGTGGAGTTCATCAATGTCCGAAAGGACCCTGGAATACTATAACCCCAACCTCCGTCCTGCGGCTCCAATCATCCCGAGAGGGAATCACCTCTTAGACCCGGCCTTTTGTCAATCGCCGGGGCTTGTTTCCCTCAACTACAAGTCCCCTTGCTTGCATCAACTGATATATGGTTTTTCAGGTCGACCACGGATGACATGTCCCGTGGAAACAACGTAAAGTCAGCCCAGGTGACACTGCCAACAGCAAGGCCAAGATTTCCCTTCCGCCCGAACACGCCCAGAGCCGCTCCCTTCACCGCTCCGGAGACCAGTTTGAAGGGTCCCCGGTCACATCCGTGCGGCCAGCGTTGGTTTTTTTTGTTCCTGTGTTCACTCCCTAAAGCGGATGATTTGAAACAAAACAACGCGCCCCTCTGAAAGAGGGCTTCTAGACTTCTAGGGGGGTCGCTTTATTTTCCCCGACAAGGGGCTAACCCCCGCCTCTAGGGGGTCTCGGTCGCCGACCGAGTCGCAGACCGAGCGCCATCGAGAAACTTCCGCAGGTTGGCAAAGTACAACCAGCTCCTGCGCATTGAGGAAGAGCTGGGCAGCAGGCGAGCGCTATCGTCGTGAGTCCACAAAAAGCATAGAAACCAGCAGGAAATTCTACAGGAAACTAGCAAAATTCCCACCAAAATCAGGGGTTTCCTGTAGAACGTCCTGTAGTTGGTTTGGTAGAAAAAATGTAAATGTGCGGAGCATCCGCAACCCTTACCCTTCCTCCAACTGACCTACTTTGTGGGCTACCCTTTTTTAGGTCGGTTTAGAGGGACTCACTCCCCGAGTTCCTGGACTTATTTTTGGGGAAGACCATTGTAGTGGCAAACAAAGTTTATTTGCCAACATGTTCCTAACGGAACTTCCAGTGGGCAAGCATTTTGAGGGGTGCTTATTTGATGACTTGTCTGGTGTGTTTCCCTTCAAATGAGCCATTTAGAGAGTCAAACTGAGGATGTCAGAAACTAAATTTGCCTAACACAACATCTCCCTGTTCGATTGTTTAAACTGCGTAGAGGTACTTGTTTGAAGATGTCGCAAGCTAAACGGCCAACAACGCATCCACCGTGAGCCGTGAGCACTGAACCAGGCTTGTGTTACACGCAGTGGGGGTGCTTTCCGTCATGGGTGCCATGGAACTGGAGTGTCACTAAGTGAGGGGTGAGGAAAGTTGTCCACGTGGAGCTGGGTAGCCTGGGTAGCCTGGGTAGCTGAGTAGGCTGGGTAGCCTGGGCAGCCTGACTCCTGGCCTAAAGAAGGAGAGCCCCCGTCCCCAGTTTGCCAGGGTGCTCTTGGGGTCCAGGATTACACGGTGTTTCCCAAAGATTGTGTGGGGGGGGGGGGGGGGTGAGACTACCTATTTGCATTTTTTTGGGGGGATGTAAAAATCCTGGAGTCTCCTTCTGCCCCTCAAAAAAAGACCAATTACCATTTTGGGGTAGGTGCCCCACCCATTTTAGAACCTATTTTAGTGGTTGGATTGGTTGATGTTCACTGGGGGTACTTTTTTGGGGGGATTTTGACCCATAGCCACCCTGGGTAGCCTGGAGCCTGGGTTTTGGCCTAAAGCAGGATTCCGCCCCCCATCCCCAGATTTCGCCCGAGTGCTGCTTCTGGTTGCAGCGGACACAAACGCGCATCGCTCGGTTTCAGGTGCTCCTACGCGGGGACCGGCTTCCGCAACATCGGGTCCCCGGCCTTCGGCATGAAGCGCAAGCCGCCGCTCGGACGAACTGAGTTGTTGGAGCCAGATGCTGGCGTTCGTTTGAAGGAAAAAGCCGGAAGAAACCACTCCAAAAAGAGTAGCCTTGATGCGTTCCAACCGGAAAAGAGCGGAAGAACCCGCTAAAAAAGAGAGGAGCCTGGATGATTAAAGAAGGCAACGCATAGCTGGAGTCTCCTTCTGACCATAAAAGAAAATGGGGGCAGGGCGGTCAGATCCGGAGACTCCAGGTACGTGGGTTTCTGGCAAGTCGCTTCCGTCGCTTCCCAAGTTCCGGGACTGGAGACGCTGGACCCATTTCGTGCGACTTCGATGTTGCCGATCTCGATGTGAGCAATTGGTGGGTTCTTCGAAAGCAGCGAAAGTTCAAAAGGTCCTTTGGGATGAACATTCGGGCAACCACCAAGAAAGACAATGTCTTCCATTGAATGGAAAAGGTCATTTTGGGGCCCTGGAGTCAGGTGACCCTGAAAAAGGTGGTTTGGATTGGCGATTCGGAGTTGAAGCACCCCCGAATTGATGGCTTGGAATTGTGGTTTTTGGCATTTGGGTGTTTGGTTCTTGAGGTATACCTGCTTGGGGAAACCAAAAGGAGGCCAGCTGTGGGTTCCCCTATTTGGAGACAAGCCCAGTTCACCCCTGCTTTTTGTAGAGGGTAAAAAGGAAACCACCCCGGCCCCACCTCCAAACCGCCGAGATCAAGTTCGGCGGATCGTGGATCGAGGCGGTCGGACAGAGCTCTGGAAAAAAATCTTTCGGTGGTAGGCTTTGGCTTATTTCAGCGGCATACCCAAGGGGGACCCAAGACCTGGCCTCAAAAGCGGACAAGCAAGTCGAGATGCGACCAAGTCCCCAACACCAAACCGGGTTCAGCTTGGTCCAAGCTGATGGGATTTGTCCAACAGTCCCTGGCCAGCCGGCCCAAGGCTGGCGATCCTTTGGCTCGGTAGGGCTCGAACATTTTTTTTGGGGGGGAATACTGCCGCACGGTCCATAGCCGGGTTTGCTTTTCGGGACATGAGTGCATGTATCTGTTCTTTTGGGTTTTTTGGTTTCAATGGGTTAGAGGGACGCATGACTCAGTTGTTCAGTGGCTCCAATTCTTTTGTCCAACTTCTTTTTTGGTGGCTGCCCCACTAAAATGGTCCAAGCCCCAAAAAGAATTGGTTCCCTTTTTTTCCAGGGTCACTGAACAACTGAGATGAGGTTCGTGGGCGGCAACTGGAAGTGCAACGGCAAGCTGAGCGCCGTGAAGGAGCTGCTGACGGCGCCTTGCGGAGACGAGAGGAAGTTGGTGAAGCCCTAGCTGGTGGTCCACCCAAATTCGCCAGTCTCATCCACCTGGAGTCTCCTTCTGACCCTTTGAAGAATGGTTGGTCATTACCCAAAATAATAGGGTCAGGGACCCATTTTTAAAGGGTCATGGAGACTCCAGGCAGATTTCCAGTGGGGCGATTCCTGTTTTCAGCTTTTTATTAGGGCCGAAACCCCCCAAGAAGGCAAATACCTGGAAAAGAGTTTGCCCTTTTGCTCATGACCACAAGGGTCTTTTGGTTATCGAGGAAGTCAGGGAGCTAGCAGGAGTTGTGTAAGGACATGGTACACAACCCACGCGACAATAGGGTTTATAGCATTATAGATACAAATAATCAGCACTTCTTCTCCTGGAGGAATCTCGGAAGTGGTTTGGTATCGGAAACCAGTCGAAACCATCTTGTCTCACCTCCGGAAAGGACAGGGCTCCGTATTTTGTCTTCTGGGTCCAAATTTAAGTTGCATGACACGCGGCCCCCCAAATTATATGTTGGGCTGGTTCCTTAACACCATTTAGAGGGTATTGCAACATGGGCGGCTTGGCACCTGTTTGTGGACACCCTCACTTTTCTGAGATACCTAATAATCTTTCTCAAAGTGAAGTCAGAGGATGGTTCTTGGAAGTTTCCAGTGGGTGTTTAGGCTCTTAGTTCTTACCTCTTAAAAACACATTTTTTCAAGTTTTTGGGGGTAACATGGGCTATATGTCTGTAAAAGATTAACTTCCCCAGGGCTTGGAGTTTTAGGGGGTAAGAGTTGGTTCAGTTCGTACGAGGCCTTCAAGGGCGCGGGGGCGGACGCCAAGTCGGTGGACGTGGCGATCTTCGCCCCCACGCTGCACATCCCGGCGGCGCAGGCTCGAGAGCGGATGCGCTGGACGGAGTCGAGCGGTGGAGTCGGAGAGCGGATGCGCCGGTTTTTTCGTCCTTTTTTTTCTCTCTCTTTTTTTTTTTGGGGGGGGGGCTTTTTTTTTCCCCCTTTTTTCTGTTCTCCTTTGTTTGGGGGGGCTCCTCCGTTGTCCTTTAAGGAACGCGTTGTTGTTATTTTTTTCAGGGGGTTCCGTTTTTTGGCCTTTTTGGAACCTCCAAAAGTGGCCTGCTCGTTTCAATGAAAACCACCATGGTCCAGTGACCCCAGTTGTTTTTCTTCTTTGGTGGTTTTGGGGGAGCTGAGGTAGAGGTCATGATTTTGGCCGGTTTCTGGGTTGCATTGAATGTACCCCTCTGGGTTATATCCGGCAGACAAACACAGTTATCCCACAATGCCCCAGGCAGCATTCTGACCACAGCACATGTGAGTGGTCGCCAAACATAGTACTCCCTGCAAATTAATGTCAATAGTAAATGCCTGCGCCCCACCCAAATAAGGAGATTCTTCAGGCAGAAACATATTTATTGACCGTGTACCAGGATTTCCGCTATGGTCGCTTTGCTGGGCACAAAGACGGTCAATCGCAATGTGTCAAGTACGGGATTTTAATGGAATTGTCCAACGCACTTTTTGGGGATTTGTCTCAAGTCAAAATTAAAGGGCAACATGGAAATTGCAATTTAACATGTTAATTTACAAATCAGTGTTTCGGGAGAGCAGTCTGAGAGCCCCCCAATACGACTGAAGTTGGGGTCAGCGGGAAATCTGGAGTTTGGATTTGGTTTAGGATTGCTCAATTCTAATTTAGTTTGGGACATTTTGGCTCTAACCAAACATGATGTTCGTTGCTAGAGTGCATCATTTCCAAGCGGAAATGATTAACCCATTGTGACCATTCCCACGAAAAGAGATTCCTCTAAACGGATTACTTTTTGGATGCCATGTTCATTTGCAGGAGAGTAGCAATATGCAGGAGCCTAGTAAGAACCAACAGTCAATGGGTTTTGGGCCTTGCTCGACCTTTGAAAGGGCCATGTTGAGAGTGGTACATTCTTTCCCCGGAGCGACTCATTTTGTGTTTTATACGCCAGCCCTCCACAAAAACGACCTGGGTCCGTTGGCCCGTGTTCACCGTGTGTGTCCAAGTTTGTTTGGGAACATTGCAATGTTCCTACCAAACAACTACCTGGAGTCTCCATGACCCTTAAAAATTGGGTCCATGACCCCATTATTTTTGGGTAATGACTCTAGGTAGCAAGTTCTTTTTTTTGGGAGCTGACTTTTTTGGGGGACGGGCCAAACCCATAAGTCGACGGGTAAGACCAAGCTTCGGAGGAATGCCTCGCCGGGGACGCGGCCATTAGCCTGGGAGTGCAGAACATGAGCAAGACAGGCGCGGGAGTTTAAACCGCCATTTTTCGTAGATGGTGCCTGAATCCTCAAACTACCTGGAGCCTCCTTCTGACCAGCAGAGAAAATGGGATCAACTTACCAAAGGGTGATGTCACCCCCAAAGCTTTTGGGGCAACCTTCCGTTCTGAAGGGTATTTTTGAGGGTCTAGAGGGATTTGGATTGATTGGGAGTTAAGCAAAAGCCTGAATACACCTTCTCACAACTCCTCTTTCGCCTTCGACGGCTCTTTCGAATCTTAGTAGAAGCCAAAGTCATGGGCTTGCGCACCCGGGGGCAAATGGGTGTGATTGTCAAAAAATAACTTTGGACCCTCAAAGTGGTTTCGATTTTTTCCCAATCCAGGCTGAACAAGGGTACTCCGAGAGAGAAAAGACGAGCCCATAATGTTGTGGGGTGTGGTCTTTCTCGAAGCCGCGAAATTTTGTGGTTCTCCTTTTTGTTGGGTCCTGAAGAACTACTGAGCTGCAATCACCATAACGAAGAGCTACAAACAGTGTTTCACCACTATGGAAAGGCTATTCTATCCTGTGTCTTGCTAACATTTTGTGGGTTTCCCTTTGCTCACCAGCAAAACTCCAAGAAAAGAGGAGTCCCAGATGTGGGTTGGTCCTTTTCGAAGCCGCGAAGTGGGTGGTTTGCCTTTTTGCGGGCAGGCGAAGGCGCCTTCACCGGGGAGGTCTCCGCGGGTCAGGTGGCCGACGCGGGCATCCCGCACCTTGGCCAGGGTGAAACCGCGGTTCGTCGGCCTCCGGGTCCCAATGGTGGGGATTGATTTTAACCAAAGGGTGAGATAATCTAGTTCACAGGGTCCCAACCAGAGGCTTTTGACTTCATTTGGGTGTGTCTTAAACTAGAAGATCCCCAAAAACATGATGGGGTTCCTCTTGGCTTCCCTTTCTACCAAGTAAAAGATGATTGAGGGGAGAAGAACCCTACCATGGGGTTGTATACCCCACACCCAATGGAGGTTTACAAGAACCCTAATGACCTGTAGAATTCGCCCACAACTCTAACAATGCCTGTAATTGGAATGGATACTTTGATCACTCAGTGGTTGTGGCAATCAGCGTGCAGTCCTCCCGCCCCTTTGTTGGGCTTGTTCATTTCAAGACTCGTTTTGTTGACAAACATATGGAGATGCCCCCTAAATCTGCAGAAGTTAGGGATTTTATGGGCCTTTCTTTTGGGGGAAATAGTTCAACAAGGCCAAAGAAGGCTAAACAAGGCCTTAACCCTTAGGGGTCTTTGGCGGGCGGACTGTAGGATTCCTAAGTCACATCATACCACTAGGGAATTGTTATTCACTTTAAAGCCGATGAGTTTGGCTTTTTGAACATGGTGTTCCGGCCACTTGCAGAGTTTGGAGGTCTTTGATTTATGTCCACTCATTTGACTTTCATCCAAGGCACCCGCATTTTTCCCTTGGTTGATGGCTTCCCCCCTAGACAATGCTAAACACAGTTAACCCCAGAATGGGTTTCATTTTGCTACCTGCGTCACTGGTCGCAACTGGGTCCAAGGGATCCACGAGTCACCCCATGCCCCAGGTATGTCTTGGTGGGCCATTCCGAGCGTCGATCCCTGTATGGCGAGACCGACGAAGACTGCGCGGCCAAGACCAAGGCCAGCCCCGGCCAGCAGCGTGTTTCTATATGAACCGTCAAAATGACTTCTGAGGAGGATATGGTGGTTAATTTTGACACATGAGCCCACAAAACCCCTGCCGCCTGCCAAGTCATGGTTTGCGGACACCAGCTTACAGGGTTTCTTACCGGGCACGTTCAAAACCACCTGCTTAAGGAATCTGGTGCCAAGTAGGCCAGACCTCGGCACCAAATTGCGTCCAGGCGGCTTTGGAGAAGGGCGCGGGGCCTCGGGGGTTTTTCAGAGTGACTGAGGGGGGGTGGAGTCACCTTGGTCTCTTTGCACGCCGCAACCGCTCTTCTTTTTTTTTCTGCAAGTCTTACCGTTTGTGGTTTCTGTGCAAGACAACAGCACCTAGGACCTGGTCGAAAATAAGTTCACATGTCCAGTTGACCCAGTTGCCCAGTGGCGTTTGTTGTTTCAACTTTTTGAAGCGGCTCGCTTCAAAATCAAGCGACAACACTTAGGAGTGGTTTTTTTTCCCATCCAAGGGGCCTAGCCTAAGCCTTGCGCGGCGTATTTGTCATACCTGGAGTGACATGTTTGGGGTGACTCCCCCAAAGGGCAGATAAGCCCATGTTGAATCCAAACCTGATTGGCCAAATTCACATGGAACACCTATCTGGACAATTTAAGGGTCACCCCTTGAGTGCCCAGCCAATCAGGGAGGTCACTATAGGTGACCGGGAGACACCTTCATGTGTATCCTGGATACCTACTATAGTGACGTTTCCGACATCAATTTTATGACCATTGCTAGTCACACAAACCCCGTCCCAACAACCATGGATATGGCTATGAACTTGGTGGAAAATCCCCGAATCTCCGAAATGATGTCCACCAAAGGGTCCCCAGTTTGAACGGCATCAGGACCCTTTTTGGGTAAACGACCCCCGTTTTCATTAGTGTCATAGACCTCCAGGTAGACCATCAAAAATTGGATCCTGACCGCTTTTTCGCCAGGGAACCCGATGTTTTGCAGAATAAGCAACCCTGACATTGCGTTTTTTGCGCGTTTGTTTGACGCTTCCAACCTTGGGCCAGCCATGTAGGTCGAACTTCATCTACCAAATACAGAGGAACCAGCTTGAGACAATCTTGCATATCTATCAAATACAGAGGAAACAGCTTGAGAAAATCTGTATCTACCAAATACAGAGGAAGCAGCTTGAGACAAACTTGCATATCTAGCAAATACAGAGGAAACAGCTTGAGAAAACCTGCATATCTAGCAAATACAGAGGAAACAGCTTGAGAAAACCTGCATATCTAACAAATACAGAGAGGAAACAGCTTGAGACAAACTTGCATATCTATCAAATACAGAGGAAACAGCTTGAGAAAACCTGCATATCTACCAAATACAGAGGAAACAGCTTGAGAAAACCTGCATATCTACCAAATACAGAGGAAACCGCTTGAGAAAACCTGCATATCTAGCAAATACAGAGGAAACAGCTTGAGAAAACCTGCATATCTAGCAAATACAGAAGAAACCGCTTGAGAAAACCTGCATATCTACGGAGACAGCTTGAGAAAACCTGCATATCTAGCAAATACAGAGGAAACTGCTTGAGAAAACCTGCATATCTAGCAAATACAGAGGAAACCGCTTGAGAAAACCTGCATATCTACCAAATACAGAGGAAACAGCTTGAGAAAACCTGCATATCCAGCAAATACAGAGGGAAACAGCTTGAGAAAACCTGCATATCTAGCAAATACAGAGGAAACAGCTTGAGAAAACCTGCATATCTACCAAATACAGAGGAAACAGCTTGAGAAAACCTGCATATCTAGCAAATACAGAGGAAACAGCTTGAGAAAACCTGCATATCTAGCAAATACAAAGGAAACCGCTTGAGAAAAACTGCATATCTACCAAATACAGAGGAAACAGCTTGAGAAAACCTGCATATCTAGCAAATACAGAGGAAACAGCTTGAGAAAACCTGCATGTCTACCCCAAATACAGAGGAACCCGCTTGAGAAAACCTGCATATCTACCAAATACAGAGGAAACAGCTTGAGAAAACCTGCAACAGCTTGAGAAAACCTGCATATCTAGCAAATACAGAGGAAACTGCTTGAGAAAACCTGCATATCTACCAAATACAGAGGAAACAGCTTGAGAAAAACTGCATATCTACCAAATACAGAGGAAACAGCTTGAGAAAACCTGCATATCTACCAAATACAGAGGAAACAGCTTGAGAAAACCTGCATATCCAGCAAATACAGAGGGAAACAGCTTGAGAAAATCTGCATATCTAGCAAATACAGAGGAAACAGCTTGAGCAAACCTGCATATCTAGCAAATACAGAGGAAACAGCTTGAGAAAACCTGCATATCTAACAAATACAGAGAGGAAACAGCTTGAGACAAACTTGCATATTTATCAAATACAGAGGAAACAGCTTGAGAAAACCTGCATATCTAGCAAATACAGAGGACACAGCTTGAGAAAACCTGCAAATCTACCAAATACAGAGGAAACCGCTTGAGAAAACCTGCATACCTAGCAAATACAGAGGAAACAGCTTGAGAAAACCTGCATATCTACCAAATACAGAGGAAACAGCTTGAGAAAACCTGCATATCTACCAAATACAGAGGAAACAGTTTGAGACAAACTTGCATATCTACCAAATACAGAGGAACCCGCTTGAGAAAACCTGTATATCTAGCAAATACAGAGGAAACAGCTTGAGACAAACTTGCATATCTACCAAATACAAAGGAAACAGCTTGAGAAATCCTGCATATCTAGCAAATACAGAGGAACCAGCTTGAGAAAACATGCATATCTAGCAAATACATAGGAAACAGCTTGACAAACTTGCATATCTACCAAATGCAGAGGAAACAGCTTGAGAAAACGTGCATATCTACCAAATACAGAGGAAACCGCTTGAGAAACCTGCATATCTACCAAATACAGAGGAAACAGCTTGACAAAACTTGCATATCTTCCAAATACAGAGGAAACAGCTTGAGAAAACCTGCATATCTAGCAAATACAGAGGACACAGCTTGAGAAAACCTGCATATCTACCAAATACAGAGGAAACAGCTTGAGAAAACCTGCATATCTAACAAATACAGAGAGGAAACAGCTTGAGACAAACTTGCATATCTACCAAATACAGAGGAACCAGCTTGAGACAATCTTGCATATCTATCAAATACAGAGGAAACAGCTTGAGAAAACCTGTATCTACCAAATACAGAGGAAACCGCTTGAGAAACCTGCATATCTACCAAATACAGAGGAAACAGCTTGAGAAAACTTGCATATCTACCAAATACAGAGGAAACAGCTTGAGAAAACCTGCATATCTAGCAAATACAGAGGAAACCGCTTGAGACAAACTTGCATATCTATCAAATACAGAGGAAACAGCTTGAGAAAACCTGCATATCTACCAAATACAGAGGATACAGCTTGAGAAAACCTGCATATCTAGCAAATACAGAGGAAACAGCTTGAGAAAACCTGCATATCTGGCAAATACAGAGGAAACAGCTTGAGAAAACCTGCATATCTAGCAAATACAGAGGAAACAGCTTGAGAAAACCTGCATATCTACCAAATACAGAGGAAACCGCTTGAGAAAACCTGCATATCTACCAAATACAGAGGAAACAGCTTGAGAAAACCTGCATATCTACCAAATACAGAGGAAACCGCTTGAGAACACCTGCATATCTACCAAATACAGAGGAAACCGCTTGAGAAAACCTGCATACCTAGCAAATACAGAGGAAACAGAAAACCTGCATATCTACCAAATACAGAGGAAACAGCTTGAGAAAACTTGCATATCTACCAAATACAGAGGAAACAGCTTGAGAAAACCTGGCATATCTACCAAATACCGAGGAAACAGCTTGAGAAAACCTGCATATCTAACACATACAGAGGAAACAGCTTGAGAAAACCTGCATATCTAACAAATACAGAGAGGAAACAGCTCCAGAGAATCTTGCATATCTACCAAATACAGAGGAAACCGCTTGAGACAAACTTGCATATCTACCAAATACAGAGGAAACCTGCATATCTACCAAATACAGAGGAAACCGCTTGAGAAAACCTGCATATCTACCAAATACAGAGGAAACCGCTTGAGACAAACTTGCATATCTACCAAATACAGAGAAAACCGCTTGAGAAAACCTGCATATCTACCAAATACAGAGGAAACCGCTTGAGAAAACCTGCATATCTACCAAATACAGAGGAAACAGCTTGAGAAAACCTGCATACCTAGCAAATACAGAGGAAACAGCTTGAGAAAACCTGCATATCTAGCAAATACAGAGGAAACAGCTTGAGAAAACTTGCATATCTACCAAATACAGAGGAAACCGCTTGAGAAAACCTGCATATCTACCAAATACAGAGGAAACAGCTTAAGAAAACCTGCATATCTAGCAAATACAGAGGAAACAGCTTGAGAAAACCTGCATATCTACAAATACCGAGGAAACAGCTTGAGAGAAGCTGCATGGAGAGGGTCCTGCATTTGGAACTCCCGGTAGCTTGTCCAGCGATTTCGAGCGATTTCGAGGCCTCACGGTGGTCTTCTGCATTGGCGAGCAGTTGGCCGAGCGCCGCCATCTCAGCGAGTCGAATATTTGAGCCGAAAGCCGAAAGTCGAGTCGACCAGAGTTCACCGGGGAAAGAGGGTCTCCTCGAAAAAACGGGTTTCTATGTTAGGGTAGACTAAACTTGCAACATAATCTGATTTGCCTGTGACACATGTTGTTTGATTCAGGGCAGACTGACTATGTAGCAGACTTCAAAATACTCTTTGATTTGGGACATGATATGATTTTCCTTCAATCCATGTGGTTTAGTTTTAGGTGGACTATAACTTAACCATGGAACCGAATCTGAACAAAACCGATTTCCAAGATGGGCCAAGTAGGGGGTAAAACGACAGACTTGGCCCAGAAAGGTCCCTGAAATCACAGCCATGGCTTGTCTCCAACTCCGGGGTCACCCGCAAAATGGGTAGGGAAACCCTCCGGTGTCCCCTAAAAAAAGAAAACAAGAAGGGCTCTGTGTTTGGTATTCCTTGGTGGTTCCCAGCCATCCCCTTAAACTAGTCTTGAGGTTTCTAGGGTTTACTGGTAATTGCCCTAAACCACTAAAAGTTTTCTCGACTTTTGGCATGGGATCGAAGGGGAACAGACAAAAGATTCTTTTGACACTCAAGATTGAAATGGGCAAGGGCAGGACAATCTTCAACATTTTAGTTTCCCTGGCTGCTTCCGCATTTTGAGGCCTTGGTCAACCCGCGCAAGGATACATTTTGGGCCAAATGAAAACAGCACAGCTGTTTCAAAGGTTTCTACATGAAGGCCAGTTGGTTTTAGGTGGATCCTAAAATCCCTGTCAAAGGCCCTTCGGATCTTGGTCTTCCGAGGACTCGTGTTTCTATTGGCGGCAATTCATCTGTCGAGCGCACGTATTCTATGAGGGGTTGTTCCTGGGGGATGTGTTGGTTTTTTTGTTTGTTTGTCTGTCTGTCTGGCTGTTTGTTTTTTGTTGTTTGTTTTTTCTCCGCCGGAGTGTGAACTATATAGTAATTTGCTCAGACTTGTCCTCTAGCAGTTCAAGCTTGCGCAATATGTTTGTTTCTGGAAATTTAGTTGCAAGGGGTCAAAGACCAACCAAGTCACCACTGAGTCTTTCCGCATCTTGCCTTGCCAGGACTTTCCAAACACTGGATGGCAAACGAATGTGTTGCAAGAACCCACCCGCAAAACGCTCCAAAGTTTTTCCCAAGAGCCGAAAGGTTTAGCAGGGATGGGTCTGTGGGCCCGCGACCTGAGCGAAAATGGTTGGCGCGAAGGTCAATCCGGAAAGACCACGGAGGTCTGCGAAAAGCAAATGAAGGCGCGCCCTCGCTTCGCTTTCTTACACCCCGCGACCCCCCCCCCCCCAAACAGACCATCTAAAGAAACAAGCAACGCAAACAAACAAAAGAAACAACAACACCAACCAACCAACCAACAAACAAGCAAGCAAGCAAGCAACCAAACAAGCAAGCAAACAAACAAACAAACAAGCAACCAAACAAACAAGCAAACAAACACTCACACAAAGAGAGGTGTGTTGTTTAGTGATGCACCCTTTTGGTTGGTATTAAAGAGAACGAAAGGACATTCACCGATTTGGAGGTTGCTTGAAACAAACATGACTCGTTGCACGGAAACCTGTTCGAAGTCCACCCATAGTACCAGGGGTTCATGGGCGTATATATTCAGCCTTTAAGGTTTTTGCCATTTGCTGATTTGCGGAACTCTGTCTCTATCCACAATACAAAGTGTGGTGAATCAATCTACGAAACTCTGAATCGCCCAGCGGATTCAACCCCTGTTTCCGACTTTTTTTTTTGGGGGGAAGGGTTCCGATTCCTTTAAACTCAACCAACCCAAAAAAGGATGCCTGGATCGCCAGGTGCGATCGCTGTTTTCCATGCACTTAACCCCAAAAACCAGCAACAGTGACTGAAAAAGAAAGTGATCGCAACTTGGCTATCTAGGTGCCATCCTTTTTCCCATGGAACTCCACGCATCTGAGATGAGTGGTTGGGACTCCGGTGACGCCTTTTTGAGAAGTGAGCCACGGTTAGAAAGGCATTGGTGCGGCGTGGGAAAACCGTGTGAATGGTCCTCCCCGTTAATTCTGCGTAGGATATTTTTTGAGGTGGACGAAACATGTAAATCTGAAGATTTGGTTTAATTGCGGAACCCTTTGGTGGACATCATTCGGGTTGGGATTCATGTGCACCAGCCACTCTGGAGGGTGTTGTTTTTTCATTTGATTAAGATTTGTTGCTTCCTCCCTGTTGGTGTTGAAGGGAATCTATCACTACTTCTTTTTTTCCAGGGGGCAAAACGCAATCAGAAGGTTTCCGGTTATTTCCTGGCCATCTTTTGATTTACACAACCAACCGATTCCCCTTGCGTTCCCCTTTGCTGGGTCCAAAACTCATTCGGGTGAACAAAGTATCAAGCTGAAACATTAAATGGGCGTGTCTTGTTTTTGCTCGGACCCCGCAGAACGGCTTCGGTTTTCCTCCTGGTTTGCCACTTCAAACCACAAAGAGGGGAGCAATCTCCAAATCTAAAATTTCTGTGTGCCCCAGATGGGCGTTGAAAGGGAAGCCAATTAAACATGCACGGGGTTGTCTGCCCCCTTCCGTCTGACCTTATCCCTGTCGAGTCCACAGTCATGAGTTTTCCACTAATGTCCTAGTGCCATGGAATTGTTTGAGCTGGTGTATCGAAGTAAACTCCCGATTTTTGGTATGGTGTTTGAAGGGAATGTCCCGACTGTCGGATGCTGGCTGCAGGCAGCCTACCTATCATGTGTTTCAGAGAAGCTCCCAGGTTGGGACGGTTGTTCAAAGAGAGTCTCCCTTATCTCGTTCTTGAAAGATGTTCAAAGTCTTCAATTTGGGATTTCTTGCAAGAAAGCTTCTTGGGATGACCTTCAGAGGGCTCGAATCTCCTCAGTTGAGGCGCGATTTCACACGGATGATCTGTGAAGGGAATCCGCACGGATGGCGCGCAGGCGGTCATCCCTGTGGTGACGGACTGGGCGAAGATGGTCATTGCCTACGCCCCACGGCAAGCAAGAACCTGGAGTCTCCATGAGCCTTCAAACATGGGTGCATGACCCCATTTTGTTGGGTAATGACCCCATTTTGTAGAGTCGTGGAGACTGCAGGAAGTCGCGCGCGAGTGTTTGTTTGTATTTGTTCGAGGTTTGTTTGGTTTCTTTTGCCTGAAGTAGAGTGTGAGCCTGCTTGAGGGAACCCAAAAGAAACCCAAAGGAGAAAAGGCATAGCCATGTTGGGGAGGAAAGCCTGCTTGTGATGAGGGCTGAAAGGCGGAAGGGACGCCAAGTACAGTGCCCCATGACGGCAATAGGTGTGTCTTTTGGGTTAGTTTGATTAGACATAGATGGGTTTGATTGGTTTAGATGGACTTTATTCCATTTACCAGGCCCGTCCTTTTTCTTCAAAAAGGACCTGCCAAGAGGAACTGGATTTTTCAAGATAGACCATGTCCATCTGGTTCGGGCGACCTGGCCGGGGCCTCTATGCCTCTCGAAAGCCAGTTGGGACGCGGAGCCTCCATGACCCTTAAAAAAAGGTTGGTCATTACCCAAAATCAATCGGGTCATGGACCCATGTTTAAAGGGTCATGGAGACTCCGGGGACCTCTTTCTTCTGCCTTTGACCCACAGAAAAGGAGGGCAAGGCGGAAAAAAGGGGTCCAAACCAGGGGTGCAGGCCAGAAACGGATCGGGACAAGCTCAAGCGGGCATATTGGTTTTTAACTGGGAAAGCGAAACGAGGGCAGGTCTAAGTCTTTGTCAGACACAGCCACCCCAATCCAGAGAGACAATATTGGACCCACCCACATCTCAGGTTACCTTGATTAGTGGGAGTTGACCCCCTTCTTGTAGACGGCAAACGCAAAATAGAAGACACCCATATTTGATACTATTTTTGGTTGGATACCTAGCACATCCCTTGATTGGGCTCCTTTGGGGTACTCACTAACTGTCCCATGTCCTTTCGGGGGGGCAAGTCATGTTGACTTGCTGATGTGTTCATTTGTGTCTGTTTTCTTGTCCAGGGTATGTCCAAGTATATTCCTATAGTTTTTTTTTTACTAGGGCAACTAAATCTACATCCCACGACACCCCAATCCTGTTAGGGTAACAGTATGTAGAGCTTGACCCCCCCTTCTTTGCGACCGTTGTTCATTTCAACCCACACTACGGGCCCAGACTGTTAATTTGTGGTTTTGTGGAAGGAACGATCCCCGGAAAGAATGAGGTTCTTGACCATGTTGGCAAACTTTTGTATGCCGGTTTCTTTGGCATTTCGCACTTGCTTCCAGTCTCTACAGGATTATCATGAAGCTTTCTCCTGGTTACCTATACGCAGTTCAAAAGGAGCTGGGGTTCAAATTCCCAAACCATCCAAACCACCAACAAGGGTGGTCAACGCCCAAAAAGTTAAAGCTTTTTTCGGCCTTTCGACGCCGCCAAAATGTGCAAGATTTGTGTTTCTTCCGTTTTTTGGGTTAGTTTGGTTAGAAATAGACAGGTTCCCCTGCCTTAGATTGGTTTATTTGGATTACTACCCATTTACCAGTGCCATTGATTTTGTTCAACAGAACACCTATGCCTCCCAAACCACAGCACCACCCCCACCCCAAAATACCCCTACCCCAAACCCCCCACCCAAAACCCTCCAAAAATATCCCCCCCGCAACAACAAAAAGATGGCCTCAGAAAAGACACGCCCGGACAACAAACCCGCCAAACAAAGGGGACCAACAAAAAAAGACGACCCAAAAAGAAAAGTTGGAGACTCCAGTTGGAGAGACCGAAAAGTGATGTGTGTCCCTTTCCCTTTTGGGTATGGCCAGGGTTACGCAGGTGTTGGTTTTTGGTCTCCATGCGCCAAGGTGCCATTTTGGTCTCCGTTTATTGGAACCGCGCCCATTCCTAGGGACTGTCTGGAGCTCCCCACCCAAAACCCCTCCAGAAAAAAAACATGTTGACCCTGAAAAACTGCCATGTTGGTCTCCATGTTCTTTGAGCCGCAGCCATATATCGACCCGGGAAAAAGATGGGTTTCCGGCCCCCACTTTTTTTTCTTCAGCCGCTCGCCGGCTCAGGAGCCGGTCTGGGCCATCGGCACCGGCGTGGTGGCCACGCCCCTGCAGGCGCAGGACACCCAGTACCAGGCGCCGACCAAAAGCGACGAGTCGCCGGAGTCGCCGGTGGAGTCGCCAGGGGGCGGTGGGGGGCAAAAAGGGGGGAAGCTCTCAACTAGGTCTTGCAGCAATTGGTGCCAACTTTTAATTACCGATGTTTCTTTTTTTTGGTTGGGAGGGTTCGGGACCCTAAAGTAGACTGCGGAGAAAAGTTGGTACCCTTATTCTAACCTCTCTACCGGAGGGCCTAGAAAAAGGGGGGGAAACCCAACATGGCTTGTAGCCGGGTAAACTTGCAAACACGGACCAAGAAGCCCTCCGGCCCATATTCTGGTGGTTTGATTTAAGTTTGACCCACGAGCAACTTTTGGTGGGGGGCCGAGTCCATCTTCTAGGATGCTTAGTGCAAACAGGATGCGATGTGTTTGGGCCGATGCCAGTTTGCGAGTTGCACCCCTCCTAGGAAAATACTTTCCCATTGCTACCAGGGTGGGCAATGTCCACCTACCCCCAGCTGTTCGGTGCGGTTCACCTGACAAGGCGATGGCATGAGGTAACGCAATGTTATTCGGACAGAAGAAGACCCGGCCAGCCATCAAAGTTGGGGCGCTGCAAAGCCCCCCAGGTACCGCCGGAACTGTTCACGCCGTCCCGTACTTCTTGAAAGTCGGCACACCAAATATTAATTAAAAACGTTCCATTTTCATTGCTTCATGTTTTATGTTGTATGTTTTTTTGTTTTTTGTGTTTTTCCCGTTCGATCCAGACTGGACGGCCAACTGGCCACGATCTGTGGAACCGCTTTGCCGACAGGTGCGCCGAGTGATCCGCGACGAGTGCGGGTCCGAGATCGCGGCTCCTCGGCGGCAAAAAAGAAAGCCCCCTTCGACCTAGGAGTCAGAACCTAACCTTGGCTGTTGGGGATGGTTAAAATTAACGTGTGTCTCAAAGTAGGGATTTGGACCTCCCAAAAGGTTGGTTTCCTTTCGGTTTCCCTTGAAACCCACCAAAAGGAGGGCACCCAAAGAAAAGAGACACCCGTTTTTATATCTTTGGGTTGACTCAATATGAAGCAGAATCATGAACATATCTGAACATGTGTTCATGCCATGGGCCGAGTGACTTGGGGAGCATCAAACCGAGTAAGCTTCCACTCGGTGGAAGAGGATGTAACTAGATAGTCAAGTTGCTGCGTGTTGTGTTCATACAATTTACCGACAAACAGTCGCAGTTGCTGGGACAAGGCAGCCACTGGCGATCCAGGAATTATTTTGTGTCCCTGCCTAAATGCGGTCGGGACTCTGGGGGGAACTCCCTTTCGATTGTACAATCTGGGCGGTTTGCAGATGGGTCCCATGTGATCTCATTGACTCAGTACCTGGAGTCTCCATGACTTTAAAAATGGAGTCATGGCCCAAAATAATGGGGTCATGGACCCATTTTTGATTCGGGTCATGGAGACTGAAAATGGTTTGGAGCTCGGTGGTTTGGGGTTTGAACCAGGGGCAGGTGGCCCCTAGCAGGTAGCTTGGTTTACGTTCCAGCCTTTCCGTCCGCGCCTTGCTGGGTCCATTTTCAAGTCCTGAAAGTTCCGCGAAGGACCCGAGCGAACTGGCGGTTTCAAGAGGTGGCCATGGGGCCCCGGAAGCTCAGGGACTCCATTTGCCCCTATGGGTAGCCAAGGGAAGCTATGTGAACATCTAGGTAGAAATGGAGAACTGGTGAAATGGAGAAACTATGTGAAACCTGGTGAACCTCCAGATATCTACTAGGTCCCCGCCCTTCTCTTCCCTTTTTTGGTTTGGAGGGTTGCCCTACTAAAATAGACCACAGAAGAAAAATCGGGTACCCTTATTCTAAGCTCTCTACTGGAGCACCCAGTCTATTGTGGGGGTAACTGGATTCACTGGGAAAGGTAGTGTTGATGACCCCGCACACACATTTTACGAAAGGGTGAAATTTAAATGGAATTTGATAGGCAACACTACTCACAATGCAACCACCTTAAAGGGACCAAATCTCGGGCGCTCATTGAGGACTCTGTGCGCATCATCTACGGAGGCTCTGCCAACGAGAAGAACTGCAAGGCGTGTGCGTCATGGGCCAGACAAGCTGAGGTCTGATAGACAATGCGTTGATCCGTAAATGCATTGTTTTGAGTCGTACCCAGTCCCTCCAAACAATCCCCCGCGAAAAAGGCGCTCTCTCCCCTCAAAAAGGCCCCCCCCGCCAACACAAAAACACGAGAAAGTAGAAAAACACAACACCCAAACCGTTTATCCCCTGGTGCAAGGGAAGGGAAGGGAAGGGGGGGGGCTTCAACACTTGGAACCCCCAATTGCCTAGCGCCTTTTCGGCTCACCTTAGGGCCCCCTTCACCCCGTTTCCCCCCCCCCCGCGAAAGAGGCGCTGGGTGACCTGCCGGACGTGGACGGCTTCCTGGTGGGCGGCGCGTCCCTGAAGCCCAGCTTCACGGAGCGCGCGTCCGCGCCGGCGTCGCGTCGGGCTGAGACCTCGGGGCCAGAAATGGCCATGGGCTTTTCAAAATCCAAATGGGTTAGCCCCCAGTGAACATCAACCAATCCCTTCTGAAATAGGTTCTAAAATGGGTGGTGAATGCACCCAATCCAACCAAAATGGGATCCCAAAACGGTTTTGACAACCACGGCCAAATGTCCCGGTCGAGTCCTTGGTTTGGAGCAGACTAGGCGCCCACCCGAAAGGGTTTTTTGGACCTTGCTAGAAGAGGTTCTTAAGAGGCTAGCTCCCCCAGTGCTCTTCTTAACCTCTTTTATGGGGTAGGATTCCCCCACTAAAATAGACTACAGAAAAAAGTTGGTACCCTTGTTGTAACCTCTCTACTGGAGGACCTAGCAGATGTTGGTTTTTTTGTTGGGGTTGTTGGGGGTCAAAGGGTACTTGTCATTGTGGTTTCCCACGATTATGTTGACCGCGCGCCACACACGGAGCCTCAAAGCCCAGTCTAACATTTGTCCCTTGACTTGTTTCAGTGGTAATTCTTTCTGGTTGTTTTTTTCCCTCAAGAAAGAATCCACCAGACACATGTACTTTTTGGGAAATGTGTGTTCTCTTGCCAGAAACACATTTAACTGTTTTGTACACGGTCAGGGTTGCCCTGAAACTCTAAAAGATCCGGCGATTCGGTCTCGAGCGCAGACCTGTCAGGTGTGGTTTTCGTTTGGTTTTCCTTCGGCCAAATGTCTACCTTGCCAGCCTCACTCAGAGTGACGGCCCAAAAGTCTCGCCAGGAGATTATCACCACTGCGCAGGCGAGGTTTGTCTCGGCCAAGCTCAGTGGTTTCCTTTTGGCCATCGACATGATGCACAGGGTAATCTCTTCTTTGGTGCATTTTGCCAAGGGATGTTAGGACTTTAAGTTTTTGCCAACTAATGGGTTTTCCGTAAACCACCAACAGTTACAAACTTTTGGCAGGGGGCAGATTTCGCAACCGAGTGGGGCAGAGGGAGGCCGGGTTCCTGGGCGGGTTCCGTCTTTGAGATCCCTAACCAATTCTCTGGAACCCCGCCGGCTTTGGTTTTGGAGACCTGTTCTTCGGTGTATACCTGCTTTTTTTTTTCCCCGTGGCTTTTTCAGGGGAAAGCAAAGGAGAAAGGGCAGCTCTCCGGGCGGTTCCCTAATTTAAACCACGCGCCCCCAATATTGCCAATATGGCAGTTTGACTTTGAAGAGTTGGAACCAACGATCCAAAAGTGGGGACGGTGGACATGAGGTTCTTTTCAGCTGCTTGCCTTTTTGTTGGATCTCCAAGGGCAGTATGTTGAGTTGGATCTTACACCAAGTATTTGAAGAGGCACTTAACTCATCCCCAAAATTTAGCGCTGAAGGTTCCTGATAGATTTTGGGCCCAATTAGGCCCCTCTTGCGCAAATCGTGAACCCGATCGGGTCCTTTATATAAATCAAGCGCCCGGATCTTTGGCGACATTTTTGGGAATCAACAGCTCCCGGTTGTCGTTTTCTTGTTCCTCGTTTTCGGTGGGCTCCTTTGCCAGGCGGCCTTCAAGAAGTAGGTCACACCGGGGCCGCAGAACCTCGCTGCCAAGACTTGACCAAACCACGAGGTGAGGGCGGTCGACCCCAAAGAGCACGCAACATAGGTGTCCTTTTTGGTTGGTTTGCAGTTTGCTTAAAAAGAAATAGAGGGCCCTGGTTTAGATGGGGTTTATTCCATTTACCAGGGCCATCTATGTTTTCCAAAAGGCCACCTATGAGCACGTACCTGAGCAAGCAAAAGCGCTCACCGAAAAAGGTACTACATCCCTTCAGCCAACTTCTGTGACTGTTGTATGATCGGTCATGGGAATCGATTGACTTGCCCACGCCATCATGTTGGGCCGCAGCGTGGAAACATAGTCTTTTTCATACATGCGCGTGGGCAAAGAAGTTTTGGGTTGCTGGCCAGAAGCTTTTGTTCCATCATGAAGGTCTTTCAGAAGTGTGTTCCCTTGCTTGGGGCTGCTAAATCATTCTGACCCTGGATTTCCGTAAACCGTATAAACAACAAAATACAGACAGCCGTGTTACACAAACACTATGTGGCCAAGGCTACCCTTACAGCGGGCTGTGGACCTTTGGTGGCCCGGGGCCGCCATGTCGCCGCCCTCGTGTCGAGGAATTGACACTCGCCTCTGACTCGCTCAGGTCCTTTGGTCAGGGGACATGAGTTTGCCTCAAGCCCGGGTAACCCCCGTTGTGAAACAGGAGAGGGGGTTGACCAGGAACCATTTGACCACACTTCCAGGGCGTCCCGGGAAAAAAAGAAGAGGGAAGACGCATGAGGTGAAAAACTTGCCCAAAGCAATTGAACCTTTTTGACTTCCTTCTTGACCCATATTTAGTTCACCCTCTAAATGGGGGAATTCCCTTTTCTGTCTATAAGATGTTCAGCTTCACTCAAAATACGGACCAGAATCAAGCTGATTATGTCGGCTGGGGTGATCTTTCCAGATTCCGAAAGGACGCTTCGTGTGTTGTCGTCCCGGGAATCCAAGGACTTGGGCAATGACCATCAAGCGACTGAGCGATCGACCGCACGCGGTTGCGATGCGTTTCAGCGGCGAGCAGGAAATCACCCGGTGAGGGACTGGGAAGTTGTTATCCCAACGGACTCGATCTTTCAGTTGCTTCTTCCCTTTGGTGCATTTTGCTTGGCTGTTAGGACTTTAGCTTTGTGCCAACTAATGGGTTTTCCACTAAACCACTAAAAGCTAAACTTTTAGCAGGGGAGCAGAAAGCAACCGAGATCCTGTAGTTCTCCGTAACCCTTCAATAACGGAGGGCATCTACCAGGTGTGTCGTGGTTCGTTTTTGAAGAAATTGTGTTTGGAGCTCGTGTTGCTTGTGGTTGTGTCTTGTCCTGTGGCTGCAGAATCAAGCTACGACAGGTGATCGGGGGGCTGAACCAGTGAGTTACCTTCGCGTATTTAACATTTATGGGTGTGTCTTCTTGGAACCCTTTTCGCCTTGGTTTGCAGCTGGAAACCACGAGGATTACCGATTCTATGTTGTGAATCTCCGAATTTTTATGCATGCCCATATACACGCTTCGTTAACAAACCAATTCAGCAGGTGCCTGCTCGGAAGATGATATTCCACGGCCTTTTTGCTTAAGATGAGCGATTATTTTCATTCCTCGTTTGCAGCAGGAGGTTGGAAGAAAACAGCAGGTTGGAAAGAAACCAGTGGTTGTGAAAAAAGGTCAACATTTGTGTAAGCAAGGGGGTTGGCCCACCCATTTTTGACACACCTCCAAGAAGCTATTGAAGAGACACCAGACTTACAGATTTGCAGCCCATCGGCAGTCGCGTTCTCAAAACGAGCGCTTGCAGAAATCCCTTTGGAGGACCCTTTGAGCATGCTGAGCAGTTGAATCACAACCGATCATGCACGTTGCCTGGTCATTTGCCACCTTACTTGAGGTTGATCGCTCATGCACTTTTAGGGGATTTTTGACCACGGTACCTAGAGTCTCCATGACCCTGTCAAAATGGGTCCATGACCCCACTATTTTGGGTAATGACCAACCATTTTTTAAGGGTCATGGAGACTCCAGGTACAAACACGTGGCCTCCTGCTCGCCAGATCAACAACAAATCTCTGCCCCTGCCCAAAAGGGCAAGGATCGCCAAGCCTTCGGATGCGCCTGGGGATTGGATCTGCGAAGTGTACATCCGGAATCCGGAGCGCCTTCGATGGCCTTGGCCACATTTGGGCGTGTCTTAGGGATCCCTTAAAAAGGGTTCCCCTGAACAAAAGTTGAAGTCATGTGGGTGTCATATGGGCCTCATATGGGTGTCATATGAGTGTCATATGGTTGAGGTCATATGGACACCCCTACGAAAGTCAAGGGCAGCCCTAGGTTTCCCTTTGAAACCCCAAACGAGCTCAAACACACGCCGATTTTGCCTTTTGCCGCTGGTCGAGCTTTGCTTTGGATCCCTGGCGCAGTCGGAAGGTTTCTGCTTTCGACCTGCGAAAGCTCTGAAAGGACGCGTTGCGAAGGGGGTTTTTCAAGGGCAGTGCTTTTGGACGCCTGGATGCTTATGCACCACCGATATCAGCTTGTAGCGCCATGTATACCCCTATAAGTGGTGCACAACCTCATTGATTACCTTCCTTGATTCTTGTATTCCCCTTTACAGGGACCTTACAACCACCCCCCCTGCCCCCCCAACAAGCCCATGTCGAGAAATGGGTGCGTGTTGTTTTGATTTTGAGAATGCCCGTTTTGGATGCTTTGAAGGGAAGCCAAAACTAGGTCCCCCAGTATTGCCCTTCTCTCCCCTTTTTTGGGGGAGGGTTCCCCTACTAAAATAGACCACAGAAGAAAAGTCGGGTACCTAAGAGGTTAGAACAGACCACCAGTCATGAGACCCAAGGTCCCCCAGTAGTTCCCTTTTACCCTTTTTTTGGGGGAGGGTTCCCCTACTAAAATAAACTACCAAAAAAGGGTACCCTTCTTCTAACCTCTCTACTGGACCTAGCAAAAGCCCAGAATCCACCCGCCAGGCCGCATCTGAGAGGCGGATCCGGGGATCTGGGACGGGGGGAAGCCAGTCACTCACGAATGCGGTGTTCCCAAGTCTTTGGACTACACTTTTGGCAAAAACCAGTCAATTTGTTGCAGCCAGTTTCGGCTTTTGGGTTGCCCCCCACTCATCTCACAGACCTGAGGCTAGCATTTGGAGGGCTCAAATGTTCCAGATTCAGGCCTGTGTGCCCGTTGCCCCCCATTTCTTTAGGGGTGTTTGAGTTCAGATCGACTCAAAAGCTCTACCAGAACATTGTGACGCGTCAGGAGCTGAAAGCCAAGGCACCTGGTCCTCTCAGGGCCCTCACCCCCAAAACACGCTTGTGGCCAAAGGTCCAGGTGAGGCGCTCACTTCCTGATGGACTTGAAACTTTCTGGAAAGACCATGTTGGTGGGAAATCAACGGTTGGGACTGTTTTGGGCCGATCCACTCAGGAAGTGAGATAGGGAACCAAGATAAATTGGAAGAAACATCGTTTGATTGCAAGGGTGCCATTTACGCGTTTGGCAACCCGGTCTAGCAATCATGCGAGCTGCAACAGGGCTTCGGGCACCTTTATCACTGCTTGGATGGAGGTAGCTAAGCGGTGGCTGACTCCCGATTAACCTGCAGTTCCCGTGCACCCTTGACAGTAGGCTGAGCAATCATGTAGCGATCCAGTTGCAACAGCTGCAATGAGCTGAAAGGCGGGGTTGATCGCTTTCAGCCCACGTGCGCATTCCGCTGATTGGCTCCGAGCACAGCCTGCTTGTGCTTAGGAAAAACAACCTGTACAATATTGTCGTTTGCTTAGCGAAAGAGTCAGTTGTGAGTCGTTCTTTCTCTGGTTGCTCTTTGCTTAGGTTGGGAACATGGCGAAGTTTGGCCACTGGCAAGAGCTTTCCCAGGAAGTTTGGCCACCAGCTCTGAATGTTGAGCTGAAGCGGCTTCAAACGGTCAAATTCATGGTTCCATTGCCAGACTACCGTTTTAAGACTTTCTGTTTTGGTGTTCCATCATTGTCCCTTTCCACTAGCTAGCAGGAAAACTTGTTGCAGGGGATCCAAGTCTGGCCCAGACCACTTTGGAGCAACCTCCGTTCATCCAAACTGTATCTAAAAAAAGAAGTCTAGTCACTTGCAACTTTGTCCAGGGATCGGAATTTGTCCACCGAAAAACCCGGTAGTTGAAAGCAGCCGTTGAAAGGACAAGCAATTAATCAACCTTTGGACATTTGCACATTCAACAGCGGTTGATTCTCCGGAATTGATGAAGATTCAATTCGAGTGGAATGGACCGAACGCACTGAACCACTTCTTCCGGCAAAACATCCGCGGCCCCGACGGGAAAAACCACGAAACGAGCCGCCTGTGGGCGAGTTCTCGGATCGCTCGTTGTAGCCATGTTTGGTTACTTAAGCAAAGCCATGGACAGCATGACGCACCTTGCCGCGGGGTGGCTGGGGAGGGACACTGGAAACCCTCAAGAAGGATACTCGTACCAACTCCGCAAAGGTCAGAAAGACGTAGAGGAGGCACATTGCCTGAGCACCCTTCTGATTGTAATCTGAGGTAGACTTGTGAGCAACGAGTTTTGATTGTGACTTGTTAGCCCAGTTGAGTTTCCTTCATTTGGATTTGGGTGTGTCTGCTTTCGAGGCTACCCCTTGTTGTGGTTTGGCAGGGAAATCAACCTGAGGGCCACACTTTGTTGTTGTTTGCTTTTGGGAGGGCTACCCGAAAAAAGAAAATCCCTTTCAACTACAAGTCAACCTTTTGCAGGAGTTCCAAGTGGAGAACGCCTTAGTTCGTTGGGTTCCACCCGTTAAGAACTTTTTTTGTTGGGTTTGGGGCACTGGGCTCGGAATTCGTTTGAGTTGGTCACCCCCCAAAAGGGTACCAACTCCCAAAAGGGAGCACCCCAATATGGGAGTGTTGCTCAAATTAGGAGAGCTACCCCGAGATGTGTTGTTCCCTTGATTTCCAAGACAACGTCCAACAAACATGGTGGTTTCGTGGTTTGAGACAGATGCATCGGAAGATTTCATGGTCTGCCCCTTTCCACTGTTTGTGGTTGATAAACAATAAGCCGGGTTTCTGTTAGTGTAGAAGCCCTTTTCATGGTCGTTCTTGGAAAACATGTTACATTTTTGCTTCTTGTGGTTGGTTGAAATCCCCCCCAGAAAACTGCTATGTTTTTTGAAAAACATTTGCAGGAACAATCCGGGGTGGTGTGTTTGTGGCAAGTGTCCCGAGGCACTTTTCGCTGGTTTCGTCGAAATGGATTTGTTTGGCCTCGAGGATTTGGTTTGGCTTCAGCGCCTCGGGGCTGCCGTACTTCAGATTTGTGATTTTGTTTGTAGCGAAGTTCTGAAAACACAAACCGAACTTCCAGGGTGGGAGAACTTCCGGGGTGGGAGGGGGGTTTCTCCAGCCACTTCTGTGATACAAGGGAAAATATCCCTCTTTTGGGGGGGGGGTTAGTCAGGTTAGTCTTTGGGGTTAATTAGGCCCTTTCTGTTGTATCACAGAAGTGGGCATTTCCCACAGCCCTGCTCCGAACTCGAAGAATATGTTGTCTCCTAACCATATACTGGCTGACTGCTTCCATCTTACTCCCCGGAAATATCCCGGAATTGTTAGAGGGACCCAACCAGTCTCCAAACAGAGCTTCTATGTCCACCTCACTGTTTGCATGTCTCTAGTTTTTTTTGGTTTTGGCAGGCGGCTGCAACAAAGGAAGTGTTTTGCTACCATACCAAGGGTTGGGAAGTCCATGCTTGGCATCATCTCTTCGAAAGGCTAATATATGTTAATATCAGTTGAGTTTCTCTTTAGCGCCTGGTATTTCTTGAGGACCCATAGTAAGAACCCTATATAAGGGTGCTCAAGTGTTTCCGTAAAATCGCGCGGTTCCCAAAGCCAACCAGGTTTCCGAACCTTCCTTTAGGCCTCAAACACCAATTCCTTTGTGTATTTGGCATCTTGAAGAGTGTATTTCTTGTGCGGGTTTGAGGTACCAGATTTCAGGCTGCCCCTAATCTGTGGTTTGGATTGGCCCGTTTGCAACTGGATTTGAGCCCTGGTTCTTGTACAAGGGGGAAACCCATCCCTAACCTCCGTACCACCTAGGGTGTCCTCCCAGCATGAAAGTCCAGCCCAGGCTTCCTGAAGCTGGTTTGGCTGGTACCCTCCGAGTTTTGGAAGTTGACCTTGGAGACTCCCCAAAACGTCCACTTGGGGTCTGTCTATCTTTGAGGGTACCAAAAGGGGGTGCCCTTACAAAAGGAACCACACGCACTTCCATGATTGGAAGAACGTGTTTAAGATGATTTCTGTGCCAGAAGAGACTTCCAGGACCCGAATAATAATAACAAAAAAAAACACCCGGCGCCCGTGGATAGACCATTTATCCCCAGATTGGCCGGAGTGGGACCTTATTCACTAGGCGATGGGGTTCATCAAAGTGTCATAAGCATCACCTGCGCGTCTCTCGCCGTCTTGAATATCACAAACCAAACATGGTTGTTGTTGAAACATTTTACATGTTTGCTTATTGTGGTTTAGTGGGAACCCCCCCACTTAACTGCTAGAATTTTAATTTGTGCTCCCCTTCCAACGTCAACCAAGCAAAGTTCTTAAGTTTGAAAGTTCCACCGCCCGCACGTCGCAACCGGCCATATCCCAGGAAGGATTTGCCCCTTGGCTCAGAAAGGGATGGAAAGCTTCTCGCTTGTCAGGGCATGGGAGAGTTGACACCTTGAGCATATCCCCACCTCTTAGTTTATGCAGGGAAAGGCTCACTCAGAGAGTGAGTTCCATGCTTTACCAGACTTGTACTTGTTCGAAAAAAATCGGTTGTAGTGATAAACAACAAGTGCAGACAGACACTTTTTTAACACATCCGACAGGGGCACGTGTCCCATACATGTTCCGCTTGGGTGCAACGGTGCGACCCAACTTTTATATGGGCCACCTGCGGGGGGAGGTCTCCGAATCAAAGAAAGGTCTCTGAGAGCCCGGGAAAGGGCTTTGCAGTGGCCATCGCATGAGCCAGGGTCATGACCGTCACTGGAATTCACCTTCAAAAGTTGAGCCCATGACTCGACGGAGCCTTCCGTGCCGCTGGTGATTACAATGCCATGATCCACTAAGAAGAAAGCAACACTCTTTTGGGTAGAACATTGGAAAACGGTTTGCTTTGGTTTTCCTGACGGCTAAATTCGCTGCCATCCGGATTTGATTGGCTGCCGGGCAGTTTGTTTGGATGTTCCATGGTATTTTGCGGCCACAGGTGGAAGTTTTGTTGCCCACTGAACACCACCCCACCGCCAGGAAGGCCAGAATTTCCAGGTGAGCTAAACTAAGTCAAATGAGGTCAGAATCATTGCAGCACTGAACCGCTCACAAGGAGCAGAAGCAACAGCAAGCAGTGCTCCTTATACGTCCCATGGGATTAAACATCACCTTTTGGGCCAATGTCAAGTGATTCTTTCTTTAGTTCCAGCAGTGCCCTTTACCTTTTTTTTGGGGGAGGGTTCCCCTACTAAAATAGACTACAGAAAAAAAGGGTACCCTTATTCTAACCTCTCTACTGGAGGACCTAGTGGAACTTCCAAGGACCCCTTCGCCAGGTTCCATGTTAGTGGATAAAAGGGTACCACACTGGCACCTTGAAGTAAATGGAACCCAAAGACTCAAATCAGCGCAACCCCACCTCCTGAATTGTGAGCCATGCCCAAGTGGTCCTTGACCCCCCCCCCCGTCCGCCCCGTCTCCCAGTGGCCCAGTGGATTCCGCCCCCTTTTTTCCACTTTTTCTTGGACAAGGGTTCGCCATGAAAGTCAACCAGCCCAAAAAAAGATGCCGATCTTATGTTCCCATGGGCATCCACCCCCCCCCCCCCGGCCCCGTCTTATGGTTTTCCGCGTCGCCGAGTCGGTTGCTCGGTTTCGGCCGAGCCGATCGATTTTCGGCCCAGGCGCGAGGGCGTGGACGCCTTGCGGGCCGGCGTGGAGGATTTCAAGGCGGCGAGCAGCGAGCTTGCGCGGGAAGTGGAAGCAGTCAATGCGCTCAACAGCCCCCCACTTGCCTGACTTTGTTTGGCGATATATCTTGACTGCTACTGGGTTGGATCTTTAGACTTTAACTTTTTGGGAAATCAAGGCGTTTTCCACTAAACCCCCAAAAAGTTAAACTTGTTTGCAGGGGGTTCAACCACAAAAAAGGCATGGCTGAGAGTGTTCCACTACACAGATGCGTAGATATGGTTTCAAAGTGCCCCACGACCACATTTTCTAAATGTTTAGGCCGTGTGATAACCCCTCTACAACCCCCTTGACCGACCATGGGCGGCCAAGTAGGGTTAAAACTACAGGGACCCCAACATATGTTTGGCGTCCCTTTCAGCCAAGACACAAGCGTACGCTCAGACAACCCAAAAGCCAAAAACCCTATTGGCATTTTGAGCAGGTTGCCTGGTTTAATAGCCAGTTTAACATCCTTTACGATCATCTGCAACCCAAAGTCAATGAGTTTCGGGCGCTGTTCATTCAACTCAATGTTTGGTTTCCCGGGACACCCAGTGAGTTGCTTGGCTTTTCTCACGTGGGGTGCCCTGACTCTTGCCGTGGTTGCCCCGCCGGGCTTTTGACGGTTGGCCCCAGTTGCCAGTTGGTTGTGCAGTGTCTGACGAATCGATTTGGAGCTGACGAGTCCCCAGAGTTCCCAAAGGGTCCTTTTTCCAACAGGGTCACGGGTAACTGCGAAGGGGACCTCCTTTTGATTCATTCGAAGTTGCCATTCAGGGAATCTTTCGGCCCATCCTCTGTTTCAGCAAATGGTGTTCACAGACAGCGTTCAGCAAGGGCAAGCTCCAAGCAATCGCGAGGTGCATTCCCAACAAGTGCAAACTAGAGCTAAGGTGCCAGTTGCCAGCTTTCTACCTTTGCATATGGTCTGACAATGATCACGCCATGGGCAAAGGGCATTTGTTGCATGGGGCACCCTTGTCACTCACCGAAGTGATGCAAGGCGTGCTGGGTGCTTGGGTTTGACTTTGGAGTCGGCAGGTGGATTGCGGAGCACTCCTCTCCGAAATCAGCATGAAACCCATATTACAACAGGAGGTTCCTCTAAATAACCGAACTTGGTGGTTCTCCAGTTGTTCAATGCCGGCATTCTAACTTTTGGTTTTCCCTTTTGGTTGTCCCTTTTGGTTAACCTTTTTGACGGGGTCCTTGGGGCCACTGAGATTTCCCTCTCAAAAGACAAACATGATTTGGTGCACAAAAACTTTGGGAAGCGGGGTCGCGGTTCAGGGCAGCAGGCCACGCTTGCTGGAGGCGACTTTTCCCGTTCCCGAGACTCAGACTGCCTGGTTGTCGGGGTTTGCCTATATATATATATATATATATATATGTATATATATATATGTATATATATATATATATATACATATATATATATACATATATATTAGCACCCGGAAAGGGTGGTTTTAAACATCGCCTTTTGGTTGCCAATTTGAAGTGAAGTGTCCTTTTGGTCGGGTGATGAAAGGAGAGGTATAGAACCCCACCGCTGCGGGGCTCGGTACGAGCGATTCTGATGATTCGGGCCCTTTCCTCGGGGCTCGGAGGCTTAGGTTCCTCCGAAAACCGGCCGGTTTGCAGCACTTTGCTCGGAAGAGCGCGCACCGAAAAGAGGGAAACCTCTAAAAGCCGCGGCAGGGGGGTCATTTGCTCTTCCGTTCCTTACATTCTTAAAGGATTGAGAGACCTTCGCTGCATCGAAAGGATGATGTCTCCAGCGGCGTGATGAGCCTTGCGGACTCACCATCCAGGCAAGGACTGCTTTGGGCTGAGCATGAAAGACAGAGGTTGTGGAGACAAGACATACCCCATCACACCCCTCTCCCCCATTTGGGGTGTACAAGCATGGAGTTATGGGTGGTTTATAGCTTAGGCAAATTGAGATTAACCCGTTTTGTCCCCTTGCCAGCTACGATCAACTCAGTGCTCCTTTTTTCCGAGCTTTCGACCTCGGGGGTTGTCCCTTACGTCCCTGAATCAGATTGCCCTTGTTTTGTGATTTGGATGGCTCGTCTTTGTTAGAGTTAGTACCCGTTTTTGGTAGGTTTTAAGGGGAAACCAAAAGCAACCCCGTTGCGCCATGTTGGGGTCCCGGTCCAAGTCCTAAAAGAGACGCACCCATTTGGATTTGACTAGCTCCCCCAGTAGTGCCCTTTGACCCACTTTTTTGGGGGAGAGCTCCCCTGCTAAAACCGACTACAGAAAAAGGGTACCCTTATTCTAACCTCTTTCCTGGAGGATCTAGACACATCCAGCCATCCACCAGGGATATTTTGGTCATTTGGTGAAGTCCAGGATCCTAACAGAGACGCACTCATTGGATTTGAGGATAACCCTTTTTGGAGGGGAAGTGGACACCTGACTTCCAAGCACCCACACAACTCCGAGCCTCAGATCTGGCGCAAGTGCCTGGTTTGGCTTGATACCCACTGGTTCCACTTTTAGGATTTGGACCGCTCCCCAAAATGGCGGGTGTTCCTTTCGTTTCCCTTTAACTGGATGTATTTACACACACACTTAACGATAGAAAGGGAGTTGTGCGATCTACTTGTTCGACTTGGGGCATCCAACTAAGAGAGACGAGACATCCATGACCAAAATTGCATCATCCTATTTATAGAGGTTTTAGTTGTTCTGCCCAGTCCACTCAATCGAAAGTGAGAAATCGTTGCCAGCTTGGCTTCCTTTGAACATTTTGGTTTCTGTCAAGCGACCAACACGGGCCTCGATCCACGCGCACAGCTCAGGGTTCGCAGCCTGCTGACGCGGCAGATGGACGATGCTCTCGCGAGGCGCGCATTGGCGGGCGAGCGGACTTGGCACTTGGACGGCCCCGTTTTGCTGTGTTTTGGGAGGGGGTGCAACCCGATAAAATCAGCTTCCAAGGAAGACAGCGGCCCTTCTTTCCAATTCTTTTGTCGGGGGGGGGTTCTACAAGGGCCTTTTTCCAGAGGCCACTGGGATTTGGGCAGATGTTCAAGCTACCAAACACCATTTCGGGACCTACCGGCTGGTGCCTGGGGCGGGTTTGGTCCATCCGCTTGAACCGATGGCTTTGGGCAAGTTTTCATCAACTCGAGGGAGACATTGGTTCAAAAAATGACGACGCCCTGGACGTTCGGCCTCCGAGTTTTCTTGGTGGCTTCTTTAAAGCGGAAACCAACCAAAGTCACCATCTATGGTTGTCTTTTTTGTAAATGGGGGGGGGAAAGACCCCCATTTGTGCCCTTTGCCTTGTTTGCCAACATGTGTTCGCCATCTTTTGCACTGCTTTTTGGGCGTCCATCCTCGGTCCAGAGCTGTTGGGTTGGGGATAACCACATGGCGCCCGCTAGTGGGTCCAAGTTTGACACATAATCAGAGAATCAAGCGTTTTTGTTTCACTATGTTTGTTTTGTTTCGCTATGTTTGTTGTGTTTGACTGTTCTGTTGTGTGTGTGTGTGTTTTTTTTTTGTGTGTGTGTGTTTGACTGTTTCGACATGTTTGTTCAACAGAAAGATGGGGCACTCCGTGCTCTTCCTACGTCCCTAGTTTGCCCAAGTTAACTTATTCTCAGCACGTGGCTGAGTTCAAACACACACCGGATTGACCAATGTCAGCATCATTCGAGAAAGGAAATGACGTGGGGTACCGTCACCAAGTCCACCACAAGGGCTTAGAACCAAAATACCAGAAGGAAGTGAACACCCCATGCCAGTTGGAGCACACAGTGAATAGCGGTAGCTCATGTGGTAGTTGGTGAGAAGGGCTTTGTGCCGGTGACCACGGCAAAGACTTTCGAACAAATCACCTAGGAGTCCTTCTTACCAGAAACTTCGGCCGAAGCCGTGTAATTTTTGGGATGGCAGGCATGACAGCCACATGGTGAACCAGCTCCTGGACAATGTGCCTCGGATATAATCCGTTGGATCGCCGCAAGCTCCAGCAATTAGGGAATGGTTGCCAAAAGGGATATGTATATAGCTTGGTTCCTTAAACCCCCCCAAAAAAACTAGGGTCGATGGTCTCGTCCAAAACCTATTTCAGTTGTTTGGCTCAAGTTTTGAAGCATAATCTGAACATGTTTGTCTTTTTGGAGCACTATGTGGGCCAAGAAAAATGATGCGCTCAAACAGAAAGAGAACACCCATTCAAGGGCGTCCACTCGTGGTTCTAGAGAACTTTACGGGGTCTCCAAAGCGATGTGCATTCACAATGTCGTGGCACAAGCATATGGGTGTTTCTCAAAATAGAGGTCCCCTAGAATTTCATGTAGGTCTCCCTTTCTATACCACCAAAAGGGGGGCATATATCCTAGTTGTTAAATGACGCGCATTCCCCTCTTCTTGGGTGGCTTCCCCGCCTTTCGCTGGTCAACCGGACCTGCGTCACTGAGCAACGGACCCGCCATCTTCGAGCTGCCGATTGGTGTCACGAGTCGATTCGGGCGTTGGGCTTGTCTGCTGAAGAGCAACTATGAGGTGGCCAAAACTCTGTGGTTCCCAGCCAACCGGTTCCGTAAGTTTTCAGTTGCTTTCAGTTGCTTTCAGTTGCTTTCAGTTGCTTTCAGTTGCTTTCAGTTGCTTTCAGTTGCTTTCAGTTGCTTTCAGTTGCTTTCAGTTGGTTTCAGTTGCTTTCAGTTGCTTTCAGTTGCTTTTAGTTGCTTTCAGTTGCTTTCAGTTGCTTTCAGTTGCTTTTACAGTTGCTTTCAGTTGCTTTCAGTTGCTTTTACAGTTGCTTTTACAGTTGCTTTCAGTTGCTTTCAGTTGCTTTCAGTTGCTTTTGGTTGCTTTTGGTTGGCTTTGGTTGGTTTTAGCTGGTTTATTGGTTGGGTTTCCATCTAACCCGCAAGATGCGCGTTCACTCTTGGCAGAACAAATCTGAAACCGCACAGCTTTTCTCGCCACTCTTTTCTGGCTAGAGCACCTGGCACTTTGAGTGACGCAGACATCCAAGGCCATGGCGAACCACCTCATGGGGCCTCAGGCGGGAGAGTCTCAGGGGCCCAGTGCCAGAAACCGTTTGCCCCGTTGAGCTGGGAGATGCTGGTCTCTGGGTACCTGGAGTCTCCTTCTGACCCTTTAAAAATGGTTGGTCATGACCCAAAATAATCGGGTCATGGACCCATTTTTTCAGGGCCATGGAGACTCCAGGTACCCTGAAAATGTGTGGTTTGGAGCTCGGTGGTTTGGGATTTGAACCCCAGTTCTAAAAGGCTTTTGAAGCCAAATGGCGCAGGTGGCCGTCCAAACCACCGCGCTCCAAACCACCAATAGGGGGAAGCTGAGAATCCATTCTGTTGCTACCTTTTAGGCACCCATATATGGGTCTGCTGTTTTTGAGGGTACTCTTGTTAGGGTTTTAGGCGGTTTTTGCAAGGACACCCATGTCATTGTCTGAAAAGCCAGTGCTTGCTGCAACATTGAACAAAAATCAGATCCCAAGACCATTGCCCAAACTGCGCATGCTTTTTGGTCATGTCTACCCAGTGCCGGGTCCTGTTTCCGTCGCATCGCGCGTTTGAGCCACTGCACCATGCTCCGTGGGCAGATTCGGGGGGCGGCATGCTGACTTCGCAGCAGAACGACATCCTGAAGACTGCTCACATGCTTCGCATGACTTAAATTAACCGACCGGGAACGAAGAACACATGCCGCCTCACAGCCGGCTCAGCTCTTTGGTCGCCTGGGCAAAAGGCTGAACTCAGAGCCTAGGACTGTCTGCAACGAGAAAAGCCTAGCAGCCGAGGTGGTTGGCTTCTGATCACCCAAATGCCGCAGTCTGCCGTTTTACACGAAACCCAGGTTTCACTCTGGCACTGTGGACTTTCTTTTCATCCTCACTCTTTGGGTACGGGTTTCTTGCTCTGCATCCTCACGTGTTGGACCCCTTGGCATAGCAACTCGGAACAGGAAGCCTATGGCTTCACAAGGGCTCCAAGTAACTTTCAGCGGCGCCCAGTTGTCCCGTCCATGTTGCGCAGTTTCAATGCGAGATGAACACATAGCTGATGAACATACCTTTTTTAAGGTGTTTGGGATTTAGAAGCTCACTGGCCCGACTAGTCTACCATCATCAAATCCCCAAGCGGGGCAAGGGCAATCACCCGGGTTCCGACTGTGATATTCCCTAGAAACTGTCAGTTAGTGAGCCCAGATTCAATCTGACTGAGATTGACAGGTAAACCTTTGAAGCTTCAGCGCGTCACCGTTTTTCCAGGCGCCCTCGATTATCCGCAGCGCGGCGCAGCAGCAGGCGACGGGGTTGTATGTATTGGTGTTCCATTTGCTCACTTGGGGCATCGACATGTTTGGGTATCTTATCCTTGGTGTTTGGAGGGTAAGACTCCCTCCTGGTTCTCAGTCGAATCTAGTAGCAATAAACGTAGTATCGCTTAATTAGCCGCCTCCAGTTATTCCAGTAATGGCTATTCTCAGAACCCACTTCATGTTAACCCCGGAGGAATAAACCCATGTTTATCTAAATGGGGGGCTGCCCCTGGTCTTCATGGGGGTTCATCACTTTTGGAGGGTTTTCCCTCACCCCCATGTTTGACACCCAACTCAATATGAATAGTTGTTTTGTCTTTTCCAAAAAAAGAACAGATTTAATGTAGATTCGGTGAACACGACCTGACGTTCGAAGCTCCAAGTTTCCTGGCGAGTCTCTTCCCGCTCTCCTCGCGCATCGCGAATTCCGCAGGCGAAGCGCCAGCTGCGGGACGCCATCGACAGCGCGGACTCGAAGCGGCTCAAGGGCGCGCTGGTGGCTGCGAAGCGCCGCTCGCCGGACAGCCGTGCTTGCGGCGGTTGGCCGGTGGGCAAGCGGAGAAGGAAGGTGGAAGTTGGCTGGCTAGACCGGGGGTTATGTAAACTAAGACGGTTATACAGGGGGTATAAACTAAGATGATCTAAGATGGTTCTGACACCAAAAAGGAATGCAGGGGGGTATACAGGGTTCGGATTTTCTTGGGGACAATTCGAGGGAGGTCATGTTGACACCTGCTGAATAACCCAGCCAGTGACCAGCAGGTCTCCTGGACAAAAAGCGAGAATCCCCCCCTCCAAAATCCATGCTTTTGAAGGGTGGAACTCCGGGGCATACTTGGATGCCAACTTATTCAGTGGATGAGAGACCAGGATTATGACTTATTTCCTAAGGTGCCACACCTCTGCGGATTTTGTGCAAGTGAAACCGTTCACAACTCTTCCTTGGAACCTTGTGGTCCCTTTGTGCGTTTGAGTCGAAGTGATGCCAAAGTGGGAGCTGTGAATGCAGATGCAAAGTCTCACTTCCTGAGTTCATGAACTTTAAACTTTTTGGGAAGACAATCTTAGTGGTAAATATAAAGTTTGGACTTTTTTTGGGCCATCCACTCGGCCAGTGAGAAAGGGGTGCACTTGTCGCTCTGAGCTGAGTTTGGGATTGGGGCTGGAGATCCGATCTCAGAATGTCCGTGGATTCGGGGCGTAGACTTGGTTCCCGATTGAGGATTGGGCCCGGGTTCCCATTGCCCTTCCAAACATGGAGCAAGGGGTCCGCTTTAGGAAAATGGTCCAACTCTTCTGGGCAGAGTTTACAAAGCTGAGCACACGGGGAAGCGGGGTGAAGCAGCAGGGTGAGCTCCAGTAGTCAGCGACACTCAGAAGCGACAGAGCGATGAGAAGACGGTCGCAAAGCCCTCGAAGCGTGTGGATTCTTCTGTAATTTTCCATTTGCTCTGTTTTTTGTTTGTAATATTCCCCTGTTGGTTTGTGATGGAGCAGCTGTCACTGTATAGGGTCTCCCATTCTTTCCAGGCGACATTCTTGCAAATCGAGGGCATGATTTTGGTCAAGGCCTATTTTGATTTTTGCCAGACCGAGCAAATCCAGGGGCAGAATGAGCAAGTCTCACGGAGAACTCGTCCATCTTTTTGGGCTCGGCTTTTTAAAGAAAAATCCCCAAAGGAAAAGTCCGAAGCCCATTTCAACGGGTGTCAGGGGCGTCGCAAAATTTACGGGGCACCCCCCCCCCCCAAAAAAAAAAGCGACGCGTTCGCTTTCCCCTGAAAGCCACCAGGTCACCCGCCGCGAGTCGCCGCGGCACAGTGGATCCGAGGCCTCAACGCCACGGAGCTGCCGGAGTTTACGGAGGCCATCGAGAAGTACAAGGCCCACGTGGCCCACGTGGCCCACGGCACGTGGCCTTCGGGGCACCGGGAAACAAAGCGGTGGGAGTAGGTGGAAAGGTCCCAGTGGGCGAATGTAGCTAAGTAAGGCTTGGATCCTTTTTAAAACTATTTTCTTTTGGTGTTTATATATATATGGTTGGGATGGTTGTTTGGTTACCCACTATGGAGGATGTCGGAAGGCGCCGAATTTTAGGCCGCTGAGAAGTACAAGAGCGAAAAGGGGTTCACTCGAAAGGAGGCGCCTACTTGGACGTTCAACCTACTTAACTTGATGGTTCCCAGCCATCCGGTTGCTGATGTTTGTAGTTTTTTTTTTTGTTTCTCTCCGCTGGTCTGGCGGGATTTCCATTTAGCCCACAAGTTAAACTTTTAGCAGGGGATCTGAGGACAGCCCAGATAATTCTAGGGTGTTAAGAAAGGGGGGATAACCACAATGATCAGAATCATATTTGTTCAAGTCAGCCCCACCCTTCCAAAGGCACTTCCTCTGAATTCATGGAGAGCTCTCTCACCAGCGGCTTGCACAAGTCAAGCCAGGGTCCAAACTGAATTCCTGGAGCTATGTCCGCCGTGGTTGCGGAATTCCGGAAGACCCTGGAACTTCGCAACCGAGTCAGGCGTGGGACTTGAAGGTGCAACTCACTTTTATCCATGTGGGTATGAGTCAACTAAAACACCAGGGTGCCGCAGGTGTATAGTTCAGTTTTCCATTTACCAGGCTTCCATTTTGGGCACCCATTTTCTTCCCCCGCACCCATTTGAGCGACGCAGAACGGCGTGTGCGAGGACGCCTGCGAAGGGACTTGAGTGCAACCTCCAGGGCCTTCAGGGCAGAATGGCTGGCAGTATCTTGTATGTGTAACTCATCAAAGGCACAACCCCCCTCATCCCCCCCCTGTTGCCTGGATACCAGGCGTTCGTAGGTGACCCTTCGATCAAAAATTGCCCTTTGGGTTATACCAAAGGTGGCAAGCCCTTTGGTTACTCAAAATGGCTCCACTGGGCCGGTCTTGTAGTCCCTTTAAGATCTTTAAGGTGCCCGTTGATTCTTGGGGCTCCCAGCTGCCATCCGCCGCCCTCTTGGGCAGGGCCCCGGTTCCCGGTTGGTTCGCCGAGAGATTCGCCAGCGAGCCGCAGGCAATCAGGAAGCTGCCGGTGGGCTGGGACGTTTCTCGGCGCCTTAAAAAGGCTTCGCCTTTTGGCTTCCGACCTTTTCTGCTTTCCTTTCCATGGCTTCCGACCAAATGCCCCCCCAAAGCGCCTCTCTTCGAAGCAAGTGTGGCTTGTTCAGGCGCAGGGGAGCAACTCCGGAAGCCCTCCCACGTTGCCATGAAGCCTGATAAACGGAGGTCCCTGGCTGAAACCTCGGCCCTCAAGGCCTCAACAGACCTTCTTTGTTTTTTGGTGGAACATCACCTGAGAATCCCCAACAGTTGAAAGCTTTGGGGTCTCAGCCCAGATAGGCTCCGGGGTGGTCCGGGGCGGCCCTAAGGTAAGGTTCCACCAGGGTTCCACGAGGGTTCCACGAGGTTCTGCGAGGGCGGGGTGGTGCGAGCACTAAAAAGAGCACTGCATGCTGCTGGGGATATCACCTGATAATTTCAGATACTTGGACCAGAACCCGTCGTCTTAGCTCAGTTTCAGGGTCCAGCTTGGTGCTTGATTGTGTCAATGGGACAAAAGGAGCCGCTTTTGGAAAGCGGCTGCTCCCTCACTAGCAAGAACGTCAATGAACTTGTACCACTGATCAATAAGTGTTGTTCGTTGCACCCAAACAGGTGTGAAATTGGATTTATGCTGGAGTAGTTTTACCACGTACTGATTAATAAGTGCTGTTCGTTGCAGTCGGGGTGACATTGGACATGATTGTTGACTGTTTCCAGTGGGTATCAACGGCGTCTCGAACTGTATGTAGCGCAAAATTGCGCAACATGTTGGGCGGAGCGGGGTGTTTGCCCGAAGACCAGTGAGGTCATGGGTGCTAGATTTTTACAACGCAGAGAATCCCCTGGTGCGATGTATTTCCTGACCACACTCCCTTAGTTGGACTTACTCGAAAAGACCATTGACCTGGCGTCTCTTCCAAAACTTCGCATTTCGGGTAGACTAAATGCAACACCTCGGTGGCGTACCCCGCATGTGGGCCAAGTGCTCAGTGAATGGGTCATGCCCCCTCAATTTTGGGTATATGATCCCATTGTTTTAGGTAGGTGGTGCGAAATGGATCTCGTCCATCCACACTAGTGTAGCAACCTTGATTTCACAGGGGATTTGGGAAGTGGCTTCTCAGCATGCAGAGTTCATATGCCCACAAGGGTAAGTGTTGTTTTGAGGGTACCCTTGTTGGGTGGTTTTAAAAGGCAGCCAACCGGCAAGCCGCAATTTTGCTGAGCCCATGGACAAAAACCCAATCATAGGCGCACGCACACGCCCATAGGCTCCCATTTAGGTGTCCCTTCAAAGCCTAGGAAAAAGCGGGTTTTCCTACGGTGTGACTGGCTCACTGAACGCTCGCAGAGCCCGGGTAACAAGGTAGACGAACTCCATGCCGATCGGCACCAAATCCTTGGGCTGGATGAAATGCTAAAACTCTATGGTGAAGCCACCAATCCCAACTGGCTTGCAAAAAAGAACTGGGGTTTTGTCCATGAACCGTATGCTGGGACCAACAGCAATTTGGCGCAGTTGGTCCGTCCACCGATTCCCGGTTGAGCTGTGCAACCTGGCCTCCCCCACTGGCCCACCCTGCTCCCCTACCTCACCTAGGTTCCCCAGCAGTGCCCTTTTCTCCTTTTTTAAGAAAGGGTGCCCCTACTGAAATAGACTACTGGACAAAATATATATAAAAAAGTCGGGTACCCTTTTTCTAACCTCTCAAATCAGGACCTAGTCACATTCCCCCTCCCGGAGGTGAACCTCATGGTCCTGAACCGCGAGGGCGCCCGCATGGTGGCGCAGCTCCAGCTGGACGACCCCTCTGTGTGCCCGGGGTCCCAGGGGCCCCCAGGCGCCAAGAGGCGTCAGAGGCGTCAGAGGCGTCAGAGGCGCTCGGAAAGGGGGGGGGGGGGGATTGGGGGAGCTTGTTCCCCTCAAGGTACCCTAAGGTGATAGCCGTTTAGGTCCCCCACTCGGACTTTTTAGCTCCCAAGACTCATCACAGGCTCTTTCCCTTTAGGCGACCTTTTGCCCTTTCTGTTTTGGGGAGGTTTCCCGAATCTAGAATAGACAAAACCGAAACAAGAAAAACGGTACCCTTATTCTAACCTCTCTACTGGAGGACCTAGCCTTGAAGCCCACCGGAAATCGGTTTCAGAAGTTCGAGTCTAGTCTAAGATTGCTAGTAGGTCACTGGTTTTCCGAATTGAAGGTTCAACCTTCTGCAGAAGGGTCAACAGCAACCAAGTCTTATTTGTTTTGAGGTTGGCGAGACATGAAGCAGAACACAACACCAAAAAAAACACATGTGTCTTTGGTGTTGTTGAACAACAACAAGTCGTAGCCACTAGAGGCGTTGCTCCTTCTTTTTTCGCCATACCCAGACCTATAGGATCATTGGCTTTGTCAAGGGTTAAGGCTTACTTCTCACATCCCAAGTGTTTGTTTGGTTTGTGCGTTTTGTGGTTTGCTCGTTTTTGGCGTGTCCACACAAGACACTTAAACTTGAGACTAAGCTCCTCCAAGTTGGGAAAGGAGTTGCTCTTATCACCCCGATAATCTAAGGTACTTACAAAGCAGGCATGCCGCGCAACAACTGTGGCAATGGCTTATACAGGAGCCATTCGGCGATTCAGCGTGCACACCCCAAAAGCCATTGAGCCTGGGACAGCTCTCTCGCCCAGGCGCGCGGTTCCAGCGCTTGCTGGACTTGACGCACCGGCGCCTCGGCCTGTCGGGGCGGGCCGCTTCAGCCGTTCCTAGGCGCTTGCCGGGGGTTCCCGACCCAGGGTGTCGGGTGATGGGAAGGAAGTTGCGGGAAGGATTCCCGAAAGGTGGGCTGGGAGGTTTTTTTCGCCGGGTCATTCCAAGTCTCATTCCTGGAAGATGAGAACCTGCAAGGTTCTTCGGAAACCATTCTGCCAGTTGGCCCAGTTTCTGAGAGAGATCCTTGAGAACGGGGCCTGTGCAGCTTACCTGGAGTCTCCATGACCCTTCAAACAAGGGGTGACCCCTCATGTTTGTGCAGACCACAAAAGGGTCATGGAGACTCCAAGCCCCTAGAGTGGTGTCCCTTGGTTTTTCCTAACATAATCACAATGACGCCTTTGGCCGGTGGTAGATTTGAAGGGTTGAACATGCCCCAAGATGCGTAGGGTTTCCCGCAAAAGCAATTCCAGCCTCACTCGCCCAGCCGTGGCGGGAGGACAGCATGTGTTTTGTTGCTTTCCTTTTTTTTGGCGGGGCGAGGGGCCTATATAGGCGGTTCCAACCCAAATTGCCACACTTCGCGCCCAAACATGTGCGCCTTTTGACGTGCTCTGATCGATTCGGAAAGTCCCCAGCTTTTGAGGTGCCCTTCGCGGGGTACGTGTGACTCTTTTGATATCTGCAGTTCTTCGGGTTTTTTCTATACATTTCCCCATTTTGGTTTCAAGCATCACCTTTTGTTTGCCAGTTTCAAGTGAGCTTCTTTTTGGTGGGGTGATATTCAAGGGCGAAATATGGGTGCGTGCTTGTTTGAGGGGCTGGAAGAGAAGGTAAAGGGAAAATCCGCCCATTTTGCGGGTCGCCTATTGTGCTACACACACACACACGCACCCATACAGGTGTGCCTTAAAATAGTGGACTCCCCAAAGTGGATGCCGTGTTACTTTGTTTGGTTTCTCTTTTCACCAACCCTTTGTAGAGGTACCCCAACAAAAAGACACACACACACACACACCCTTTTTCAGGAATAATTTCTTTTGGTTGATTGTCAAGGGAAACCAACAGGAAACCAGCACCCCTTTACACCAAGCCCTGTTTCGCAGTACCCCAACAAAACGGAGAAGCCAGAAACCGCTCATAAAGGGCGCCATGTGGGCTTGTATAATAAACCCCCCAATTGCAGTTTAGTCAGGGGACTTTTTGTGGTGAGGACTCCCAAAGCTCTGTAAAACGATAAGGAGGGGGGAAAAACAAAAGACAAAGCGATAAGGTTTTGTTCGTACATGGTTGTTGTTGGGAAACAGTGTACATTTTTGTTTGTTGTGGTTTAATGGGAAATCCCCACTCAACTGCTAAATTTTGAGATTTGTTGCTCCCCTTTCAACGTCAACCAGGATAAAGGGCGCCATGTGTTCTTCGACCTTCGCGCTTTTCAAGCGCCCATAGGAAGGTCTACACCAGAGACCGGATGGGCCAACCTGTCCCCGAGAGGCCGATGGCGGGGGGGGGGGGGGACGGGCGGCGGGCAAAGCGCATCAGCGTGAACAGGGGTCGTATTTGTAAAGGTGTGTGTGTCAGGGAAGCCAAGTAGCAGGGATACCTTCTGATTGAGATGCCTTGGTTTATCTTCATCTTCACAAGGTAGATACCCTTTTCACCGTGGTTAGAATGAGCCCAAGAGATCAGCCACCAGTTTTTGGGAATGACTGCAGGATCAAACACGGAGTCCCTTAACTGGGGCACGACTTCTTGTCATTGCCTTGGGTATCCAGACGAACGCCTATTGCTGGGTGCTTCCTAAACGTTTTCTGCCGCGCCCTGAAACATGTAACGGATTCCAATCTTGGCTGGTTTCCTTCTTTGCAACAGGGTTGTAAACCTCCCTTCAGCAGGGTTTACGGGGTGTATCAGGCAATTTGTAGCCAAACCGAGGTACCGTGATTTGGCGGTTCCCAGCCACCCGCGGACTTTAGATCTTCGGGGTTTAGAGGGATTGTGTGACACAGGGAACCGCTCATATCTTCAAACTAGCATAAAGCATAGGATATTACGGGATGATGTGCCATTTGTGAGTCATTCGATAGTCCCGGAAAACCACCACACACCCCTTGCAGAACACCAAATTCTTGCAGCTCGCCTTTGAGGACAGCCCAGGATCTTCAACCAAAGTAACATGCAATCAACAAGACATGGGCACTGGAGGTCTGGCAACTCCCCCCCCCAGCGCCCCCAGGCATGGCTTCGTCTCTTTGGTTTCTCTGAGCAGCTCCAAAAATAATATCTGACCAACAAAGGGCAGAACAAAAGAAATGGCCGGGAAAAGGGGAAACTATGTGTGTGTGTGTGTGTCCTTTCTAGAGGAGCCCGGAAAATGGCTTCGGTGGTGCTTTTGGTTTCTTTGGGAACCAACCAAAACCATCCAAAAAGGGGTGCCAAAAAAGACGAGTCGCCCATAGTGGTCCTTTGGGGACACGAGCAAAACACGCTCCCAAGTGAGGAAGACACTGGTTTCCCTCGGATATTTTTTGCGGGACACTCCCCCAACATGTGTCCCCTCCAACTAACATGGCAACTGACAGGAAATGGCTCCCTTCAAAAGGAAATGAATCTTCCAGGTCCCTCCCCAGGAAATGTGCCATGTTAGTTGGAGGAAGGGTATCTTTCTGGTGACTCCGATCGGAAGCGAGTTGCGCAGGTTGCGCTTGCTGACAGTTGCTGCCGTCACGAATGACGAGTCCTGGGGGAACTACGCGGCTCGTCGCGAGGCGCCCAATGGATTTTTCTGGGCGTCCGGGTGCAGGAAGGGGTCCATCCAGGCTAAGTGTATCACTTTGGAGGCTTGGGGCTAGGCATGAATGACTTCCATGTGCTTAAGAATGTGCTTTTTATTTTCCCTTGTTGGTGTTCAAGGGAATGGATTTCACTTCTGGACATAGTTTTTTTTTCCCAGGGGCCAAAACTGCGACTGGGCACTTGAAGCTCACTCGGGTGACTTTGGCTCGCTGGTTTGTTGGGGGCTTCCTTGTGAGCTATATATCTTGCCCGACTTGTCCAAACTAAGCTTTGGCAAACAGTTGAACTTTTTGTTGTGTCTTTTTTCGAGGTACCCGTTTTCGGGGTGGGTTTTAAAGGGAAACGTGAGGGAAGCCACTGATTTCGAGCGTTCCCTCAACTAAATTGACAGACCCATGTCTTCGTTCAGCAAGAATCTTCAGCTTTGTGAAGCCCAATTTGAAGCCCAAGTACCCGAGCAGGTTCAGCTTTCCAGTTGAAATCCTGGACATCTGCACCTGTTCTTTGGCTGTCGCGGTTTGGGTATAAATCGGGTACAAACCCTATGAAACCATTTGAACGTTCCCATCTCTAGAGCAACCAAACTAAGATGTCAACATTGTAAACGGTGTATAACCCTATGAGCCTATGAGCAAGCAACCAAAAGGGGTTCTAAACCCTGTAAAGTCGTCGACAACCCCATTCCGACGCAAATGGCCAAGGGAAAGGCGAATGAATTCCGGCGGGTGCCCCGGAGGCAATCCGCCGCGAGATTGATGCGGACATCAGCGGCTACACGCGCTACGACGTGCCACGACCTGTTGTAGAGAAGCGTGTTGTTTTGTCTTCCAGGGTTTCTTGCATACAGACTGCGTGTAGTGGTTGCTGGGATTTGTTTTCTATTGTATACGTGAGTTTGAATTCAGGTTTGCAATATATTGGAATTTGATTGTGGGCTCAGACTCACGACCGAAAAAGCTTTTGACCTATACAGTGGCTGTAAATCCCAGAAAACAAAAAGGGGGTAGCGGTTCGAGGGAAGTGGACACCATCTTAGAGTCAACATTTCCGAGTCGCCTCGTCTCGTGCGTCAGTATTCGTTACCAGGTGGACACTATGGCGAGATCTTCAGGCGGTGCGGCTGGTTGACTGATAGCGAGTACCAATCAGTCAGCAGCATAGACCCCCCAACGTGTGGCCTACCCATTCCTGGAAAAAGAACAAACACGAATATGTTCCATCTGTACTATGAGTTGATGAGTAAAATATAGAATATATTTGGTAAGTGTACTATGAGTTGGGTATGCTAACTGATTGTTACTCACAGTGCAGGTTGCTCCAGGAAGATGACGAAGGCACAAGGCTAACAATTGGGTTCTGCTTCCTTGCACTTTCTTTGCGCGGCCTTTCTTGCTACCCTTGTGCTAGATTGTGCTAGTCCCTGCCAGTAGGGAATGACTTAGGGTGTTGGAAATCAGGAAACGACAAGGGATGGTTTATAGGGGCCATTCCCTCATTCCCTGTTGAGCATCAGCAAGAAAAACTGGACCCTTAAGAAGCCTACCGGAGTTCTTCGCGAGTTCCACCAGTGATTGGATCCCCTCTTAAATGGGACCCCAGGGTTGACTTGTTTCAGGGAACCCATGTTATTGGAGTGTCTTTTTTGAGGGAAACCCTTTTTTTCGTGTTCCTAAAGGCCCATCTATAAACCAACCGGTTGATTTTGATCGGGCTTTTGCTTGCTCCCCAACTCTTGCGGAGGGCCCACGAAAGCAAAGTGACCAACCAGGGCCCCCGAGGGACGCCCCATGTAAGGGATGCCCGGTTTGAGGTTGGCAAACCCGCGAAAGTTCCGAGAACCCCCCCCCCCCGGAAGGAAGATCAACCCCCGAGTGGTGAACACCCCAAAAGAAGTTCAGGGTCACGCCCCCCCACCAAAAAAGAACAGACAGAGAGAGGCACGACTTCTTCAGGGGTCCATGTCCCGTTCTAAGTGGTTTTAAGCATCACCTTTTTGGCAACCATGAAAGGTGAGTGTTCCTTGGTCTCTTAAGGGTGATGTGTTAAGCGGAAATATAGGGATCCCTGTTCTTGGAACATGACCAACTGAATGCCGTTCAGGGGAACCTGCCAGGTGCCCCCCGAAACGCGATCATCCCCTCCTCCGCTTCCGCGTCCAGACGCCGAAAGTGACGCCGGGGAGAGCGCGGAGAGCATTGCGCTGGCGCTGGCGGACGCTAAGCGCAGCCCCAGAAATTCCCCGCGTGCGCGTCTGGTTTTTGGCGCATGTTGGGCTACACCAGGAGGTCCTGAGCAAAAGGCGCTAAGAGTTGAAATGTTGTGTTTCAAGAGAATAAGCCACTGGTGATATCAACTACTGGTGTAAAAAGGACGTTTGTCATAGCAAATTACCGGTGGTTGATGAACAAAACTGGGAAGTCTTCTGGGCGTTATTTGTTCTTCGGAGCCGAAAGGGTGTTCTTTTTGTGAAGGGACACCAGGAAAGCTGCCATGTTGGGCTTTTGTTGAACGGAAAATCCAGAGGACCCACCGAAATACTTGACTGCTATTGGATTGGATCTTTAGACTTTAACTTTCAGGGAAATGAAGGGTGTTTTCCACAAATTTCCCCAACAAGTTATTCACTTTTTGCAGGGGGGTCAACAGCAACCCAAGAATAGTTGGTTCCGACTTGAAGAAGAGCAGAGCATGAATGGCCATCGAGTTGAGCCATAAAGAGTCGCAGTTGTTGGGCAGAACATCCATGCGGGTTTGTCTTTTTAGCCTCCCCCCCCAAAACCGTGGTTTCCCTTGTTGTATTCCTTTAAACCACCTTGAAAAAGGGTATCCTCAACAAGGCACTTCCATGTATAAGTAATCCCTTGCTGCTAATAATAAAGGCCCCCCCAAGAATGATGTTTGTTTTTTTTAGAATCCCAAATCCGGGAATACTACTTTTAGAATAGGCCAATACAACGCCAACTCTAAAGTAGGTATTTTCCTACCTGTACTCAAATCCAGCCCTACTAGGGGACCCTTTTGTACCCTCAATCCTGCAAAGGAACCCAGGGAGTGGCTTTCCTTTACTACGCGTGTACTACGGTCCGGAGCTCCGGGAGTGCGCTTCCTTCACTACGCGTGTACAGGGTTTGTCGAAAGCAAACAGGGGACCCCCAAAATGATAAAGATGTTTTTCCCCTGAAAAACCAGCGTATTAATTATTCGGGGGGAGGGGGGGGGGCTGTAGAACAGGATATATATATATATATGCCAGAATTTGGAGGGCAAGTGCATACATGGAGTGTTTCCCCGTGGGCTCGAGGAAGACTTTGCATCTCCTCTGATGCGCCTTGGCACGACAGACGCTCTTGGGCCTTCGTCAGGGGATCCTGCCATGGGTTCGAATCGCTTGCACCAGTTTGTGCGAGCGAAAACCTACTTAGTTAGAAGTTGACAAATCAAAACGCGAATATGGTCTTCTTTGTTTTGTTTGATTTTGACTGCGAGCCCACATTTGGTCACCCAACTTTGATTTTAATCCTTCTTGCCGAGCCACGGGATACGTAAACGTCCTGAAAACGCCGAAGCAGTGCCACAAGTGAAACCTGGGTAAGTGAAGGTAAGGAACCCAAGGAGCAAGAGTCGGGATATTTGTTTGTTTTGATTCTTTACCTTGGCTTGGGTGGACTCCAATCTGGGGCTGGCATTCGTGTTTTTGAAGTCTTCTTGCTTCGGGATCTTGTGCATGGAACACCCGGAGCCATATTTGTCAGTCAGAATTCAATGTGTATACAACTATGCATATATGGCTGAGGCTCAACATTTTTCGGAATACCAAAATGGAACCTTGGTAAGTAGAAACATGGATCAAAACCCGCGGTTTGCCCCCCCTGTTTAATTTTGAGCAGCCATATTTGTATAGTTCTAGTCGCCCATTTCTAGGGTTTCTCTGAGCCATTAATGATGTCACACCCCCGCAGGTTTTTTTTTCAGCTCGTTCCTCAAAATGGCGGACCTCTTGAAGATGGTTTCAAAAGGAAGCCAACAGGGACACCACCCGAAACGGGGATTCCAAGCCCAGTCTTTTGAAAAGCGCCCATAGGTCGGTTCGCTTCCTAGATCAATGGACCGTAGCCTCGACTTGGAGGCCTCTAGCCATGCCAAGAAGCCTTTAAGCAGCTAGAGTCGGGATTTTCGGCAAGGTACCCTCTTTCCAACAATCATGAGAGTGGACGGGGGGCTTCTGTGCTTGGTGGATTTGACACCTCTTAGGGAGATCATGTTCGTGGTAAGCATCAAGTTGTGTGACTCAGTAAGTGAGATCAACTATCTGAAGGTACACCGAATCCCCTTAGCGTCAGCAGCCCATTGGCCCCGATGTTAGGGAAGCCCAGATACATGGAACGTCTTTTTCCAGAGCCCTTTGAAGAGACGGGTGTGTGCCATGTTTTTTTTTTTTTTTTTCTCGGAGACCCCAAAAGAGTGGCCGTCCTTTTAGCTTCCCTTGTGGGCACCCAAAAGGCGAGCAACCAGCAAGCCAACCAGCCGAGGAAGCGGATCCCAGGCGTTTAGCTTCGCCCGTGAAGCCATGTGCCGTGGGATTTTCGGGCGGTTCCTTTGGTTACCCAAAACGAGGCGAATGGATCCACGTCGAGTGAGGCTTGGAGGAACTTGACTCGGCGAAATGGGCTCGAAGAGAAGTTGGCGAGCCCTTTTTGCTCTGATAGATCCTGTGTCGACCGAATTCAACCCAGGTATTGTAGGTGCTGAGAGCATCCCTTGTGGTTTACTACACCCGGTTTCTCTGGATATAGATCGAGGCAGGAGGTCAACGAAGTCTTCCTCTTCCACGGCACCTCTGCGGCCAACGCCGAGAAAATCAAAACCCACGACTTCAGGACTCGGCTTTGTCGTCGTTTTGGTGGGTTCCGTTTTTGCATCTAAGGATCAGCGTGTTTCCTTGTCTTGGTGGTTCCCAGGCATTTGGTTCCTACGTTTTTAGGTGTCCAGTTAGTTTAGTAGTTGGGAATCCATTCAACCCACTAAAAGTATCTAAAAGTTAAACTTTTGGCATGGGATCTGAGGACAGCCCAGGTTTGGTTTTGGTTTCCCTTTAAACCAAGTGGAAAGGGCACCCCCAACCAAACCCCAAAAGGGGTCTGGTAGGCAAAGGGTTTGGATGAGAAGCCAAAAGGAAAGCCAGTTGAAATAGGGATTGCATACAAAAAAAACAAAAAAGCACATATATACATAGATATCGGAATTTTGAGACAGAAACGTCTGGGAATCCTCCGATTCTTGCACAAAAGGGCATCTGAAAACGAACACAATTGATACATCCCGTCTGACGGGTGACTATTTTCACATCTGAAGTTGGTTTGCTGTGTTTTAGGCAATCCAAAAGTGGTACTCGTTTTTTTTGTTGGTTCTTTTTGCAGTTTAAGGTTGGCACTGCAAGCAATATTTGTTGGATGACTACTCCAACTTAAACATGTAGCATTTCCCGATGTCCCAAAGGTGCTCCCCCTAAATGAACATTTCCAGGAGATGTTGTTGCAAGTGAGGAAGATGCTCTTGTTTGTAGATGTCTTCCATCAGAAAATGGGGAAGATCGTTCTTTTCAGACAATGGGAGTCAATGCCCAGACAAAGCCACTGCGAAGTAAACTTTCTCCATCCACAGTCTGGGTGTGCTTTTCAAGTATAATTTCCATGGGGATGTATGTCTACCTAGTTTTTTGATGGTTTTTGTGTTTTTTTGGGGGGGTGGCAAAACTCAGAGAGTCACGTCGACAGGTGGTCAAATTTGTCCGGTTGCCTTGAAGTCCGCGTGGTACCCAACGTTTGAACCCCTTTCCAAGTTTTTAAGGCACCTCAGCTGACCGGTCTAGCGAACTCGCAGACCATGAGTGGAGTGGTTTTGCCTCAGTCAGCCAAGAGCCCAAGAGATACCATGCGATCGCATTTGGAGACAGCACCATGGCTGGTGGCCGAGTCTAGTCAGGCCCCCCAGTGCTAAGCCCGGAGTAACCCCTCTGGTTGATTGATAGGGGGTGTTTCTGTTCAGTGGGAATCCGTCACTTTTGTGGGTGACACCATTCGGACGTGGTTTATGAATCTGGAATCAACTTTGCAGCGAAGCTCATATGGCTGTGGCTCAAAAAGCCGGTACCAACATGGAACTCTGTTAAGTGGAAACATGGACCAAAGCCTGTGTAGCCCCAGCTGTTTAATTTCGAGCCACACCTTTTTCTGGGTCATTATCCCCCTACACTTGCAGATATGGCCATGGGTCAAAATCCCGTACCCCCAGTGAACATCCCAATCCATCCACTAAAATAGGTTCTCAAATGGGTGGCGAATTCACCTACCAACCAAAATGGAATCCCGTTGGTTTTGACAACCACAGCCATATGTGTGTGTATCCAGCGAGAATCTCCCCGAAGACGAGAGGCACGTGATTGCTCTTCAGGATCAACCTGGCCGGCTCCAACGCGGGCAGCTTGTATGGCCGCGGCATCTACTTGGCGGAGAACTGCACCAAGAGCTCAAGGGCTGCAGAAAGCTGGCGACCGATCCGGGGATAAAACGAGCGGTAGCCATGAAGATCCTTTTGGGCAATTCAGCTTTTGAAATGATAATAAAATGTGCTACTTGGGGATCCAATTCTTAATATACAGCTTTTGAAACTACCTGGAGTCTCCTTCTAACCCTTTAAACATGGGTCCATGACCCCCATTATTTTGGGTAATGACCAACCATTCTTTAAAGTGTCAGAAGGAGACTCCAGGTACAGTAAAATTTGCACGCCTTCAAGATCTCCAGACGGTTTCCAGCAGGGCTTAGCCCTGGTTTGTGGCTTAGGGCTTCCCAGCCAAGCCCAGAAAGGTAAAGCCTAGCCTTGTAACCCTTGGGACGCGGGGCGTATGTCAATCAAAAGGGGGCCTCAAAAAATTGACACACACATACCTCCGAGGGTTTATTCCCCATTCCTTTCAACCATCGTTCTTTTCAAAAAGCAGCCGTTTTCCCTGGGTTTCCGGAGGTTTTCTAGAAAGACGGATCCCTTGGGGCAGGCACGCTTTTGCAGTGTGGAGGCAATCGTAGTCTAGGTGAAGACTAAGATCTCACACACATCATCATACAAGGTGTGAATCCAATCTGATTTATTTGTGGTTTTGTTTCTTTTAGATGCTATCGTGTAAAATTGGACATATAATATGCGTATACATAGTGTAATATTGATCTTATAATCCACGGGGCCTTGAAGGAGAAGAGCTTAGTACGTGTCGAGGAATCATTTTGAATGGTTTGACATGGGTTCCTATCCCTATACCCAAGGTTCCTACATTTTTTTGGTCGCGATGAAAAACACAGGTTTTGCAAAGAAAAACCCGGTTGTCCCCAAAAGAGTTTGGGAGGGGGTATGTCCGGCCGCGCCTTGCTGGTCTTTTGGCTGACGAAGCGAAGCGGACGTTCACTCAATGGCCGGGGACCCCGGCTATGGGATGGCATCCCTCAAACAAACGAGTCACATGATTAGGTATAGCGAAAAGAACATTTGATAGGTTGAAAATGTTGAGGGACCCAACGAAGCTCATGGAGGGGCCAGGTAGCCTTCTTGCACCCATGCGTCATAAGAGGCTCTCAAATATCTCTGCATGCTACGTTTGACGGGTAGCCGACTGCTAACTCTTCGAGTTATTCGACTCGGCCTGCCGACAAAATCTTCTGAAAGTTGGCATCCAAAGGCCATTGGATTGACAACGCGTGGCTGCTTTTGAGCCGGGAGAAGCATCCCTGTAAGGAACGCATGGTGTAGCATGTGGCTCTTCGGGATGAGGGCCCACAGAGCTTGCTTTGCTTCAAAAGCATCACGAGCAAGTTGCGTGTAAATAGTCAAAAACTGAAGCCCTTTGCGTGCAATGATGATGGCTTGGGAACTTTCAATCCAAAGGTCCTGGTTGTACAAGTCACTCAGGCACTCGTTCATAAGTTGAGCAGCAGTGGCCGCTTTTGCTAGCGCTGGGTCATCCGGAACTTCCTCATTGTACCACGCTGTAAACCAGAGCATCAACACATATGTAGTGTTTCCCTTGGACCACCCTCCCAATGGATAGTGCGACTTCTCTTTCCAGTTGATGGTGTCCTGCGTGATTCGGCTAATGTAAGGCTGTCGCTTGGCAGTCCTGCACCACGCCAGGAAATGGTTTGACAAAGATTCGAAACGCGTCCCAATTTTGCTGCCCGGGAAGTGCGCGACAGCCCGCGCGATGACTGAACCCAGAAAGGCTCGTCCCACTCCCAAATGCCAATTGTGCCAGACGTCTGGCATGAACATCGCGGCTGCCATTTGCGTGTTGTGAGGCACACTCAAAAACTCTGGCTCTGGTTGAAAAGGGGGCTTGGCGTGGCATGTGGACAACCACAATGGCTCTTCCGTATCCAGCTGTTCCCAAGGGAAATCCTTTGTGCCGGCAAGGCACAAATGACATACGCTAGCAGCAGGGGTCTTCGTGTTTGCGTGTTCAGTCTTGGCACTGCGCGTGAAGCCCCTGCCCAAATTGCCACATTTCATGAGGAATGGCCAGTCCCCGCAAATGTGCAAAAGGCACATGTAGTGTTGTGTTCCTCTTGGGCATGTCACTCCTTTGTAAAACATGTGCTCTGCCTCGCTGGCTCCAAAACGAAACAGAGAACGAAGAGCGTGTTCCTTCTTGCCATACAAGTGCTTTGGCAAAATGCCACTCAAAAATCTGGTGCTATAGGTTGAGCCAACGTAATTGAGCTTGTGTTTGATGAAACGCCCTTTGCGGACTCGGTTCGCCATGCTGGTGCCTCTCCCTAGCAGACTGTAGAAGTTGGAGATCATAACGGCCCCCCGCTTCCGCCCCCGACCTTCATCTCCGTGATATAAGACTGCCGCTGTTTGGCATAGGTCTATCAGTCCAGCTCTTGCGCGCTCGTAGATGGGATGTGCAGGGTCAATTTCTTGATATCGCTCCCAAAATGATTTCCAAATACATTTGGACCGTTCAGAATCTGGTTGTCGCAGGCCGGCTAAAATATGCCAAAGGTTTTCTTTGAGAAGCAGCTTTGCCCAGTTTGTCAATTTGAGGCCGACCAACTCCTCCTGATCAGGCTCAATAGGGCTGAGGGGCACTGGCAAGCAAAGGTTGTAGGACTCTGCGATGCGGTTCAACTCATGCTCGGAATGTTGCAACCTGCAGTTCGCAACCTCCTGAATCCCAGAATCCCGCACCACTGTGGAATCGCCGAAGTCCTTCACAATGCTTCGGGCTGTTTGGATAGCTTGACGGCAGGAGGCCTGAGCACGCTTAAAGCGTGATAAAGTTCTTGGATCCAAAACCTACCCTTTAAAAAACGGGCCGCTTTTCTGAGAACAACATGGGCATAAATTCAGTGCCCACATTGGCCTGTTGGTTCTAAGTGGAATTTTCACAAAACGCTCTGAAAAAATGGGCCGACCAATCAATTAACCAAGCAACCAACAAGTTAACCAGTTCACTCCGGCAAACCTTGCTTAATAAGGTGCATGGCGCTCCGTCGCCTGTGCTCTTCGAGATGGCTCGCAGCGTGTGCCCGGCGCCTGGCTTGGCAGCGGCTATAGGGTGAGAGGCTCTAGGGTGAAAGGCTTATCATGTTGCAGTGCGTTATTGTGGAACGATTCCCAAAAGCATCTACAAGCACGCTGTTTTCCCCATTTGCACGCTTTCACGATGGTGTTCCACATCGTGCCCGAGCTCAAAGTGAAATTGACTGAATGCAGCCAGTCATAGGCACAACGATTCTGATCAGCTGTGCGGCTGCTAGCCATGAAGCCTTTGCTCAAAAACATGCAGCGCTTAAGCTTTCTTAGCCTTCCGCTTTGCAGCAGACTTGGCTTTGCCCTTGTTGGAATCTTTGGAACTTCCGGGGTCGGCTTCCTCATCAGGGCCGGCTCCTGCAACCTCCGTAGCCTTTCGCTTTGATGATGTGGTTTTGGCATGTCGCTACTGCCCTCCGACTTGTTGAAATATTTCTTTTCATTCCTTAGGGGTGGATTAACCCATGCATTATACATGCGTGAAAGTCACACACACACGCACTCAAACAAACACACACAAACACACACACACACACACACACACATACACACACACATGCAAACACACGCACACACACCTGCACGCGCACACGCACGTACGCTGCTGAGGTCGAGACCGCACTTTGCGTTCCGTGGCCGTCACCTTCCCGCACCTGGAGGCCGGGCAGTTTGCGGGCTCAGCGGTAGTTGTGTTCTTCCTCAGGGCTGGGCGTGGCTGTGGATTCTTTGATCACTGCATCCGTTTTGGCCCAATACCTTACACATGCAAGTAAACGACCATGTCCGGCAATCTGAACTAAAATCATATAGGCATGACCTTTTCATGCGGACAGCTGGCTCCTTTGTTTGAACTCCATGGACCGAGCCAAAGGTCATAACATCGTTGCATGCATCGTAGGCCGCGTCCAGGGCTTTCAACTCTCGCTCAAGTTTCTTCACTGACCTGGAACAGAAGTCTGCATGGGTTAAGTCATGCGTTTGGGACCCCCTTCAGCGACTTTGAGAGCCCAGCTCCATTGCTGATTGGTCGTTGCCGTAGTTTGAATTCAGGTCCCGGGTCAAGGCCATCAACTTCTTCGATTGAGAAAGGATGCTCTCCATGAATTTGCGCAAGTCTTCCTTGGCCTGCCAAGGCTGACCATGGGAAACAGTTGAGCAACCCTTTCTAGATATAGGAAGTAAATGGTTGAAGACTCGCTCAGAACCTGTCCTGGTTGCCCTGGTTCACAGGCTTGGGTTCGGTGCTGTTGCCAACGCTCGTCACGAGAGCTTGGCGCGCTTTCATGGCATCCACACCAGCAAAAGCTTTCGGGTCAATGGTGATACCCTGCTCCGGGGCCTGTGGCAAACAGTCGATTGATCGAAGGTGTTAAAAGAAAGAAGGGCCTTTCCCTGTTCGCGGCGGGTTTCCTCGATCGAGTGCTCTTCTTTCCTTTCGCCTTTCTCTCTGGTACAGACCCAGAATTCATCCGTATTGTCATAGCGGTTCTTCCTGAGTTGAAGCAAGCTGCAACAAACAATATAAATGCACAATAGCAAGTGCATGGACTTAGCTTTCAACAAGTTACCGCATCAACTCGGCCGCCCTCTTCTCACAAAGACTTTTTGCCCCCGATATCCTCAACCTTAATGATCCGACATGACTGAAAGCAGACTATTTTTTGCGCGAAGCAGTTTGGTAGTTTGGGCTATCACCATGCAACTTGTAAGTCTCTCAGGGCGCAACGGCGACCATCCCAAGTCATCCTTCATCTCCTTCTCAGAGTACCAGCCTTCCTCCAAGGCAATGGTGTGGCTCTGCTTGCGGGAGACCACCCTCTCCAGGCGGGTCAGAAACTCCTCCTGGGCCCACACAAGAAAAGAGCGGTTGAATTGAGTTGGCTAGGGCAATCGGGGTCCTTCGAGAAATTGCTGTCCATAAGCATGCGGATCATGCCGT